TCAGCAGCCGGATCAGATTCTTCAGGTTCGGAACTGGCCTTTGTTGAGCAGCTTTTTTTACCGCAGATCAGCCTCAGACAGCAGGCTAAACATGTGCAGATTAAAGCTCCTCCAGAACCCCACAGATATGATGTATAAGACTTAGAAGCTGGAAAAAAGAATTCCAGTCAAAGACAGCAATATACTTGTCTGCCTATGTTTTGTGACTGAAAACTCATGAATTTGTCATGTAAATTCAAGTTCTGAAATCCTACAATGTCTCTTTTGAATTTTTTCAGCATTAAGCCAAAATATAGCTAAAAGTAAGTTGTTGCAGGATAAATATTAAAAGAAGAAATAACCCTAATTTGTTCAAAGTAACTTTTGAGGATTGCTCGGTTAAGTAAAACCTCTGAGATGTTTCAAGAACGTATGAAACCAAAAGGGATACTCACCCTCAATGTGCACTGACACTTTGAGGGCCGGGTCATCATTATGATCTCTGATCTCAAAACGTCCTACACATGATGTTGGGATATTCTCGTTTAGAATTCCACAAGGCTTTAAAAGCTGAAACCCTGTGCAACCACTTAAGTCCGCGTCTGACTCCAGCCTGCCATGACGAACCATCTCAGTCTCTTGGACACCTTTTGGGAAAAAGTAAATGTTGCAAGATTGTTGCTCCAGATCATATTGGAGGCTGAACTCTTGACCCTCTTTTAGAGAAACCCTCTGTGTATTAGCTGCAGAGAGAAGACACAAAGAGAGCTTCAGTCCAAGGGTGTCCAGCTGTTAGCTGGCAATGCTAATCAATGCATCAGGAAAATATCACAGACAGAAATAGGATCCAAATGAAATTATCCTCACCTGCGACATCGACAATCCTCACTGACATAAGTCTTGATTTTGAGTTTCTTAGAATGTACCGGCCACTGTCTCTCTGGGTCACATTTTCTATTGTAAAGCTGTTGCCCCACATCCTCCCCCTGGGATTCTCAGTGCCCTCAGGGTCGTCACGTTTCCAAATAGGTATAGCATCATTACCATACCTCTGAAGGAAATCAATTACATGAATATCGTCTTGTACTCTTATTTTGTATCTGCCCCCATAATTCACATAATCACGTTCAATATCTGCTAGACCTAAAGAGGAACAGAAAAAATACACATCAAATTTGACATCTTAAAAACTGTCCAAAGAATGTGTAAAATATATCAATAAATAACACTAGTGGTAAAGAATATAAATATCCACTTGATAGTAAATGTCTTACAACTTAATATTGGTGCTGTGTTGTATTTATGTGCCTGTAACATATCATGAAGTTATGGGCTGTCACCTACAAAAGCCCAAAGACAAAAGTTTGCTCTTGATGTACTAAAACTCCAACTCTGCATAATATTTTGATGGTACATTGGCTCCTCATCAATATGATTTGTAATTTGGAATTCCTTTTATAATTGTCACTTTTTTATACTTTCCACACACCAAAATAATAACATGGTAAACCAGTGATATCTGACACATAATAGTCTCGTTTTTAGGAGGACTCTTCATCTTCTGATTTAGCTGACATGTCGAAAAGGTGACGATCCTAATAAATTAAGTCGTGTTTGTGACTTTGGGTGATTTATGCTAAACGTGTAAGTCGCCACATGATGACATTTTTGTGAAATGGCCGGAGTACTGAGACATCCGGGCACTCAGACCTTCCTCCAACTGTATTTCGTTCCTTATTTTGGTCTATTTACTTAATTTATTTTTACCTATGCACTTCCTCCCCATTTGTACTGAAGAGCACATTCAACTTTTTCATATTTGTTTACTGCTGTCAATATGACAATAAGGTTGAGTTAAAAATAGTTGGGCCAACACTTTGGCAAGGACTGATGACGTCTCACCATCACGTAAAGATCAAAAAGAGCCCTGAGAAACAGTCTCATGTTGACGCCACTTGCTGTTTGCGGGAACAAAATAAGGCAAAAACCGACCTAAAGACAAGGGGTTTTTTTTAACCATTTTGCAGAACAAACAGGACAACCCTACAGCTACAGTCTAGAAAAATTATTGAGTAAATATTTCCCATTGAATGCAATCGATAAGGGGGGCATTTTAGTATTATTTGAAGGTGTACTTTTAAAAAAAGCACTCACAACAAGAATGACTTTAAACGATATATATCCATCTAACATATTCTCAATGAAATGTAATCTATTCGGGCGTCTTGCTGGAGTGGGATTAAAATATGTTCTTTACTCACCCGAACCTATGCAGGCACTCACTAACAACACCAGGAACATCGTTAACTGGTTGGCAACCCAAAAGCAGACCCAAGTAAGCAGGTGAAAGGCTCGTTCATCAGGTCTTCACGGCTGGCACTGTCTGTTTGACCAGCTTCTATCCACACAATGCCAGTGCATAAGTTGTACCTTATATAAATAAACAAATATAACTCAATAAAGGGCTCCTTTAATGGACAAGGGAGCTTTAAAAGGGTGGGTCCATCCAAGAGGGCGTTTCGTCTGTGAGCCTCTTGGTGCGTTCAGGAACCGTCTGGACATTACCGTTAAAGGATACTGTCGCCTGATTTTTTTGGTTTGTTTGTTTTTTCGTTTTTGGGAACGGGTGGGTGTTAAATCGAGAAAATATAGCTGTAGCCTTTTCCTTATTGATGTCGTTGGAGTTTCCTCAAGCTGTGCGAAACAATGGCTTATGACATTTCTGTTTGGGGTAGCCTATATGCTGCGATGGACTGGCGGACTGTCCAGGGTGTACCCTGCCTCTCGCCCGTTGACCACTGGGATAGGCTCCAGTTCCCCCCGCGACCCCATCAGGGAATAAGCGGTATTGATAATGGATGGATGGATGGATGGATGGATGGATGGATGGATGGATGGATGGATGGATGGATGGATGGATGGATGGATGGATGGATGGATGGATGGATGGATGGGTAGCCCATATGTGGTCGGAACGATTTGGGTAATTCAAGGGTTCATTGTACCGAAGTAGGATTTGATGTAAATACATTAAATTAACCGTCAGGACTGCAACAATCTGCGTCCTCTGTGCAAATCAATAATGACAAAACAACCGCATGCTTTCCATAGTAATTGGGTATTACTCATGAACTCCAAACACCTGATAAGAAGGTGTAATAAACTATAAAGACAATCTGCAAACTCTCTCTGGCAGGCTGAGAGATAATATGCCTTCAACCTTCGTAAAGACAGATCAATCAACACATTTACTGCAATGGAATTAGTTACTAAATGGAGGCTGATAAATAATGTCCCCATGTCGATCATTTGTTTATTTTTTAAGTCTAGAGAAAAACAAATGGCATGGTTTAATCATAGTTGGATACTATTTGAGGTCAAGACACACATGCATGAACACATTCTTAAAGATAATTACAAAAAAATATAATAGCGGGACTTAGTAGTATAGGTTGCAGCTTGACTGTTTTAGCGTGTAGTTTCTTCAAATAAATAGGAGAACCTACACGAATAGATGTACCGTCCAATGAGTATTGAGAGACTTGGCAAAGTAAGGGGGCATTCCTGGAGCCTCGCCCATTACCGGCTGAAGCACCAATTCGGACGAATACCCCCGTCCTGATAGGGCTCCGCTCCGCAGTAAGTAAACCGGGGGTCAACCAGCTATCAAAGTCGCCAGCTTCCACTGTCGGTGTTTGCTATTTAATTCAGAAGGGCTGCACTTGTGGATAGTTTCTTTCCCCCCTAAAAAACAAACAAACAAAAAAAACACAAGTCCACGAAAAACACCAGTTAATCTAATTACAAAACTCTGGGATGCGCATTGTTCTTATTGTCTTGTGTTTCTGTGCTTGCTTTTTTATTTGCAAGATTCCTTAATTGTTGGTTGTTATCAAGTGTGGCCGCAGACAGGACATCGTGTTCGTTCAGATAATTGGTGGTTTATATTTGGCGGAGTCACACACTGGAAGGGGAAAGACCGCACCGCAGCCGCCTGGGGTTGGACGTTATCAGCCTAAATAGAAGTGGGCTTAACAGCTTTCGTGTGCCTATATCCGCCTACAGTAACATAAGTTCCACAGACTAATTGGTCAGAGTTCTGCACGAGCTTTAAACATAGCAGAGGCAGTGGACACATTGTTGCGGAAATGAGCGCCCCTCACGTCCATTTTCCTCCTTGCAGGACATGCATCTCGTGCTTTTTACAGTGTCCTGTGTTCTATTTGGTAAGTACAAGTTGCATTTGAAATATTTTTTTTATCTGCTTTTGTGGCTGACTCATTTCCGTTTATTTGTTAGTTATTGGGTTCCGCCTGGGATCAAATTAAGTTCACAGGCAAAATATTATTGTCCATTGAACATTTGGGTGTTAGTGTATCTGCAGAAATTCATTGTTTTGTCAATTCCTACCTGGAAAATACAGACCTAATAGCAAATAAACACAGTATTTACACAAAAAACATGATCTGTCATGTCTTTTTAAAATTCTTGGTTTCTAGGCGTATCCTCTGTTGTGACAGCCCCCAGCCAACCTCAGACCACTACAATAATATAAATGCATAGTGGTTTTGGAATAGCAGAAATGATGGTTTGCAAACAACTGTCCAATCAGTTTAAATCCAAAAAGTTAGTTTGGAACATTTTTGTTGTAAGTTACGATGAGGGTATTCCTCTATGACATCACAACAGTAAACTAAACCAGGACAAGTTAGTCCATCTGGGATGTTTTATGCTTATATTCCATTAAACTTGAGTCTTTCAGATTAGATGAGGATGTGGAAATATGAGCATAGCAGCAGTTAGATCTCGGGAGACAGTTGCTTCCCATCATTGTGTGAGACTGCGCAGGCCCAGCCATGAAAAACAACCGTTGTAGCCTGACTCCAGAAAAAGAGAGACTGTAAGACTAATTTAGTCCAGGTTTTCAGGATTCGGCTTATGCTGAAGGCGCTTTGTGGAGACGAGGAACAAGTAGTTATCTGTGGGTTTGTTAATCGATGTTACAGAGTCTTGGGAGAGTTGTCATCTTGATCTTTTGTCTGGTTAGATGTGGCCATATATGGAAGAGAAGGCGGAGCAGAACAGTGATGCTTGTAAGCTGATTGGACAAGGACACTTCCTTTAGAAATGGTTGCATATGGGAGGAGCAGCTATTTCAGCATGCAAGTGATTTGCTTTTTAAAGTTCTTTTGCTGTCAGATATTTTGGAGCCAATGTTCACAAGTTCATGTTCTGTCACGTTACATACAGTTGTTGATCTATGTTGTTCTTATAATGGTATTGCTGACAGAAGTGGCTGTGTATAAACCCCTAAAAGGAAACAACCCATTAGGCTGGACGCATACTTTAATTGTGAGATGTATTTTGAAGCAGGGATTGGATAGGCTTCTAAATATGGGAAGCTGTTTTCATTTACAACCACAGCTGTCACTAGTTTTAAAATGAAAATGTTCAGGATTGTCTGGAATAAGCATTCTAAAAGGTAACATGTTAGTGGCTGACAGTGTTCTGTTGGAAGGATGCTAGAAATAATAAGTGAAGTTAGGTAATCATGTTCTATTACTGTTAAAAGTTAAATTTACCATTGGTCCCTTTTTTTCAAATGTGTTTGTGTATTTTTTCATTTTCTTATCTTTTGATTTGTATTTTATTCTGAAACAAACCTAATCCATTACACAATTCTATAAGAATTAACTTCCATCTGTGTTTCTTGAAGTTGTTAACCAGAGTAATTTGTCCTTCTTAATGTCTGGCCTTCTCTTGTAAAAAGGATCCTCCTCTGGGAAATCGGAGACTAAATCAGAGTGCTATGGCAGCAGGGTAAAGTTGCCAGAAAATTATTCACCCCCTTTATACAAGGGGCCAATATACTTCACTCCAAAGGATGGGGGACCCAGGAAACTTATGGTCAATAATGGAGAAGTAAGCAGATCATACTGTGACTTTTCCTGGAATACTGACTTCCATTTTTGGACAGGGTCATCGATGATAACTGAGGGGCACAAAATGAGACCTGAAGAGGCAGATGAGGTGGCCCCCATATGATGCCTTCACTCTTATAGAAACTGTGGCACGTACAGTGTCATTTGTCGATGATTCATTCGTCCACAGAATCAGAAGGATTGTTTGTCATTGTGTGATGCTGCATCATTTGAAATCTTTTTATTTTGTTTGACTCTCAGGCTAACAGTGATATCATTCCTTACGTTTCAGTTGCTCTCATCTGCAACATTTTGCTTTCGTCTGTCACTGTGCTGCTTTCAGTCAGAAAACTGTGTTTACCAACAAACATATTTGGAGTTTGCAGTATGCACAACCGTAGAGTTTTATTCTCATCCGTGATTATATTCGAGTCGCAGTCTGTAGTAGGTGTGTTTTTCTCAGTCAGACCCCAGTTCCATGTCCTCATGCCCTGCCAGTTTATTTTGGGAAAGCACGCACAAAGATGGATCATTTAGCCTGTGACCGCCATCGGCTCTGAGGCGTATTCGCAGCCGTTTGATTTAAATTCCACCTCTGTACTTTTTAACACATAACATGATGTGAAGGAAGTGGAGATTTTCTGGCTCACAAGCAACTTAGTTTATGAGCGAGAGAAACACTCGGTGTCACTCATTACTCGCAAACTGAAGATAAGACAGAGATGTGGCATCTGTTACCAAATACATAACTGCACATGGTTGAGACTGAAGCCCTGATCGGACCTGTTTTTTTTCTATCCAGGGAAAGGACCCTCACATCAGTGTTTCCCCTCTTTCAATTTATCTGAATGATTTGAGTAAAAATGATGAAGGAACTTTTTCAGTGTCTTTTGATGAAGTCAGCTACTTTGATGTGATGACATTGGAAATCATGGGTGAGAACATCACAACATGCTCTATATTTATTTTTTATTAGGAAATATAATATTAAATACGTTCACCTTTCGCAAACCACCAAATGCAAACGCCAATATCCAAACCAATTTTTGTATGTGAGTCAAAACCTAAGTTTAGTATACAAGGCATTTCCGTTGGATTCACTTTAATCTGGCTTGTATCTGCAAAAGCATGAACAGATCTGATTTTCAGCAACACATTCAAGAGTCAAGAGAGAGGAACATCTACCCTGTTGTTGTAGCCCCCTCCATTTTGAAATGATGACCTTGAAATCACATCACCTGATGACACCTCATCAATCAGCCTTTTTTGAAAATAAGAAGCAGTCAGATTGAGTTGCACGCAAGATTTATCCTCAAAGCATGTGAATTTAATCAAACTGTTCTCAAAATCAAAATTAGTGCAACGGCAGATAAAGACACATGGCCTATACATTGGAAAATAAACAAACTCACAGAATATTTCACACTGGGCCCACATGTCTAAAACAGATATGCTGAAAGGGGATTGAAAGCACTGCATTCATTTGTTAATATAGAGCACCCCAAAAAAAGAGCAGAAAGCAAGATCTGTTCAGTTATGGGGAAAGTGAAAGGAGGGGGTAGAGTAAAGGAAAATAATGAGGTTGAGCATTTAACATAAGGTTTGTACATTCATTTATTTCTGTGTTCTCAATCTGTATTTTCAGATTGCGCTCTTGAAATCCCTAAATTGTACGGACATCCGTGGAAGTACGACATCCCCAAAAGAATAGAATATTTGGAATTCATCCCCCTCATGAGTCCAGATGTGGTTACAATCCTTTGGAATCGCTCAGACCCTCAGGCCAGTGCTGAACACAGTGGGCAAGCGGGGGGCGATGTGTTCATTATCAATTTCCCTAAACAGTCAAACAGTGGCTACTACAACTTCAGGAAAAAAGACAAGACCGTGGAGCCAAGGATACTTCTGAAAGTACAAGGTGATGCTTGAAGCTTGATAGAAGCTCCAAGTGAGAGTTTCCATTGATCCAGGTTAAATTGTTTGGACACAATCTCCTTTTGTCCCACAGAAAATGTCAAGTACAGAGATGCCAAAGTGAATGGTGTCTTTATTGTCGAATATCCATGGAGAGGTGGCCCCTGGACTGTGACTTTTGAGCCTTTGTATGAAAAAAAACGTATAGTAATGAGAGAAGGCATACTGGTCGGGGAGGATGACTGGTTCTCCGGGAGAATTTCTAATATAAAAAGCGGCATCGAAATCCGACATGTAGAAGCCAGAGACTCCGGGGTTTTTGAGTTCAGAGACCCAGATGGCCACCTGGCCATGTCTATGAAGATACACCTTATCCATGGTAAGCCATTCGACTTGATGAGAGGAAATTAATAGCTATTTTTACCCGATATATTTATGTTCTTGTCTTTTTTCGCAGAGAGAAATGTTTTTTTCACGTATGGTGCTGGTGTTCTCGGTGCGGTGATTCCTTTATTGGTAATTTTCTTCCTATGCTGTTACTGTTGTAAAAAGAAGTGCTCTAAAAGGGGCGTGCCTGGTGCTCCAACAGCAGCAGCACCCACTGTATGTCATGTAAGTATGCATACAAGTGGACATTCCAACCATGTGCTTTACTTTACTAAAAGATTATTTTAAAATGAAATTGAAATGAAAGCTCCCATTGCAGAATGTGAATCAACCTGCATACCCACGACACTCGGATGCACAGCATTCCTCAACTGTCCCTCTTCGGCCAGCGGGTTACGCCCTCTCAAAAGAGCCCAAAACTACCAACCTTGAGCCACTGGTAGGTGTATTAACAGAGGTGTGCAAAGGACAGAGTTCGCCTCCCTGGGGGTTACCAGTAAGTTGAAAAAAAGTCAAGAAAAAGGAGGAAGATCAAAAATACGAGAGATTTTTCCATTAAAAAAGGGAGGGAAGCATCTGGCAACATATACAATAACATTTTGAAAAAGCATTGCTACATTCCATCAGACCATCCGAATCTGAAACTTCTCACTGACTCTGTTATATATTTATTGGGTTATTCACACTGAGTTAGGACTTTTCGACTCACTTTTTTCGTCTGACAAAATTGTACAAAACTATGGCACAGTTATTTCCAACCAGAGCAACGTGCACAGGAAAAACTCTGCTTATGAGTCCAGGTGCGCTGTACTTGCTGCAGACTTCAATCATCTTGAATCTAGATATCCCATAAAAGTGTGGAGCAGCAGCATGTCTTAAATGTTTGTTTTTGTAGCAGCATCTCACATACCTGAGTTAATAGAATCCTATGCATTAACTAATGGGGACAATGGTGTAAATAAATATAAACCTCAACTGACACAGATTCAGCTCAGCTTATGGTTGTGAGACACATAAAAATGAACTTTTTACCTTGTTATCATTTTATATTTAGAAGCACATACTGCCACACCTATATAAATATATATCAGTGGCTTATAAATGGTGTTAGAAATTATTAGTTTTGCCCACTGTTAGATACTTATTTTTATTCTATTTTGTTTAAAAAATGTTCAGTGCGAAGGATGTGGTACATTGTTTATCTGTCTATCCGTACATCTCTTATCTATACCGCTTATCCCCAGTGGGGTCACGGGGGATGCTAGAGCCTATCCCAGCTCACATTGGGCAGAGGCGGGGTACACCCTGGAGGGGTTGCCAGGCCATCACAGGACCACACAAAGACAAACAACCACACACACTCACGCTCACGTCTAAGGCAAATAAGAGTATTCAATTGACTTTACATGCATGTCCTCTTTAAATTCACAAAATGTAGGATTTTGCTGAAGCCTACCTTTTTTTTCAGACTCATTTATCCACTTCCTGTTTTTTTTTTTGTTCCTGCGCTGATGTTTTATCTCCAGGTTAACCCTTCAGCCGATTTTGGACCTCCACCAGCTGCTTCATCAGGCTCCAACTCCTTTCTCTCCTCAGATACTGAACAAAGGTTTGAGCTGAAAGGACTCAGCTCTCTCTCTGCCCCCCCCCTCAGTTCAGACACAGCTGGTAGTGATGTTTACAACTCGGATAAACTCAACTTTCTTTAAGGGCCATGCTGAATATTGTTCTGCAGCCCTGAATATACAAGTTACAGACCATGGAATGAGCAGTTTTGCTTACAACACTATTGGAAACATATGAAGTCAAGAGTTGTTTATCCAGCCTGAAGGTGTTTCGGTCTAATAGGTGAATGTAAAGCTTACATTTCCTTTTCTTGAGCTGGAAACAGAGTGGAAAAATATTTTGTTGCCAACAATAAAGCCAAAATAGAACAATTAGAATTGATGGTATTATATTACTTGCTATCTTCATTAATCGTCTGTATTTGTATTTTATATATCACACAGACCTGGAAACAAACAAACAAATGAAATTAAACTACTGGCTGAATTTTGTTGGAAAATACGAAAACAGGTATATAACTGTGTTCATAGATATTTTTTTTAACTGCTCTACGAGTACTTTTACGAGCTTATGATTATGTATTTTTGATAGTATCTTTACCCAACAGAATGCCTCCTGACATTTGCCCTTTGGTAATCACTGTACTGGTATTGCTTTGTAAATGTTGGTTACTTAAAATGAATTAAATAAACATTTTTATACTATAAATACCTTTTATGTTGTTATTTAGAATTTGATATTTTTACGTTTACTCTTTACATTGATATCTGTATATTTACAGGACATGAATTTGTTGAGCTGGAAATAACTTTAGTTTTTATGGGAAGTAGTTTAAGGTAGCTGGTGAGTATATACATATGAATATTGTGTGTAACTGTATTTACAGTCATGTTTTCAGGTTCATAAAATGATAAATGAATTGTGCCAATGTTACGTTATTGAAAATGGGACTTGTAGTGTTTCTAGTACACCTTGTTCTTATATATCGGTGAAAAAATATTATTTTTGTATTCATATTTGTCTGATTTCCAGTTAGCTGCAAATATAAGAACTGACGGAAGCAAAAGTCTCTTTGTAGGGGACTTTTGCTTCCCGAATTTTATTGCATGAGTGCAGAAACTACTAAAAGACCAGTCAGATATTTTTTTTATATAAAAAAAAACAACTAATAGTGTCCTGGAGACCTATAACAATTATGAAACTCTCAAAACACTGTAAAATCAAATTCGAGTCACAGCGGATGAGTGGACACAACAAGATTCCATCTGCTTTGGGTATTGTTTATTATGTGCAGCTTGTTGGAAAATGAAGGAAACAGCTTGAAATGTCTTTTTGGCTAACTTTAACCTTGGGGTTGTGCCAGGTGATCCTGAGACATCCCATATTTATGCTGCATACCTCTACGACCTCTGAGATGGTTATGTTTCTCAGGTTGATGGTGGCTTGTTGGCGACAATCCCCCATCCAGAGCAGCAAGTGATGACATTAAATGAGTTGGCTGTCTGAAAATGAAACCGACCTGAACTGAGATAAAGATAAATAACTGAAACATTTATAACATGTTTCTTTCTTCTCGTTTTCATTCATTATTTATATTATTGAGTTTCTGTTCCATTCCCTTTTTTAAAAAAATTCTTGCATGGAGTCTTTTTTTAAAAAGCAACCATATGTTGTACAGATGTATTCTTTAGCTTTGGAATTAATCTACAGACTTATAAACGCGGAGTCCATTTTCCACCGCCTGTGTGTGACGCAGGATTTGGCGTCACGTGACTCTCAATTTAACCCTGCCGTCATAACATGGATAGTGGTGGTGGTGGGGGGCGGCTGTGCGCATGCGCGGTCTGCGGCCGACACTGACATCCTCCAGTCTCCACAAACAGTGTGGTCCATTTCCAGCGGCGGAATTCCTTTAGTCACACATTCCGCAGGTGAGTGCGCACACACGCGGACACCTCTCGTCCGCCTCTGCTGACACTGAATTAGAACCCGGGCCGTTCTGTAGCTTTGAGGTGGTGGCCGGAGGCGGGCAGCGCCGCGGACACCTGAGTGGACGATCCGCAGACTGGACATCTTGCGTGTCAGTGCTGACTGACGCGTTTTAAATCAGCGAGCGTGCACTGGACTGTATTTGTCTCTGTTTAGGTCCAGCTGAAGTTGTTATCGAGCCCCCCTCCCCGCCCCCTTCGAGTAGCTTGTAGATTTATGACCGCATGTGATGGTCCGACTGGCCGGCGGCTGTTTTCAGGGATGGAGGCTGGGGATGCATGACAATGATGTTTACAGATGAACCGACCCGTCGTCCGCTCTGTTTTTACAGGAGATGTCCTCCTTCTTCCTCCTGCTCGCATGTTTGAGCCTTCATGTTGCTGCAGGTGAGATGCTGTCATTGGTTTTTGCTTCCTCAGTTTGAAAACACAACTTTAGACTCTGCTCTTTAAGTAATTAACAAACATTATCATGCACTCAGTACTGCTCTATGTGCAAATTAACTTCTTTCCCCAAACTCAGGGGTAGAATAGTACATAATGTCTGAATTCATCCAAAACAAAGTCAGAATTAATACAGTTCTGTGAGCCAGCTGTAGTTTTCCTGTTTATCACCTTATTTAGTCTATTACAGATTTCTTAGCTTTATTTTGATGGACAAAATACACATTAGGTAGCCAGATCAGTCCAGAATATACTAGAATATAGAGAAGAGAATAGCCTTATTAAAACCTCTAATAGAAAGTGGTACCATGATATAATTCTTTGGTCTGAGTTCTTCATGCCGTGCTGGAGAAGGTTACTGATCATGTCCATTAAACTCTCCCCACAGAGTGGAATTTACTGGGTAAGTCACAGTATAATTTCTCTACCCAAACGTTGATCCTGTGAACATATTACAGTCTGGATAAGATGCTGACATTCTTTTACGCCGTGGCAGGTGAGAGGGAAAAAACCCAGACGCTGTGCGTTGGAAAGGAATTTCGCCTTCCGGTGGACTCAACGTCCAGAATCGTGACATTTACGCCAGACTCTGATGGACCAAGACAAGTCCTGCTGGAGAAAACCACCGTGAGTGGAGATGTGGCTGTGCTTGTGGTTGTGCTTGCTGTGTAAATGGATGGCCCACACCTGCGGTCAGGAAAAGGAATATGGAAATGTGGTTAAAAATTTAATGAAATTCATACAAATGGATTCATTATTAATGGTCAAAATGTTGATACTGTGGGGATCAGAATTTCTTAGAGCAGATTAAGAGTAAAAATATGACGTTTAATGGTCACAAGGAAAGTAAATCAGCACTGGGCTCTCACTAACAAAAGCTCCCTGAGGGTCTCAGTCGGCAAGAGCCCCGAGATCCGGGTGTGATGGTCATTTATCTTCTGCCCCGTACGGAAGGAGGACTGGAGTGTTATTGGCCAGTTTGCTCTGACATGAACAGGCCGGCTCTTAATTCATGCAGATTTAATTGGCAGGAAAGTGTGTGTGGATGTTCACCTTGAAGACCTGTATCTACTGTAACAGAGAAAAGGAGAATCTGTGGACACACCCAGAGAGTTTAACACAAGAGTATAGTTCTAAAAGGAATAGGACAATTTAATGGATTATGTGATAGCATACAATGCTAAAGTGAGTCATTATATGCCATATATCTCAATCTTAACACTGCTGTCCAACTGCAGGTGAAGGACCCGCGGTTCGAGTGGACCAGAGATAAGACGTTGGTGCTGAAAGAGGTGACTCACAGTGATCAGGGAGTCTATGCCAACAAGCTGTCCTTTGGATTCACCTATGAGACAGTTCATCTGATCGTTTCAGGTGTGGCCGCTTCCCATCTGTTTTGTAACGTTTGTCTTCCATCTGGCATTTGAGCCGTTCATTTAGCATCCCCCTGCTCTTCATATTGTCTCAGAGTGGCTGCAAACTAATCCTGCTTGCTTTGTGCCTCCTCCTCGTTCCTCAGAATGCGTGAAACCCTACCGCAGGAACTACGGGGAGAGCTTCGAGCACAGCATCCCTGAAAATGGCTCTCTGCTGGAGTTCACCCCCCGGGGGGCCCCGCCGGAGGCCATGCCCATCGTGCTGTGGAACCGGACGAACCCGCAGACGGGCGAATTCGGCCGTGGGCGGCTGCTACGGGGGGGGAAGGTCTGGGTGGCAGAGAGGGTCACGCAGGCAGATCAAGGCAACTACACAGTGAGAGACGACAACGGGAAGGTGCTGTTTCGCAGCACTCTTTCTGTCCGCGGTGAGCAGTAAACCCGACCTTTTGGAGGACGATTGATTTCTTTGCTCCTAATTTGCTGCCAGTGGTAATAACTGTGTGTCATCTTGCTTTTTCCATCTGTTACCCTCATGACATGACATTTCCTCCATCTCAAACCACTCCCCTGCTTCTGCATAATGCTGCAGGGCACTCCTTTAATGTGACGCGCTTCACCAAGGAGTCTTTAAACCTCCCCTTATTTCTCCCTGTCCATCATGCCCATCTCAATTTCACCCCCGGCCGATTTCCCGACGAATCGTCCCTCGGACCTTTTGACCCCAGACCTCCGCGTGGCCCCGTGCAGCTGATGCATGAGGGCCACATCATGGACCACGACTTGCGCTACAGAGGCATCCTCTCTCTGAGCAGGAACGGATCCGTCCACGAGGTCGTCATCACAAGACTGACGTCAAGGCACGATGGGCTGTATGAAGTCAGGGATGGGAATGGCAACCTGGTGTCCTCCACCTACTTGCATATGATCGGTGGGTCGCCTCATCAGTCCGGCCGTATCTGAGCACGTAGCTTCGCCGTTTCTTCTCTTCTCAACATCCGTCCTGTCTATGTGCATCTAATCTTCCCAGATAAAAAGGGGGGTTCTTGGCGGGCTCTCTTTAAGTCCATCACGGTCCCCTCCGGCATGTTTGTGTCGCTGGCAGGGTTCATCCTGTTCATAAAGCGCTACCCAACCTGCAGCCTGTCCCAAATCTTCAACGGCATCAGAACAAATCGAACGCCGGCGGCCAACCCTCCAAGTGTTAACATCCAGGTGAGGAACGCCAGGTCAAAGCCACCGCAGCATTTTGTGATTATTCATATCAAAGTAACATGTTTCCTCTCAGTGTGGATAATGACTATGACTTTCTTACCACTATGCTTATGTTCACGTGTTTGTGCGCTTCTCATTGCAGGACTACAGTCACCCTCATCTGCCCCCTCCAGCCTACAGTCACTCTGTGCAGCCTGGAACACCAAGAAAATGGACTCCAAGAGCCAGCCCCTCACACACCGTGAGTCAAATGAACTGAATAAAAGCTGATGAGGCTCTTAAACTGACCTACAGTAAGTGTAGGAGTGTGCATGACTTTGTTTGTATTTTCCAGGGTTATACTGTTATGAGCGAGTCTCCGAGAGCTGAGAACCAAGAGCAACAAAGAATGAGAGCTGGGAGCTCTCCTCGTCGTAATGTCCCCACAGAGGTAAAACAGTCCCGTGTTCCATCTGTGTTTGTACCACATTCAAGTAAAAAAAAGTCATGCGTCTCTTTTCCTTACAGCAGGACAGATCTAATGAGGAAGAGGAAGACAGGATTTCCTTTTCTGTGCCGGGAGCTTCAGACTGCCTCCACTCCTCTGAGGGCTGTGTTCAGTTTCAGTTAAAAAAAGATGGACACGAGGGAAGGTGGAGCAAATCACAAGAGTTCTTCACCACACTGCCACTAGACACGGACACCTCTGAATCCTGCAGTGTTTACACATCAAAGAAATTGGACTTTTTATAAAAATTAAAAATAAAAACCGAAATAAGGGCAGATGTGTAAGTCACACATAAATGACAGGAAGGTGATGTTATGAAAAAGAACATTTTTACCATGGCAATGTGAGGTCAACAGTATTCTAACTCTTTTGTTTGTGTTTTTTTTAAACACTTTTGATTCAGGCAGCATGCATTGAGCATTAACGTAATCGTTTCACATTGCACAGGCGGATGGTGCTTCACAAATCTCCCACTGCTACCTACCTCCAGACCCTCAGGACCAATATGATCTGCACTGAAATAGCTGAGTGTTCATGTTAAATGATATTGAATTCTTCTTAGAAATAAGTGTCATCTCACTGAAGTTTGAAAATGAGATTTTGAAGTACCTTACAGCAATATAATCCTGGCTGAAGTATTTGTTGACAGTGTTACTGCAGAAACAGTAACTTCTCATTTTAATGACCTGTCCTGCAGTTTGTTTATGCAGATGTAGTGCGTTTAACCTCGATACAATTGTATAATAGTCGCATTGTGTGTAACATGTTTCTTCAAACATTGTAACTGTGTAAATATTTTAATTTGATGTGAAAGATATCACCAACTCTCTCCTGTGTCATATCTCAAATGATACAATTTAACAAACTAATAAAAATAAAAAGTTTAACACACAATTATTTCATTTTATACTTTAAAAAAGTATTTTCTCATTTAAGAGCAGGGGTCCCCAAAGTCGATCCTCGGTCCTGCAGGTTTTAGAAGTTTCCCTGCTTCAACACACCTGAATCGGGTTAGGGTTCCCTAAACAGAATTGAGCAAAGTCTTTGAACTGATCCACTTAATCAGAATCAGGCGTAAAGCAGGGAAACTTCTAAAACTTGTGTTATACTGGAGTTGGAGGCCCATGGTTAAGAGTATCCCTCACCCCTTAATTTTTACAGATCGAGATGCACTGGGTTATGTTATCTCTCGATTAGACCAGGCACCACTGATTTTCAGTATAGCTTGACTAAAAAGAACGTCAGTTTCCAATATTACCTGTGAAAGACCATTGAATAGTTTTCAAAACTATAAAACAAAAATAAAATGAAAAATTGTTTAACTGTTGTTAAATAAAAAAGCAACAAGGGGTTAGCTAGTTTTGCAAGGCTCTGAATTTTACTTAGACGAGTTGATTATTTTCCCTCAGCGCAGTGTCGTATATCCGGCGGTAGAGGGCAGTGCAGAAACTCTTATGTGGATAAAATAACGTAGAAGAAGAAACAGCAGTTGGGTTTTATAGCGGCAATGAAAGGACGTGTTTCTTCAAATATAAGCACATTATAAGTCTGTTTTGCGGTACGGAAAATCTGGTGCCAAGCAACATTAATTTATACTGAGGAGGGCATTTTTTGGACTGCATTCGGAAGATGTCTTTGGTTTGTGCGAGTAAGTCAAGCTGACTTCATTGATATGACGGAGGCAGTACGTTAGCTAGATAGCAAGCTAATGCTACTTGCTAATGTAGCTAACGTTAACCTCCAAGCACAGCGTCTTCATACTAAGATATTATAGTGGCCTGTTTATTTTTATTTATTTTTTTTCACCACTGTGTTTGTTTCTGAGGGAAATTAATAATCTGCATATTAACTTTTTTTAATAGTCTGCAACGAGGTACCGGAGCACCCGTGCATCTCTCCGGTATCCAACCATGTGTTCGAGCGCAGATTGATCGAGAAGTACATCGCGGAGAATGGGACGGACCCGATGAATGGACAGCCTCTCTCCGAGGAGCAGCTCCTGGATATCAAAGGTAAACCAAACGGGGTGCTAAGCTTAATTCAAGAGATGCAGTCTTTGCTTTTTTGATCTTGCGGTTTTGATTGAGAAGGCCGACGTTTGCATCACTTTACGCCTCTGGATAAACTAAATAAAACACTATATGTATATCAATCTTTTCTTTTTTTTTTGTAATGTAACGACTTCTTTTGAACGTTTTCTACAAAGCTTAACATCATGTTCTTAATGTCTAGGAAATTATTGATGGTTTATGTTTTTATAGTGTTAAATAAAGGAAGAAAAGCAAAGAGTTCACAGACACTGATCATGTATTGCCATGTACATGCAAATAAAACTAGAGATGCATATTATTGTAATGATCTGGAGTAGTGTATTGTTTGTTATTATATTATTATTATTATTATTACTACATTATAGTATTGCAGCCACTAGGAGATCTGTTTGTACAACATAACTTAATGTATTATTTGATTTTTGTGTTGTAGCCATGAAAGATGACCTAGTTAAAATGTGACGTTGTTTGGTTTGAAAAGGTGTCTGATTTTCTTTTGTGTCTTTTAGTGACTCACCCCATTAGACCAAAAGCCCCTTCAGCAACAAGCATTCCTGCCATCCTCAAGTCCCTCCAGGATGAGTGGGTGAGTGATGTTGGCCCAAAGGATGAAAGAAATATCCGCTGCGATACTAGTTGATTAAATTTTGACAAAATCCCTGCTCTCCCCTAGTCTGCATTGGTTTCTTTGATAATATAGCTGTTGCATCCTGTATTCTTTAACATTAAGTATAGCACATTGGGCCAGTATTATAAAGTGCAAACATAAATGCAGTGACACACTCTTGTGACATGAATACTTCCTCTTCTTTTCTGAAATTCATTGTTTGTGAAGAGTTTCTTAGATTATTACGTTTTAACACTGAGGAAAGTTCTGTTTCCTGTGTACTAGGATGCCGTCATGCTCCATAGCTTCACCTTGCGACAGCAGCTGCAGACCACTCGCCAGGAACTTTCGCATGCCCTTTATCAGCATGATGCTGCCTGCAGAGTCATTGCTCGACTCAACAAAGAGGTCACAGCTGCCAGAGAAGGTGTGTAGATGGCTGTTTGTACGTCCTGCTTTGCAGGCTATCGCCATAGATGTACCACATTGAAAAAGGATTTTGTGCAATGGATTGAGTACCATTAGCTTAACCTGTGTTTCTATTTTTGTTGTGCAGCTCTTGCCACTCTTAAACCCCAGGCTGGGCTGGTTGCCCCTCAGGCAGTTCCCACCTCTCAGCCTGCTGTTGCAGTGAGTAACTTTATTATGCTGTACTAAAACTTTGTAACACAGGCTTTGGAAAAAAAGAAAAAGCCACCAACACCTGCTCTGGTTTTTGAGTGGTGGTAGAAAGTGTTTAATCAGCACTTTCAAATGGACCTGCTGCATTATGGGGTATTTATCAGTATTTATCTGTATTTCAGGGTGCTGGCGGAGAGCCTATGGAGATCAGTGAACAGTTGGGAATGACCCCAGAGATCATCCAGAAGGTATGATTCTTTTACTTAGAACGTTACCCAAAAACATGATATTTCTACAGTATACTTTCCATTTCTTAGCGTTTTTATATCTATATTCAATGTTTTTTTCCTCTGTCATTTGCAGCTCCAAGACAAGGCTACTATCCTCACCACGGAGAGAAAGAAGGTATTAGGCTGATTTCATTCAGTTGCTTTTTGGTTACACATGGTTGTTTGTACATACCTCAGAAAGTTGTATGTGATGTATAACATGTGCTCACATTTGTTGTACCCAGAGAGGAAAAACTGTACCAGAAGAGCTGGTCAGAGCTGAGGATCTCAGCAAATATCGTCAAGTGGCCTCTCATGCTGTAAGTATGGCTGCTGTGTAATCAGACTGCATGTCAGTTTGAATGGTTTAAGGTGGGAGATGCCAACATGCTGCCTCATGTGTCTTCAGGGTCTTCATAGTGCCAGTGTACCTGGTATTCTGGCTCTGGATGTGTGTCCATCAGACACCAACAAAGTGCTCACCGGTACAGTCAAGTTGCCTTTCGTCGGTTTGCATCTGTTGACATATCTGACCTCAACGCATTCTAACTTCCATTTTGGTCTCTTCAAGGTGGAGCTGATAAGAACGTTGTGGTGTTTGACAAGAGCGAGGAGCAGATTGTTGCCACTCTTAAGGGCCACACCAAGAAGGTCACCTCTGTCATCTACCATCCATCCCAGGTGAATCTTCATCCATTTGTTCCAGTCATTTGTCTTTTTCTTAGTCAGAAAAGTGAGGGCACACGTCAGACCCGATTCTCTATCTAATTCGTAGTTTTTGCACTTTCTTTCTCTTCCCTCCTAGTCGGTGGTGTTCTCTGCCTCTCCTGACAACACCATCCGTGTGTGGTCCGTCACTGGAGGCAACTGTGTGCAGGTGGTGCGTGCCCACGAGGCGGGGGTCACCGGCCTCTCCCTGCATGCTACTGGGGACTACCTGCTCAGCTCTTCTGAGGATCAGGTGTGTGTGCAGCCGGACAGACTCGATTCTTTTCTGCGGTGAGCTACTGCTGCAAGGCCATATTAACATCACTGTGTGTTTGCCTTGCAGTATTGGGCCTTTTCTGACATCCAGACCGGCCGAGTCCTCACCAAAGTTACTGATGAGAGTGCCGGCTGTGGTAAGTCTGCCCCCGCCTGCTTTGCTTTGTTCCCTTGACAGCCCGGGTTGCTTTCTGGGTGTTAAAGTTTCTGTTTTGGCTTCTCAGCTCTCACTTGTGCTCAGTTCCACCCTGATGGTCTCATCTTTGGCACTGGTACCGCCGATTCTCAAATCAAGATTTGGGATCTGAAGGAGCGCACCAACGTGGCCAACTTCCCCGGCCACTCTGGACCCGTCACCTCCATTGCTTTCTCTGAGAATGGATACTATCTGGCCACAGGTGAAGAGTTTGTGGGAGGATATTAGAAACTGCTCAAACATTGTGCTAGAATAAACCCCGTCATCAGCTTACTCCTGCACGTAACTGACTGATGAGAGTGCCGGCTTCATATGTGTTGTTTGTCATTGTCGTCCAGGGGCACAGGATAGCTCTCTGAAACTGTGGGATCTTAGGAAACTGAAGAACTTCAAGACTATCACTTTGGACAACAACTATGAGGTGAGACATGCAGACTTTGTCTTTGAATGGAGTTTAGTTTTTGAAAGTCTTGGTATCACCATCAAGAGACGAAAGAAGCCGGAGTATCACCTCTAATTGTACTTTTTTAAAAATGTTTTTGTTGAAACCTTTTTTCCTTTTGAATCTCATCTGGTTGCGTTTTCGTTTCAGGTGAAGTCCCTGGTGTTCGATCAGAGTGGTACCTACCTGGCTGTGGGAGGGTCTGACATCCGTGTCTACATCTGCAAGCAGTGGTCCGAGGTGCTCAACTTCACAGGTAAGGCACAAAAGCTGTTCTCTGTTCAGAGATTTGTTTCATGTGCAGGTGAAGCAGAAGAGTTTTATTCACCTGGATTTTTTTCTTCCCTTCGTGTCATAGATCATACAGGATTGGTGACTGGGGTGGCCTTTGGAGAAAATGCTAAGTTCCTGACGTCCGCAGGAATGGACAGAAGTCTGAAATTTTACAGTTTGTAGAAGAGAAGAGATTCAGGAGAAGCAGAGGAGACCAGTTGAGCCCAGGATGGCATGATCAGAGCAGCAGCTGTCCTGGACGTCATCATTTTTAGAAAAGAAAGTAAAAAAATAAATCACTTATAACGTTGCTTCTGTTAGTGTGTTAGTCCTCATGTTCAGGAAACATAGGCCTGAACTGCTCTTTGAAATCCCAGCAGCATGTGAGTTTGACATGCTCGTTGGCGTTTTGCGTTCAACATTGAAATAATGGAAAATGAGTGAAGCCGCCTCCGTGAAAGTCCCGTTCACCCGCAGTTATAATTTGATTGTAGTTTTTTAACCTTTTTTTTGTGGGTATTTTGGTGGTGGGGTGGGGAGGGGGGGATTCTTCAGTCGCTTGTGATGCAACTCTGCAGTGTACTCGGTCAAAAACTATTAATTGATGGTGATCTATTGATCTATTAATCACTTGGCTCCTTAATGTAGAACAGCTTCATTACAGTTTAGGATGAAACAGAAACATCTGTACTTATCTACAGTACAGTGGAAAATGAACAGTTGTAGGACATTTTTTTCACCTGTTTAAAATGTAGTCTTGGTTATCCTTCCATAAGTTTAATTTCTTTTTTTGTTCCACTGAAACATGTCTTCTTATTTCCCCAATTGTATATTCTTCATTACCTGTTGCACCTCTGCCTTTTGAAGATAAAATAAAATATCTTTTTCAATTTAACTCTGTTTGAATTTATTCACTTACCAATAGTGTACACATTAAACTCATAGGTTTACCCACTCATTAGTTTGTTTGGTGAGGGTGGATTTGAGCCTCAGGTCTCTGGTTGTCTCCAGAGGTTGGAAATATGAACTATTCAAAGCTGGTTAAACAGATGTGGTCTGACTTATGCATCTAATGCAAACTGGGTTTTAATATTTTACCAGTCAAGGTATATATGTTCCTATATTTTAATGAAGGCATTCATTATTATGTTGCAATATGAATATCAGAATAAATGTTACATGTTTATTTAAAATGTGTCCCCCATGTCAGTTAAGTACAAAGTTAAATGTATGCGAGTACCTCCGTATTTACTTGGACAAGCCAGCTACTGGGCTAAATCTAAGAGTGGAACATTCACACCAAAACATTTTAACTTTGTGCTGAAATTTCGTGCTTCCGCGGCGTTCGACGCCGTCCCCGGAGTCTTCCGCCCCTCGTGGCCAAACGTGGTAACGACGTCATGTATCACGTGAGACTGCAGTAACGTGACTAACGGGAAGTGAGAGACTGGGGGGGACAGAACTTCTCACAAACCTCACTAACACGGCTTCACTCGGTCAGCAGCCCGCGGTCTGCCCGTCGGTACCGAACTGGACCTCCCGAGAGTGAGAGCGTAGGAGTCCAGTAGGATTGTAGGAGGCACACAGGTAAGATATTCGACCTGTAGCCTGGGTTTGTGTTATCCTGCCCTTCCTCAGCTTGTTTTCCACTTTGGCTCCTATTCCCACAAATAGCAAATGACTGGGTTAAGCTATTCAATTCCCCTAACATGAAAGGGGCAACGGGTTAACGCGCCCGAGCTGTCTGCTGTACCGCTTGGTTCCGCCGTCTGCGGCGTGTTAAGAAAAACAAAACTTTATCCCAGTTCTGGGGACGTTGACAGACGTTGTGGAGGTAGCTCCCTGACGAAAATGCTAGTTTCTTTTATCTTGTCATGGTCCAGGTTTCCCAGGCTTCACAAATTGCATAACAGAGAGCAACAGTTTATTAGGTTTCTCTCAGATGACTCCTATCAAGGCGTTCAGGTCTGGCTGTGATCTAGAATAGCAGCAGCCTCGACCCGCAGTTTCAAAGCGGCAGTGAAAGCAGCACCAGTCCTTTTTAAACCAAACAAAAACAGTCATGTAAAAGGTGAGCTGCCGTGTCCATCTGTCCAGCACCACCCTGACATCTGGCTGTTTTCGTTAAGGAGGGCTCCAGAGTTTTTCATTTGTGTCATTTTTGTGGAGAAGAAAACAATCAATCACCAATTTTGAAAGAGTGGGAATCCCTTCTGGTCATCTCAGTCAGCAGGACCCTACACTTCCTCTTTGTCAAGTTTCCAACTTCACCATTCCAACCAAGAAAGGAACAAATTAAACAGAGTGTCTCTCCCCGGTTCAAACATGTTCAGATTGAAGCTGCAGCGCGCTGCCTTTATGTTTAGAGAGGTCAAATAAAAACCCTCATCTGGCTTGTTTCTTCTGTGATGGGCAGGCCACTATGGGATCCATGTTCCGAAGCGAGGAGGTGTGCCTGGTGCAGCTCTTCCTCCAGTCCGGCTCAGCCTACAATTGCGTCAGTGAGCTGGGAGAGCTGGGCCTGGTGGAGTTCCGAGACGTGAGTCCCTTACAGTCTCCTTTTCTCTGGTTTGTCACCTTGTGGAGCAGATCTGTCCGAACACCAAGGCTGGTGGAGGATTGCGGAGTTAGAGTTAAAATTTATTTCTGTGTGTTTTGGGTACGATGCAAATGTTATATCATGTCAAACCCCTATTTTCCTCTCTCTGTTGTAATGGGATGAACATGTTTCCTCTTCCTCTTCCCCCTGCTCTCGTCTTTCAGTTAAATCCTAACGTAAATGCCTTCCAAAGGAAGTTTGTGGGAGAGGTCAGACGATGCGAGGAGCTCGAGAAGACCTTTAGTAAGTACTAACTTTTGCTCCATCTTTATTGAGAATAATTCTCTGTCTGCTCTTACTGACTCTGTCTATCTGACCTTCAGCCTTCCTGGAGCAGGAGATCAGTCGCTCCTTGTCCCCTCCCCTACAGGGTCCCCTGCCCCCACCATGCCCGATACCTTCGGCCCCTCAGCCTCGAGAACTCATCACCATAGAAGAAGAAAGTGAGAGGCTGGCCAGAGAGCTGAAAGAGGTAAAAAAAAAAAAAAACGGCAGAGAGGATGACTGTATGACAGGGCTGAGTGCTCGGGGCTTAAAGGGATGTCTTGTGTGCTCCTCTACAGGTGTCCAGAAATAGGGACAGCCTTCGGGCTCAGCAGACCCAGCTTTGTCAGTACCGAGGAGTGCTGACCAGAACGCACTCGCTTACAGCCTCACAGGTGATCAGAAGCCCCACACCCGCCACAGTCTCTGCATCATAAAAAGTGTTTCTCTAAAGTATCTCAAACAGACTCCAGATCGATGCTCCACTCTGGTTGATTCTCACAGGCGCCGCTTCCTGTGCTGGAAAGCCAAGGCCTCTTCGATAACCGCCACGATATCCACCTCAGGTAGATGTCATTTTCAGAAATGTACCCGTTTCCATGCCTTTGATTCTCATTGAGCATGCTTCCTCGTGTCTCAGTTTCGTAGCAGGCGTGGTGCACCCTTGGAAAGTCCCATCCTTTGAGCGGTTGCTATGGCGGGCATGTCGTGGTTACATCATTGTGGATTTCAGGGAGATGGAGGACCGACTGGAGCACCCAGACACGGTGGGTAGCTTGTAGACGGAGATAGGGGCTGTGGTGGAAAGATTAGATTTGAATATATCCCTCATCTCAGGAGATTTTTTTCTGTCACTTAACACTGGCTATTTGTTTGTTTTTTATTTTAGGGGGAAATGGTGCAATGGACAGTGTTCCTCATCTCCTTTTGGGGAGATCAAATCGGACAGAAGGTCAAGAAGATATGCGACTGGTGGGAAACAAAATTTCAATGTTAGATTTTTGTTTTGTTTTGCTGTGGTTCGCACTGCTTTGTACTGAGGCTGAATTTCCTCCTCACAGCTTCCACACACAGACGTTTGCATACCCTGAGAGCCCAGCTGAGAGAGAGGAGATCCTGCAGGGGCTACAGGGCAGAATTGAAGACATCAAATCAGTGAGTGGAGAGTCTCTTCTTAGTGCCATTTTGATTGTTGAATCCATGCACTGGGAAGCTTCAACTCTCTTGTGAAGTGGATGCTCCGTGTTTGGTATTTTCCATCGCCTCACCTTCTCCTGTCCCGCTGTGCCTCAGGTGTTGTCTCAGACTGAAACCTTCCTGCAGCAGCTGCTGCTGCGTGCAGTGGCCATCCTGCCCCAGTGGAAGGTGCGGGTCAAGAAGTGCAAGGCGATCCAGATGGTACTAAACCTCTGCAGCCCCTCGGTCACTGACAAGTGCCTGATCGCTGAGGCCTGGTGTCCCACGGCCAAGCTGCCCGAGCTGCAGAGCGCCCTGCGGGAGGGAGGGGTGAGACGGCGCGGCCGCAGGCACACACACACACACACACACACACACACCCAGCCTTTTGGATGTGACTCATCAGTAATGCTCTATCTTTCCATCCATCCTCAGAGGAAGAGTGGCAGTGGGGTTGATTCCTTCTACAACCGCCTGCCCTCCTCAACCCCTCCGCCCACCCTGTTCCCCCTCAACTCTTTCACCGCCGGTTTCCAGAACATCGTGGATGCTTACGGAGTGGCCAGCTACCGCGAGGTCAATCCAGGTGCGTCAGTAAAAAAAAAAAATCTTTCAGACACTTTGGGGCCCCACAAAGCTTAATGATGCAAGTGTCCCTAAAGTTTCCCCTCCATTCCCCTGCAGCGGTGTACACCATAATTACATTCCCATTCCTGTTTGCGGTGATGTTTGGGGACGTTGGTCATGGTTTACTGATGTCTCTGGCTGCCCTCTGGATGGTCCTTGAGGAGAAAGACCCAAAACTCAGGAACAATAACAATGAGGTAATCCTGACACTGCTAGTTTGCATAAAAAGCCAAAAACATTTGAAAAATCCAGCTGTTACAAGGTAATTGTGTGTATTCACAGTCTGATTGTAGCTACTTTTTATTGAAATAATGGTTGAGGCTGTGCTTCAAAAATCCAAGCTAAGATAAATAAAGATGATATTCTCACAGAATATCTTTTCTTAGCTTGTCTTATGTAATTTTCAAATAAGAACTTCCTTATAGGAGGTCTGACAGCTGTTTTTTGGTGAAAAACATGGATCATTGACGTGTCCTGCCTTTGTGTTTTCAGATCTGGAGGATGATGTTCGGAGGCCGGTATCTGATTCTGCTGATGGGACTGTTCTCCATCTACACTGGGGCCATTTACAACGAGTGCTTCAGCAGGGGCATTAGCACCTTCAGTTCAGGGTGGCACGTCGGCCCCATGTTTGAAAAGAATATTTGGAAGTGAGCACAGATCATGCAGCCATACCATTATTTTTAATGGACTCAATTTTGTTTGATTGATTAGTGCCCACTCTTACTTCCGTCTGTATTTTTTCTCTCAGTGCATCGGTACTGGAGGGGAACCAGTTCTTGTCCATGGATCCTGTGGTGTCGGGCGTATTCACCACCCCCTATCCATTTGGAATTGACCCGGTATGGCTTATACATTCATTTTCCTCTCATAAAAAATAATCCAGAATCCCCCCTTTCTCATTCGGGATTTGTGGTTGTCGTCATCAGGTCTGGGGCATGGCCAACAACAAGTTAACCTTTCTAAACTCGTACAAGATGAAGATGTCGGTCATCATCGGGATCTTTCACATGACTTTCGGAGTCTGCTTGTCCTTCTTCAACTACTGGTGAGAGATCAGGTTTTCCCTGATCCGCAGTGCCTTCTTTTCATACTTACTGAGCGTTGCCTTCACTTGTCCTGGTTGTTCTCGTTCTCTTCAGGCACTTTGGTCAGTTCAGCAGTGTGTTCTTCGTGCTGATCCCTGAGCTCTTCTTCATGCTGAGTCTCTTTGGCTACCTGGTGTTCATGGTGGTCTTTAAGTGGATCGCCTACACGCCTGCTGATTCCCAGATGGCTCCCAGTATACTGATCCACTTCATAGACATGTTCCTCTTCACAGACAACCCAGACAACCCACCTCTTTATCCAGGGCAGGTATGTGCTCATACATGACCTGACACTTCATACTTTTTTGTTTTCTTCTCCCTCCCAAAGAAACTGATTTAATTGAATTGTGTCCATAAAATCTGAAATGCCATGTTAACTATTTACAAACATGATGGTTATTTCTTAGGTTACATTTTGACGTAGTCAAAAATGGCTTGTTTTTGTGTAAAGAGTTGCTACTTGACTTCTTGTCAGGGTTTGTTGTGTGCTTTGGGTTTAATTTTGGTCAGAATTTTAAATGTAGATGGAAAAGAGTGATGAGCTCTCAACCCTCAGATGCCATGTCTATTACAAGCACATGAGCACGATATGCTTTTCAGATATGAAAATCTGTGCTTGACGGCATTTACAAGCCACAATAATGATATTGTTTCTCTCATTGTTCAGAAGATATGTAATGTTCACCATTTTAAGGGCTTGTTAGGTCATTTCCATAATGTGGAACTGTGACAGCAGCGTTGTTGTTCAACATGTCTCTGCTTTCCCTCTGTAACTCTGCTGGTAGCTCATTGTGCAGAAGATCTTGGTGGTGCTGGCTCTGTGTTCAGTCCCGGTGCTCCTGCTGGGAAAGCCCACATGGGAGTACGTCACATTCAAGAAAAGACGACGCCAAGTTGTGAGTCTGTGAATGTTTGATCTTTTACCCACTCCAGGCTGTGTGTTTTTCTTTCTGACGGATCTTTAATTCTCTTTCAGGAGGAGGATAGACGTCCACTGGTGGCCGACGATGGCTCAGTAAACACTCGTCAGGGGGAGGTGGAGGGTGGAGCAGCCGAGGAGGAGGTCAGAATCCTAATTGAATTTCTCAAGCAGATTAAATTTGGTCAGAGAAACACTCGTGTTTCTTGTTTAATCATTTGTGCTGTATTGCCTGTAGGAATTTGATGCTGCCGATGCGTTCATGCACCAGGCCATCCACACCATAGAGTACTGCCTGGGCTGCATCTCCAACACAGCCTCCTACCTGCGACTCTGGGCCCTCAGTTTGGCGCACGCACGTTAGTTGTACACATTTTGGCTCTTCCATCTCACATGATACTCACACAGGACTTCTCTAAAACTTGAAATAGACCTTGACTCACACAGTCATGATGCGTGTTGCTTTTCCAGCCAGCGGTGTGTTCCTCTGACTGAGAGTTATTTGTGTCTCCACAGAGCTGTCGGAGGTGCTGTGGGTCATGGTCATGCGTATTGCTTTGAAGTGGCAGGGTTATGTGGGCTCTGCTGTGCTCTTTGTAGTTTTTGCCTTTTTCGCTATGCTGACCGTCTCTATCCTCCTGGTTATGGAGGGACTCTCAGCTTTCCTGCACGCGCTACGTCTGCACTGGTAAGGATGGGAAGACCAATAAGGAATGCAATGTTTAGGTGCTATGGCGGATGTTTTACGAAACATGATTTATACCTCAGCTGCTTAGGGTGACACAAACCATGCATTTCAGATATTTTACAATGTTGCTCTGACGGATTTGCGGGACTTTGTTGTTCCCTGCTGACTTTGACTCTGCTTGTATTTCTTGCAGGGTGGAGTTTCAGAATAAGTTCTACAGTGGAACGGGCTACAAACTCAGCCCTTTCTCTTTCACAGCGCTGATCAATGCTTCAGCTCCTATATGATCTGCCTAATAATTGCCAAACAGTTAAATTAACTTATGTCAGTGTGTATCTTAATGGTATTATGTTGCCTGTAGGCCATGAAATGGTTTAATTGACTTGCACAATGATCACAATGAATGATACGGACTGTTATTTTTGCATTATAAGAATGTGTCCTAGTACGTTGAATTATGACTTTATTATATGAAAAGTATACATTTGTATCCCCTTAATTTTTTAACCGGTTTTATGTAATGCTCTCTCATTGCCCTTTCAGTAGTTTGAACATAAATTGGTACTCATGTACTTTTCACTGTATACATTTTTATTATACACATCAGTTACGAAAAGGGAAAGTACATGTAATAACCGATCAGTTTAAGGGAACGTGTGACTTTCTGAATGGTAACCACATTCTGCAGAATTGTTCACACAGCAGAGAATGATCTGAATGATTTTCCTGAGCCAAAGATACTTTCCCTGCCTATCATGTCTTCCAAACACACCACAGATATTCATTCATGGTTCGAGATTGTTAAGTGCCTTACTGGAATGGACAAACCACAACTACTGTTGACATGCCACTACTGTGTACCAAACCTCGCAAAATAAGTTAATTTCTTTCAGTTTTTTGCCAGTAAAAACTTTCAAATGTATCAAATTTAAACTGGAATTAAATAAAATTTTCTTGTTGAGTCTTATCATGTGACATTATTTACTAGCTATGCTGTTTAAGGCTCGCTTATCCACACTGATTACATGTCACATGTCTGCCACCACATAATGGAATGATGATCAGTGGTTGAAAGGGAATTGACTCTTCAGTCACGCCCTGATTTAAGATGGACAAATTATGATATGATACACTTTAAAAATATTACTCTGCAATACAGGACAGGTAAGGAGTAAGCAAACTTTAGAATTTCTTAATGTTATTTTAGTAATTCATTTAGCATTATGTTATTGATTCTATTTACGTATAATTGGTTGTTACTGTGACAACCGAATGCTATGCTAGGTTCGGTAGGCAAAGTTTTCATTTCCAAAACTGCGGTTGAATAAATTCGGATTAAAACTAATCTGTGAAATTCAATTAGGTATTAAATTAAACCAGAAGTCATGCACACATAGTTAACCATAATCATGAAATGCCTTAATTTCTTAGTAATCTTCAGTGAAGATTATGGAGTTTCTCATGCCTACTCTAATAGACTGATGACAGAGAATATGTTTTCAGTCAAATACAAGTACAAATCCATCAGGTTTTGCTGAAGAATGAGGAGTGGGCGGAAAGTGACAATTTGCCGTTGTTTCTATCAGGGCTTTTTACTGAGTAACACAAGGCGAACCGGATATTATTAGGATGTCAAAGATGGCGTCCAGCATTTCACGGTGATATCTTATCAAACACTTAGACCAACAAAGTTGCTTTGTTGACACCAGTCGTGGTTAAATGGTAGCAAATAGAGTCTAGCAAGAGAAGTGGACACGGTTCTGGCGAAGATGGCTCTTAGGGAAGTTAGTCGAAATGTGCGGCTGCTGTTAGGTCAAATTCAGCGGGGTCGTCCTGTGGGCTCCGTCAGCCTGACAGGTTGGTTGAAAATGCGTTTTCTATGTGCTGGGCTGCGTAAACCATCACAGACTCTTCACTGTTAGCGGAATCTAACTTGTTACCTTTTTCTTTTTTTTACGAACCACTGTGGTTGCAGCTCGGTGTATGAGCAAAGCTGCCGCTCAGCCGGAACCAAAAGCCGATGAGCACGAAGCCGTGAACCCGACCTTTGTGAACAGGAACCCCCGGAACCTGGAGCAGATGGCTCTGGCCGTAAAGGACCGCGGATGGAAGACGAGCTGGCCCCATCAGAAGTTCTACCACAGGTCCGAATCAGATTTCTAGAATAAGAATACGTGTATTGTGAGAATGCCCCCAGGCATTCTGCATCCTTCTACTATACAAATCGTATCTTCAAACGCAGGTGAATTTGATTTTGTCTGTTTCACCTTTCAGATAAATGTATTTGACCTTTTTCATGAGCACTCATCACTGTGATGAAAGCTCTTTACCTTTTGACTAAATTCTTAAAGTTGTTGGTATGTTTTATGTGACTAGAGACATCCATTTAAAGCATGCCAAAATAATTGCATATTGTCATTTGATAATGATTGAATTCATTAACAATGAATTGATGGCTTGTCCCAGGTATTTAATTGTGATGTTGTTTGGGAGAAGTGAGGAACTGTGTAAGGGTTTATACAGTCTCTGTCCGCCCATTGTGGGTGTTCTCGTGTCCTTTCAGGTTGACTTTCTCTCGCAGTCAACACCACGTGACAGCAGAAGTGTTCTCCAGCAGCTCCTCTGTCCCGGTGCTCTCCTGTTCTACCAAAGAGTGGGCAGTGAAGAGGGAGCTGGCGTCCACAAACTGCGTGGCAGCGTGTCAGGCTGTGGGGGAGGTGCTGGCACACCGCTGTCAACAGGCTGGCATCACCAGGATGGTGTATAACGCCATTCCCTGGACGTACCGTTCAGACTCTGTGAGTACAGCCAGCAATGACAGGCGGGTTTTTTTCTCCTTTTGCTGCATCTGTTTGATGTGATCTCCACCTTTCTTGCAGGTTCAGGCTTTCAGGACAGCAATGAAAGAGGGAGGAATCACTCTGAGCGAACCCAGAAGGAAATATATTGGGACCTGAAATTTGGTGTATCTGTTGTTTTGATAACTGTCTTCTGAATCCTTTGGCTGCTTTTTCGTCATTTATTGGTGTGTGCATTCTAAGGCTGCAGTAAATGTGACGTTTATTGTGCATAAAGCCTTTCTGAAGCTAAGCCGTTTTCATCCAGTGCATCATTGAATCAAGGGGTAAAATGTCTGGAGTACAATCATTTTATTTTTTTTTACCCACAAAGTGCTTGTAAACAAGAGTGAGGTGCAGATGACATACAGCTTAACACAACATGGAAAAGATAGTGAATACATCTAAAAAAAATCCCAAACAAACTTCACTGGTCGTTTTGATCACGCGCACCGCTCCCACAGGCAGTGAAAAGTGAGAGCTGTGAGATTATAAAGTGCGTGTTTTCATTTTTATTAAAGGTGAGCATGCAGGTTAAATGAATTAAGCTTGTGGTTGCCGGACAAAACCACTTAACACCAGCATGAAATAATGTTCCAAATCATTCTGGAGTTATGAACCGATTCAAAGTATATGCATATAAAGCATATGAAAACCCTGACTGGTTTGTTCTTGCAGGCTGGGCTAAAAAAACAACAACATGCACTTAGGTAATCAGTAATTCTGTGTTGATACCTACACACCGCACGTGTGCATCAACGCACAACCAGAGTGTCACATCATGACGCAATCAAACCAGGTAAGAAACAGTACAAGAGGAATACAATATCCACCAACCACCTCATAATAAAAACATTAAAAATACCAGAGTCATGTTTTGTTCTAAGAGGAAGGCACTCATGCAGTCCTGGCATTAACTTACAATAAAAATAAAGTGGGTGTCAATGTTGTTTTTTACATGATCATATGACAAGCGCTTCATTAAATAGATTCACTGGCACATACTTAGGGATATATGTTTTGGCAAATAGGCATGCGCCATAAAACTGGCCCTGACGTGGTGGGTAATGCACAGCTTAGATACGGTGAAATGCTCCCATCTGAGAACGACGAGCGTGCTGCTGGAATGAACGACATGAGGAGCTGGCGGTAGAAAAGCCTCACATTTACAGAGGAAGGTAAGAACAATAATTGCATAGATCTCTGCAGTGTTGACAGGACAGCTACAGAGGCCGAGGGGGAACGCGGGAGCCCTGACGACACCAAACCGTTTGGGTGGTACAACAGACTTTAGACAGCCCGGCTGAGATCCTCTTCAACCCAACCGGCAGCTGTAATAACCACCAGCTGGAATGCAACGGAAGGCCAACAGAAATATAAATAACAGCTTCTTTGAGTGTGTAGAAAAGCCTTGGCGGGTCTCTTTCAGGAGCTCTGTCACAGTTCCTCATGTACCCCCCCCCCCATGCATGTCCATCTCTCTGATGACTTTAGGGTTTGCTCTGCCTGGCGTCCGGCAGACTCCGCGGTTCAGGAGAAACGTCCACGCATGCTCTCTGGTGGGTGAGTCCCCGTCGCCCGTGGCTACGCCTCCGCTGCTTTGGAGAGCGCCTGGGACTGTCAAGCAGCTTTGAGAATAACAGTTAAGCAGTTGAATCAGCATCAGGTCATTAAAAGGTGCAAAAACATGAATTTGTGAGAGGAGAAGGTTCAAACAGGAAGGGTCTCTGAAATGTGTCAGAGCACTTTGGCTGGGTTTCCACAAATGGAATATTTTTTATTTTCGTTTGGCACAATCTAGTGGACGAAAATTGAATCCAGTGAATGCACAAGGTCTCAGAACCTCAGTAACCTTAACCCAGAGCTATTTCACAAACGTACAATCCTGATGCAATGCAGGGAAAAGCCTACCTTTGTTTTAAACTAGACACAGAGAGTAACCTTCTGTACTTTTACTCTGTAGGGTCTTTCTGGTAACACCTGGGTATAATCTCACATCAAGCATATTATCCTTTAGCATCCCTCATGTTGTTCCACAATATCCATTTTGCTCCACCAAGTTTGTTATCAAAGCCTCCTATAATCTCCTCACCAGAGTTTAAAAACAAAAATCTCCTTCAACCTGAAACATTTCTTCATGCTCAGAGTTAAATTGTGAAGAGAATGAAAAAAAAAATCTCTTTCACCTGTTCGTGTCCTCTGTCAACGTCATCCAGTTCGCTGATGGACTGCATGAGGGAGAACAGGTTCATCCTGCCACTGCGGTTAACACTCGCAGGAACCTTTGGATGGAAGAGGCACGAGTTGAAAAAAAAAAACTAACATAAGACCCCTCACATGAGCTGTGTGTGTGGGAGGCTGAAGCCGGGTCACCTTCTCTGACTCGGTGAGGGTGACAATGGGGCAGACGGCTGGTTCTGGAGCAGTCTGGATCTGGCCCGACTCGGGGACGCCCTCCTCAAACACCTGGGAGGTTTGCACAAAACAGAGGGATAAGGACCCTCGTGTCATCACGTCTGACGGCTGTGAAGTGTCTGACGGCACAGTTACCTCGCAGGCTTCATCTGAATCGTTCTTCTCCTCAGCACTGCCTGAGTCCTTTTCTTCTGGACCGGCCTCCACATCATCAACGCCCTCATCATCATCATCATCGTCGTCGTCGTCGTCGTCGTCATCCTCCTCCTCCTCCTCCTCATCCTCCTCTTCCTCTGGCTTCTCTCCCTGCCCTCCCTCCTTTTGCCCCGCTGACTTCTGTCTTTGTTCTCGGGACTTTCGCCTCCAGAGTGCGCTGTGACGCTGCTGGCTGCAAAGACGAGTCAGCACACTTCAGACTCCTTCCACCAGCCTCAGTGGCAGTGTCACGTCATCAAACTTCAAAATCGACACATGTCACGCCCGCTGTGCTTCTCGTGCCTCGGGCTCCCTTCACAGAGCAGCGTGGGGTCTGACCTTGCGTTGAGGATGCCGCTGTAGGTCTGCAGCTGCTTCATGAAGCCCTCGTTGGGCTTGATGATGGATCTGCGATCTCTCACGAACGCCAGCGCCACGTCCAGCGACCAGTGCTGCTGCTTCATGGCGTAAGCGATGACCGTGGACGCCGATCGAGACACTCCCATCTTACAGTGCACCAGAACCGCCTGGCCACTTTTCCTGAGACACACAGAGTCGGAGAGAAGCTCCCTTTAGGTGTTGGTGTGCTGCAAACACTCAGCAGCTCAGCAGATTTAACCTTCACTGGAATCTGACACCGGTGAAAAAATAACTACAAACTTGATGATGATGTTCAGGTAAAATCCCAGTAGAAAAAAACAAACAAACCATTGGGCAAACATTTTAAAAGTGTTTACCCAAACTAATAAAATGACAGCTTCCAAAGTGTGTCAATGACTTGTTACAGGCTGGTTGCCAGCTGTCACCGGAGGCAGACTCAAAGTTCAGTCTGCAATGTGTAACATCTGATTTAAGTTATAAACATGATAAGAATGGGAGTGTCCTGCTGTTCGGTTCACTGTTTGGTTAGTGCAAACCCATAGGTGAGTCACAGAACCTGAAGAAACAGCTGAAAATAAATGATAGAAGAACTAACTGTTGCCTGAACAGGCTTACAGCTTTGGTCCAAAAGTCTGTAATATTGGAATTAGACGAGGACCCATCTCTGTGTGAGAGGAGCAACATGGTTTGGAAATGTGGCTTTAGAAGCTTTGGCCTAAGTGAGATGAGAAACATTCTGAAATAATTATCTAATTAGACATACATTTGATCTAATGTTGGTGGTAGTTATCATCTACCATCACAGTTACAGACATTAAAACGTGGCTTGTCTTACAGAATATGAATTAAAGTAAGCCAATTTGTAACTGCCGTCTGTTAGACTGAACGCCCTATGTTGTGTTTGTGGTTTCAGGGCTACCTTGCTGTGTTGATGAAGTTATACGTGTCTGGCCAATGGGACAGCAGGTCGGTGGCTTCCACGTCGTACACTCTGATGTTCATGTAGGTGAAGGATTCTGGGAAAAAGTTGTCAATCTCCCTGGTCACATTCAGAATGTAGCCGACACTGAGGAACACACAGACGTGCACACTCAGAGCTGTGGGAGTGATCCAGCCGAACGTACACACAGCCGCGTATCACACATTTCACCAGAATAATGCAATGCAGAGACCAGGGGTTAAAAAAAAAAAAAAACTGCAGGCACAGAAACACTGACTTGTTTTTCTGCAGTTCCTCAGAATTAGCTGCGTTCCACTCAGAACCCTGAAACCAGATAAAGAAGAAAGAAATGTTCAGGCACAGGCCAAGAGGAGAAGACGGAAAAGGGCCTCCGGAGCCGTCTGCCCTATCACCGCTGACACATGGCCAGCAAAGAGGAAGTTACAGTCATATGACAATATCCTGGAGAAAGCACACTTCCGTCACAACAAATACCACGGCCAAAAGAAGGCCTCTCCGCTAAAGCTTTCAACTGCCTTTGAAGCTGGACAGTCACTCACCAGGTATAAGTAGTCAAATATTTTGGAGGGCTTGTCCATCTGAGCCATGGTAACCAGGATCTCATTGTCAATATACTCCTTGTAGGGTCTCATGTCAAAGCCTATCCTGGTCTCAAGGGCAGAATGCACCTGCCCAAAAATAATCAAATGGTGTAGTGATTTACATGTTTTCATGGTTTAACACCTTTCTGTTTTATGTGCCCTGTGGGTCTTACCATTTTGGATGTGAGGTTGTCAAGGTCTTCAGTCCTCATGATGTCTCTCAGGTGTTCTTTGATCAGTCTTTCATTGGAAACTCTGTCCGCTGAGCTTCTCATAACACAGGAGTGAGAATTTAGCAAAAGCTGAACATTAATTTTCCCTTAAAGTTTTATAGCTATATACAGAAGCAAATGGAGACAAACCAAATCTAAATAAGTAAAGGTACTGTTTAATATCTGAGCACTTTGCATATAAAAGTAGGTTTTTAAAAAACACTTATTTAGCCGTCAGAATTGAATTGTTTTTATGTATATTAGGAACTTCTACTTCAACAATGTACTTCAACATGGTTTTAAGACAATTAAGGAACTAATAAGACGGCCCTCCTCGTTTGATCCTGGTAATTACACACATTGTTGCAGATCACTTAGCAAAGAAAAAAAAGAAGCACCGAACCCAAAATCAAAAACAGACGTGGTTCTGACCTCTGTCCGTCGCTGTCCCTGCGGACTGACTCCAAGTCATTCATGGCCTCCCACTCATTGAGGCAGAAGCGATCCGACTCAATTTGCTGGTTGTAGTGCTGGGCCCACTCCAGCCCACTGCCTGGGATCACCGCCGCCCTTACCGCCCGCTCACAGCAGCCGTGCAGCACCTGCAGCACCGACCTGTCAGCAACGTGAGGGGAGGGCCGAGGTGAATACCACCGCAACCAGCTGAGCACATGACAAAATACAGGCCATAGGGGCCTGTTTTCCCCTGCATTAGCTCTTATTACAGGTCTGCATCCACCCAGGATTCACAGCCACTCTGATTTAGCCATTTATTCACTTAAATGATGTGAAGCGTTGCGATACCACTAGTTTAACTGACCGGGCTCACACATTTATCACCACCAGTAGCTCCAGTTACCGTGACTCTCCGACTGGTTTGCATACACCTTTTGTTTATGTGTGGGCCATAAACACACTGCAAAGTGTTTGTGGGTTTAGTTGTGGTTTGGGTTCCAGGTCAATACTGGCTCCTGACATGCGGGCTGGGCGATGGCAGTAAAAGTGGAGCCAGCACTCCTGTTTTCCACACTGAAATGTGTTTTGCATGGAGATATGTGGTTGAATGCTTGATGTCACAGTATTTTACTCTGTCTTTCAAACAAAAGAAGGTGGAATTAAAGTCTCAGCTATAGAAAATGTGGCACATGCTCTACCAAATTAACCCGAGAATTTCAGTTTGAACACCTTTTGTATTAGTAGCACTCACCACATGGTCTGCATGGAAACCGGCTTAAAAATTCTGGTTTCCTCTGCTGAAGTCACACTGAAACCACTGTGGGAAAAAGAAAGAAAGATATAACTCTGATAATGACGTTCAGTGAAGAAAAAGAGAAGATGGATGAATAAGGAAGAAGACCTCATTGGTCAGTCAGATAAATTATTCACTGTAAATTAGTGATGTTTTTTTAATTAAGTGTAGAGTGTAAATGTGAGGACAGTCAGAAGTGTGAGCAGGCTGAGCAGGCTGGTGTGACATGGCAACTTATCAAAGCATCTTGCATGACAACCAGCATGTTAGAGCAGATTAGTTGAGACACAGCAAAGCCTAACACAATGTCAACTACATTTTAGACAAAGTTATTTACTATGTTCTCTATCAGGCAGTTTAAATTAATCCTTCATTATCAAAATACACCCTACAACTGAGCAGGAAAGAACAGCTGGTCTTCTAAATGCCCCATGGTGAAATCCTTTGAGCTTTCAGCAGATAGAATTACAGTGAACTTAAGTAAAAAGTCAACTTTCATTTTACAATAACAACACATGATCTCCATGCTTACGTAATGGAGTGTAAGCATGTGTAATTTATAGCAAATGATTCAACCCTATGAATAACACATTGTCTTTGGAAAGAATCCCAGGAATCAGGTTGCACAGTCTGTTGCACACACACTCCTCGCTACTGCTTTCTGTTCAATTCTGAATTCGTCTTTCTTTTTTCAGAGGAATCGTACCCATCTCCGTCTAGGTACACTTGTGTGTCGCTCCATATTGGCAGAACCAGTCCAATGGTGCATGCAACACTGCAAAGAAACACAAAAGAAATGAGGACCTTGTCATGGATTAACTGATTGTTAGGAGGGATCTAATTTTGTGTCCTCTACATGGAACAGTACACCTTTGTCACACACACCTGTCTGAGCTGGGGAAATCCATGCCCAGCAGGATGCTCTCCTGTTTGTTGCCCAGCGTTGAGACGACGATCAGATACCTGACCCTGACCAAGCTGATGGACTCCAACTGCACCGCCTGCAACAGTGAGGAACATAAGAATAAATCCTGCAAGGAAAGTAAAGTAAACCCACTCTACACTGCCCAACAAACATCTCTGATAACATGCCCTAAAGGGACAATTTTCTTTGGATTTTACTGAAAAATCGAATCAGAGTAGATTGTTTTGTTGAAAGAGAAAGAAAATGTCCAATGTCCTGTCCCGCACCATATCTGCATTCTGTCCTCTGCTCATTATTTACAAATCTTCCTTTAAAAAATACTATTTTCTTTCTACTGTCACACAGTGTTTCTTTCACAACTGTGGCAGTTTAACTATGACTATAATACAGCAGACAGCTTCATTTTGTGTTCAGTTGTACAAGGATGTGAAAATCACCACGTTAGGACTGACTGATTTCAGTGAGTCATTTTCATCGCAGTATTCATATTCAGTATTTTTATACTTCAATATAAAACCAAAAGGCTTTTTATCGTTAATTCTACCAATATCTCTGTATCTATACAACGAAATAATACTACTTGCATGAAGCAAAATTAGATTCTGAAAACTAAAACTGGCAACAAGCTGCCACTGAATGAAGACAGCCGGGAGCTAGGAAAGTGCAGTATGACATTAAATAGTCCCCTCCTATACAGCCGACAAAATATTGTTACATATGAGAACAAGCTTCCTCAGCATCAGAAACAAATGTTTTTTCCGCCTGGCAACGGGCTTGTAGACTTGAGTCCTCACCAGTTTGATGGTATCTTCTGGTCTCAGCTGCTCAAACATGGCATGCAGATGTCTGCGCTGTGAATCTGGCGCATCGCTGCCTTCTTTCACAGGAGAGGTCTCGGCATCAGAAGCACTTTCATGGCGATTCCCCATTTCGCCATCCTCCAGCAGTAGGGCGGCCCCTTTGACGAGGGCAAAACTCTCCCTGGAGACGGAGAGATCGGTCAGCTTCATGCTACCATCACCAAGAAGAGATCAGTAAGAAAGAAGTCTATTAAAATGATGGCGTACCTTTTCTGAAGTCTCCCTCGTTTCTGGAGGTTTTCATCCTTAAAGGAAAATAAATGACAAAACCTTTGTTAGGGGGACGGGACAATGAAAAATGTAGAACCCTTTGTTTTCCCTGTTTGTGTTTGATTTGTCTTTTTTTATCTCTGTCTATTTTTGGGAGTGTTTAAAAGGTAGTTTGGGATTACAATGTTTTCGTTGTTTCCACAAATGAAAAGCACCAGACATGCACACATTCCAGAGAAGGGTCCGGGTGGATCGTACTGCAGTAACACACAAGCTCTGAATTACGAAAAAGCCACACAGCGTTTTTTTGAAGATCTGAAGCATTTATCTTATTTTGACTAACAGAAGTTGGAAGATAAATATGTTCTAGGAGAGCACTTGAACGAGAGTTTGTGATGTTCGTTCTGTTGCATGAGGACATAAATGGCATTCAAAATGTTCAGTAACTTCTCGGCTGGCAAATAGTACAACTCTGATAAGATGCAGAAGTGCCAAGACAAACACAAAGAGTGCTGTGTTTGCATCTATAGAAGCTGGGGATGGAATCAGACCATACAGTGAAAATACAGGAGAAAAATTATAAACAGAGGAGAAACAGAAAGAAAGAGAGGGGGGGGCAAGTAGAGGCAGCAATGACACTAGTAAGAAGGGTTAACAGTGAAAGAAACTTAAGACAGTGACATTACCTTTTACGCAACTGACAAGTCCAGACAAGAGTAAAAAAAAAAGAAAAAAGAAAGAGAAGCGGGCAGGAGCCAGGTGAGGAATGATGAGGGGTTGAAGAAGAAAAAAAGAGAAAAAAAAACAAGTTAAGATCGTTGGGGGATTATATTCTGTGACAAAATATGCAAAGAATGTGACTTGGATCCAGAGTTATGTCATTTGTGGTTTAGTAAGCCATGATAAAGAACAGAAGGAAGACAGAGCTTTAGCACAGTAATAAACTGTCTTCATATTTGTGTGATAGAAAGAGCCTACAGGAGATGCAGAGGGACAGAGGCTAATGATAGTGTTCTCATGATTACATGTATGCTTTTCCACTGGTATTAGGTGATTCACTTGCTGTGATGAATATGAATGCTGATGAAGTTACGCTATCATTGACATTTCCTGCTAAGACTTTCAGTGATTTCCCATCCCTGGCAACAACTGAACAACAAAAGTGCCTTGTTATCTCTCCACATCCACATCTGTTCTGTACGCACATCTGATTTTCTTAGAAAATGCTCTGACCTTTGTAAGTGAACATAAAAAATGAAATGCCCACATCCTGACAGAAACAAAGATATAAGCAAGCATTTGAAGATCCAGTGTGAAATGCTTGTGCTCATCCTGAGAGAGAATGGACTCACTGGAGTGGTAGGGATAGACGGGATCCTATGCAGAGTCAACAGAGCCATTGAACAGTTCAGGTCAGTCACCACGACACCGATGATTTTTGGCAGGCTCAGACAGGTTCTGCAGGTTCCTCTGCCCACAGCAAGCCTTGAATGGCTGTTATTCCTTGAATGACAAATGGATATTTGAGATATAATTGCATGCCATAAACAAGAACAAAAAAAAAAACAATGTCAGGCTAAGTGAGGGTTAGTGTTTGAAATAAAATTTGTTTTAAGCTTCATCAGCACCTAATTCAATCAGCATAGATTTGAAAATATTTGAAATTGTACAATCATGTGCAAAAATTGGGAATACCCAAGTGTGTTTCACACAGTTACGCATGGATACTTAGTTTTATTTGACTATTTGTATTATTTCTGGTATAAAAACCACATCTGCAGTTGTAGCAATAAGTAAAATCCCTGCAATTACATATTATATGCTTTATAGTGTTATAGTATCCAGACATATGTCGATAACTTCCTCATTTTTGACCACCAGCAGAGATGCCCAGACCGGATCTTTATCTATAAAAATACATCCCTTTCTGTAAGTGATCTGCCCATAAAAATCTTCCATCTCAGCGGCTAATATAGGCCATTCTCTACATCGAATAGGAATCACGCATTTACTTAGAAGGCCCCAAATAAAATACATTATACGCAAAAACCAAAATAATTTTCACAGAAACTGGATTTCAATAGAGCTTCAGCAAAACATTATGTTGTTCAAAAGTGATGACACAATGATACACTAAATGCTTGTTTATCCAAGAGTATAACAGTTTTTAAGCAAATGTGAATATAAGAAACAATATCGATGTTAAAAACCAAAGAATATATTTACATAATAGTTTGTACAGCCACTCACCCAAAGAAGACTACAAATATAATGTCAAATTGAGACCAGAGGAAATGTGCTCACCGACATTAATAGTGAGTTAACGCCTGTTTTATGGCTGCAAATCGCCTCGATTCGATGCCTAAAAAAAATCAAAGGATTCCTTCGCATCGTTAACAGCTGCAAAAATAATATAGAATGGCTTATCGCTGACCATTGAGCTAAAAATAAGACCGTCGCTGTATTAGAAACAACGCATAAGCAGCAAACCAAACTACAGCACCCTAAATCCAAACCAGGCTAGCAAACGTAGGCAACGCAGCGCTGTCAAAAGACAACAACAATGCTTATGAGTATAAAATAAACAAGGCAGTTTCCTCACCTTTCCAGGCTGGGCTCCCACCACTTTAATTTCCTGTTTGGGCGCTGTTTGCGTCTTCCGTACCTAAAGCTCCTTATTCCGCCCTCTGCTGCAATGGGGGGTGAGGACTTCACCATTCACAGCGCAGCGGCAGCGGCTGCTGTTCCGTCGGGGCAGCTGAGAGGGGAGAGCGAGCGCGAGCCGGAGCTCGGGCGGGCGGAGACCGTGACGTCATACGCAGGAAATCTGAGAGCGTCAACGTCTGTCAAATGATTAACAGTTAGACACCTTAAGATGGTCGTTGACACGAATAAAATGTCATACTCAATGGGGGGGACAAGGCGCAAACGTCCACCTAATGAAAAGTACAATAGTATATAAGTAATAAGATTATCAAGTGTAATATCAAAGTAGAAACAGTGATTGTTAAAAGGTGACTAATATGTTAACACGTTCGGTATCAGGTTGTTAACTTGCTTAAGCATGTAAGCACCATTTCTTAAAGGGTCTGCCTCCAAGGGAATCATTAGAAAAATTACCCAAGTCCAGTTGGGTTGAAGTATTGAGTACCAATAGGCATTTCATTTTTCTACATCATTTTCACAAAATCCTGTACCTTAGGTCCTAGATTAATATACTATTCCTCATATAGTACTCATAACAGGGTAAAAATGTTGCTTTCACATGGCAGAAGTGACATGTCAAATTGCTGAGTGGGCCTAAGGCTTCATAAGGGATTTGCAGTGACCTTTCCAAAACAGGGCAGTTAGCAGACCTAAACATGACAGTTTGGTTTGCCTAGCTGTCATTGATGGATAGGCTATTCGGACAGTTTACTAAATTTAAATGGAATAAAACACTGTTACTCTGTGTGGCCCTGTGGCAACTCTAGCTCCAGGTCTGTTTGAATTGGAACCGTCTGAGAGTTAGTTCTGTATATTTTAGTTTAGTATTAGTCTTCACATTGGCTTTATTTGTGCTATAACTCCGCTGAGAACAGTTTTTAATATCTGTTGCCCTTGTATGGTTGTAAAAATTAGTTTACGATTAAGTCTGTCGGTGTTTATTACATCCGTACCCTATGCTTCTGTTTGTTTATCAATGTAAACACGCCTCATGCTAGCAATGACGTATTTCTTCGACTTTACAGGGGAGAAAACGTAATACTATGAGTGTTTGGTGACCTCTAGCATTTCTTTCTTTTTTTAATCTCTGCAAAAATACAGAAGTGACCAAGTTTGAACTTTTACCACTGACATTGAACTACTCCTTAAATGGTACCACGCACACAGCCTTGGCAGAGGAGGGAACTCGCCCCCTGCGGGGGCAAACGCTCCACGCAGGCGTACTCATTTTTAAAAATGACCACTTCCTGTTTCTACGGGAGTCTGTAAAGTGTGTGGCGGCTGTCCTCAGGAGTCCTGCAGACGTTGAAGGTTAATGGTGTGAGCGGCTGACGACCGTCGTCTTCTGCCCGAGGAAGACTTTCACTGTAGTATGAAAGCGGTCGGCGAGCTCATGAAGGTTTTCATAACGAGGCGCATCCCTCAGGAGGGGATGAAGATCCTGACAGCTGCCGGAGTGTACGAAGTGCTTTCTAACGATCAACAGGCAAACTAATTTCAGACTAGCCGAGCAGCTGTTTGAACCGAGTTGTTGCAGTTTTGGTTTTTTGGTTTTCAGATTTCACACCCACTGCTAGCACACACACTGAAACAGTCACAATCAGCTAATTTAAGGTTAAAAATCTATTAAGTGCACAGACAGTGTCTCTGCCCATATGGATGGTTAATTGGACCCCATTAATGACACGTGTCCTGTGGTTTACTTTGTCTCTGTGGAAGCAGGTGTGAGGTGTCACAGTGGGACTCGGATGAGCCTGTGCCCAGGACAGAGCTACTCAGAGGGGTCCAGGGAGCTCAAGGGCTGCTTTGTCTGCTAACGGATAAGATTGATGCCGAGGTTCTGGATGCTGCGGGTACTCGCCTCTCTCTCTTTGTCTTTCATAGATGGCAAGACTTGGCTTGCCATCGGTGGCACCGTCTAATGAACAAGTCTGCATTTAAACACCACATTATATTCTGGAAAGAATTCCCAGTGCTCAAAGGCTTGAAAAAGTTGGAATGTGATTTGAACTGAAAGTTTACACACAGAGTTTTAAGCTTATTTCTTTCGTAGTTGACAGCAGTAATAATCTTTTTAAAAAGTGTAGTCCTGGGGAAATTTTTCTATCAGAGCGGAAATCGTCTGTCTGGTGCTGGTATCTGACCTGTTTTTGATTTCAGGGCCAAACCTGAAAGTAATCAGCACCATGTCTGTGGGGTTTGACCACTTGGCGGTCGATGAGATAAAAAAACGGTGAGCTGCGCAGACTACAGCAAAAAAAAAATCTTCCACCAGTCAGATGTAGGTGTCCCAAGCCTTCTGAGTGATGCAGCTGTTTTCTCTTAACAGAGGCATTCGTGTTGGGTACACTCCAGATGTCCTGACCGACGCCACTGCTGAGCTGACCATGGCCCTTCTGCTGGCCACTGCCCGCAGGATTCCAGAGGGAGTGGAGGAGGTCAAAAAGTCAGTCTCAGAGTTGTTAATTTACACTAATAGTGTTTTTTTATTTGGGTTGTTTTTTTACCCAGAGAGAAAGCGACTGAACGCTGTGGCTAAGCGACGGACATTTTGTGTTTTTCTTCCTGTCAGTGGCGGCTGGAGCTCGTGGAAGCCTCTGTGGCTTTGTGGTCCTGGTCTGTCGGGCAGCACTGTGGGGATCATTGGTCTGGGACGCATTGGTAGGGCTCCTTCTTTTTATCTTAGTCAGCCCAGCTCCATTTCTTAAGAACTTGTTATGAAACTGAGTTGAGAAAACCTGTGTCGTCACATCTATCTGGTAAGGCCAGTGTTAAATAAACCTGTTCTTATTGCTGGTGTTCAGGGATGGCCATAGCTCAGAGACTCATGCCCTTCGGAGTTAAGAGGCTGCTGTATTCTGGGAGGACCGCCAAAGCCCACGCTGCGGAGGTGAATGGAGAGTTTGGTAAGAAAAAGCAGGGAAATCAAGGATGAATAATGGGTGATTCAAAAGTGTGGGACAGGAGAGGCTGAAATCTTACTTATACTCTAAGAGTCGGTTAAAAAGTGAAGATTTCTTCCTAGTGGATGTTTGTTTAATCCTCTGTGTCTTCCCTTATGGGGTCTTTCGTCTCCCTTTTGCTGAACAGTCCCCATGGAAACCCTTGTGTCTGAGAGTGACTTCATAGTGGTCACCTGCTCGCTCACACCTGAAACCCAGGGTCTGTGCAATAAAGCCTTCTTCAGCAAAATGAAAAAAACAGCAGTCTTCATCAACTCAAGCAGGTAAGATGGCCAGGACTGAAGAGTGGCCTGGAAACCAAGGTTCCGTAGGGCTGGAAAGATAAATAATTTCCTGTTTTAGGGGCGCCGTGGTGAACCAGGAGGACCTGTACGAGGCCTTGAGCTCCGGGCAGATAGCTGCGGCCGGACTGGACGTCACAACCCCTGAGCCTCTCCCGACCAGCCACCCACTCCTCACGCTGAAAAACTGTGGTGAGTACAGAATCGGCGTCATAAGCGGGCACCTTTCCCTCCGCTCCCCTAAACGAGCGTATTTTCTGTCCCGCTCTGCCCTGTACAGTGGTTTTACCGCATATTGGCAGCGCCGAGAACTCCACCAGAGGCGTCATGTCCGCCTTGGCAGCTCGGAACCTTCTGGGAGGTTTGCAGGGCTCAGACATGCCCAGCGAGCTCAGCTTCTAGGGCCTGGGGAGGGGCAGTGAAACGGCACCGCAACGGGGGCTGCATGTCAAATCGGTGTTGGCATAAATGTTAGACTTTCATCACTCTTAATGCTGAGTTAGTTTTTAACATAGAAAACAATTCATGGAAAAAGGAAAAACACATGGTTGAGACTTTTCATGTATTCCAGATCTTGAAAATGAGACTAATCAACATGTTATTGTGGGGTCTAATTAGACATTCCCAGCCTTTTGTAGAAAACTGCATCAAATCTGTGATTGGAGCTCATGCTCACATTACGCCCAGTCAGCACTTTATTCAGATGGTAAAGTTTCACATCTGCACTGGCTACACAGCACCATACTCAAGTTCAGCAGGCGAGATTCATTTAAAAAAGCACTCAAACTTAGCATCAGATTAAAATGTTCGGACGCGTGTGGTAGAATTATTTCTTGGTGAAAACTGTTTTCAAATCAATAAATATTACCAAATGCAACATTTGTTCTCATTGTTTTTACACAGGACACGTGGCAGAGTTTAAGCCGTGTCCTCAAACTATCGTACACGTAGGCTGACGTCTCGTTGGCTACATTTTATTGCTTTTAAGTCACAGACGCCACCGACTTTGATTTCATGAAGGATAAAAGCAAAAACTGGTATTGGTCGATACGTCCGCCAAGTGCACCTTTTTTGTGAAAAAACGTGTTTTCCAAAAGTCCAGTGTCAGAGCAGCGTGTCCGTGAAAGGCGAGGCGTCTTTCCAGTTCATGCAGGTGTTCTTGGAGTGCTTGTAGAGGTGGGAGGACTGGCTGAAGCGTTTGCCACACTTGGGACAGGGATAGGGCTTTTCCCCCGTGTGGACGCGGATGTGCTTCTTGCAGTCCGTCAGGTTCATGAAGGTCTTGCAGCAGATCTTGCAGGCGTATTTCTTCTCCCCTTCCACCAGCAGCACGTGGTCCTCGGCCGCCGCTTTCTTGCATTTGGAGAGAACGTCCTCCGAAGCCCTGGTCAGAGTCGGGCGGTCCGGGACGTCCCCGGCCGATCCAGAAGACGCGTCGGTGGAGGTTTTGGACCCGGGCAGCACTTTGGGGGCGATGCGGCGGAAAGCCGTGGCCCCCAACGTTTTCCCGGCCTTGGAGGACTGGACGAGGGACGCGTCCAGACCGACGCCCGGTCTGAGACCGCTCAAGAACCCCAAGGAGCTCTGGGGGTGCTGGAGGATGATGGTATCGCTGTAACCGGGGCTCTGAGTCGGGAGAAGCTGCTGCAGCGGGACGGAAGCTACCGGAAAAACCAGAGAAGGCGGAGAATCGGAGGACGGGGCCAAAGGGGAGCTGTCTTCCCGGGGCTTCTCCCCCTGTGCGTCCTGGGGGGCCGTCGGGGCGTCGCTGGCTGCAGCCGCGGCGGCGGTGGCGGCGGCGGTGAGGCTGGCGAGGCTGTCCTCTTCCTCCAGAGCGTCCATCACGCCTTCACCGCTGGGATTAAGGAAGCAGGAAAAGGCCAGCTCGGAGAGGCTGTCCAGGCTCTCGCCGTCCACCGGGTCCTCCACCAGATCTCCTCCCTGCGTGTCGGCGCTGAGCTCTGCGCAGGCCGGAGGCTGCAGAGAGCCTCCGTTAGCCGCCGCCGCCGTTCTCTCCTCGCTCATCTGTGCGTCCAAACTGTCCGCACAGTGCTGCAGGGGCGATGGAGGACATGGGTTCGGAAACACGTCCAGGTCGGGGGGATAGGAGCTCAGGTTTTCCTTCTTCACCTCGATCACCGCCATCTCGGTCTCGTCTGCCTCCTCCTCTCCCACCTTCACTTTAAGGACGCCGTCCTCACCCCTCTCCCACGCCGCCCCTCCTCCCGTGCTGCTGTCCGACTGGGACGGCAGCTGAATTTCGTCCAGCTCTCCCCTGCCCGCGTCGTATTTGGCCTCCACTTCGTCGTTTCCCTGCTTTTCCCAGAACCCGTCGGTGGTCTCCGGGCAGTCTCGGGACGGCGGGTCTCCTTCCTCCGAGCTCCTGGTCACAGTGGGTGAACACTCCTTGTAGTTTCCTCCGGGCGGCCTGCTGCATCTCTTCCTTTCTCCTCGGCCTTCCTCCTGCGACTTTCTCTTGAATCCGATGGAAGGCGTTGCGTCCTGCGGCCCGTCGTCATCTCCGCCGGACTGACTCACCTGAAGCCTCAACTCCTCTTTATCGAGGTCCTCCTCCATGGCTGATGTGACAGGCTGCTGGGAGCCGGCTGCCGTCTGGGAGCGTGGACCCTCCTGCTGCTGCGGCTGCTGCTGCACTGACCTCCAGCCTCTGGGCGCCGAGGCGGGGAAGTTCTTCCTGGACAGGTGGAGCTTGCAGGCCTTGACGACAGCGTTGAGGTGCAGGTGAGACGCTGCCAGCAGCACATCCATCACGTTGGCCGAGCCCAAGGAGAGGGTGGAGGTGTAGATCATGTCCAGCAGGGTGGAGAAGGCCTCCGGAGTCACCACCCCCGGGTCCAGCTGCATCACACTGGGGCCTGCGTCCGCCCCGGAGCCCTCCCCGGATCTGTCCTCGGAGCCCTCCCCGGAGCCCAGCAGAGCCCTGAAGTGGGAGCTGCAGGCGGCCAGGATGGAGCGGTGAGCCTGGAAGCTCTGACCTCCAACCACCACCACGCAGTCACACAGCTGCGAGTGGAGACGCTGGTGGTCGAGCTGTTTGAAAATGTGCCGGAAATGATCCGGGAAGTCCATCACACCCGGTGGAGTTGGTTATCAGATACTAACGTTACGTGGGAGCAACGCAAAAACCTGCATTATGAGTTAAAGGGGCAGCGTTTGAAAAGGCTCAGGCAAATCGACTCGTTTAACAGTCGCCTGCTTTCAGTCCGATGTTTTCGAAGCAGCGTTTACCGTTGTCGGCTTTCCGGGAGATGCTGGAGTATGGGCGGGCCTGGACCAACGATGTAATCGAGGGATGGCGGGCTTTGTCTCCGAAAGGTCCAATCTGCACCGGAACAGCTGCTTCTCTCCCGCTGTCTAAGCTTAGTTCATTTTAAAATGCAGGCATCTTGGTCTGTAATACCGCTCCAGACACAAAAAGCCCACACAAACAGCCGGTTTAGCATCCATTGTGAAGTCTACGGTACGTCGAACTGCAGTTATACAACACTGCCCCCGCCTGGCCAGAATATGGAAGTGCAGCTTGGATGCTGGGGGACAGCATTCAAAGCAAATCTGTGGTTTACAGAAACATTAAGTATAAAACAGCCTCAGCAAGCAAAGGCGCTAAAAGGCTACGTATTGATATTAACCTTTAAACAGAAAGTCCCTGAAATAACCAACTAATATAAAATTTAAGGGGATAAAATTAGCTGCTACGTCACATGCATAGAATGAAGCATAGCTCCATGCACTATTCCTCCAAAAATGGTTTATTTCCACTTGTAATGTAGGGCACTTGAAAACCAGCATTAATGCAAAAATGTGCCATTTTTAAAAATTGTATTATTCTGCTGCTTAATCATTCTAATATTTCTTCTGATACAGACTAAACAAGATTTGTGTGGACAGGAGAGAAAATTAGCAAATTATTGATTTAAATATTTTCAAAAACTTCTACAGCTGAAAAACTTGACCATCTCAAACAAAGAAATTCTTTGCAGTTTTATTTTATTGTGTGACAAATTATTTAAACAAATGATTTAATACAAACTCCTTTTAACAGATATAATGTTACATTAAAAAAAATGAAAGATGGAAGTTTACAACGTAGCCAAAAAAAAAGAAATCTAAACTGAGAACAACTTGGGTCTCTGGTGCAGTGATGTAGAAACACTGGTCGTTTTCCAGCATGATGCAGTAAGACCCTCAGCTGGATGAGTATGGAGGTTCCGGCTGTTGACTGCTGATGCAGGAGGTTCCTAGAAGATGCAGGAAAGGACCACAGAGGACCGGGGGCTCATTTCATATGCTGTCCAGTTTCTTTAAAACATATGGAGCTGTGAAGAAAGGAAACAAGTTAAGGTGGTGTAGGAGGAGCTGGTGAGTGTGGATGTGTTGTATAGGTGTGTAGTTTGCTCAGAAGAGGAAAAGCATTGATCAACTGCACTTTTAGATAAGAGTTCTTAATTTTACATAGGAGTATATGAGATGGGAAATGGAACAAAAATGAAACAGGCCCTCCAGCTTTTGACATGTTACAAATTACTTTATGAAATTGATTGATGCGAGTTGCTGCCGTTTCATTTGCCTGTGTGTGCTGCATTTCTGGGATTAGTTGCTGCATTTCTGGGACTAGTTGAGTTATTTACAGGTGATTTATACAATGCTGTTGGGTTTTGCACTTTAATTATACTTCATTATAAAGTGTAATTAAACGTGAATTCCACTACATCAGCACTAAGAGAACATTTATATGTACTGACATTAAGTAATTCACTGAAACAATTTCAACGTAATATACCAAAATTTTCTTTTGTGAGTTATTTACACCTTGACCTCCACCTGTGAGTAATATGTGATTATAACGTGCACGAGGCCACCAAAAATACTAATTAGGACCGTCAAAATATCTAAATGACAAATATTACGATCATTATAAGATAATTGTCAATGTCATCTGCCTGTACTCACTAGCTCGGAGCAGAGCGACGTAAATGATAAAGTTTCGTAAAGATGAGATCACATCTTGCCGCATTTTCTTCTTCATCTCCTCTGGGTCCATTTTAGGGCCGAGTCCCTCTAGTTTGAACATTGTATATGTGGTTTATTTTGGTCTTAGCTCGTGTCGAAAATTAATTGTCCGCAGCGTTGTATCAGTGGCATGGAAGAACTTGCCTTAACCGGAAATACGTCACTGAGCATGAAAGATGGCAAGCATGGAGGGACAACCCGCACGAGAACACGGCAAGGTAAAAATCCCATGCTTCTATAGCCAATTGACTATTTGATTGTATTTGTTTATTCTTTTAATAGCTTTACTTTAAACATATTTATATTTCTATTATGAAATAGTATGGCTGTGTTGTTAATCAAATTCATTTTCATGATATTGGTTGTGATTTACTGTTGTTTTATTTAGACTATAGAGAAAATGCACATACTGTAGTTGTTAAATAAATATCAGGAAACCCTTTATTTACGTTAGTAAATACGTTTTGTCATGATTTGTGCTTTCGAAGCAATGTTTCATCAGACTCAAATTTGGTACTGTTTGAACTTGTTTATAGTTTCCTAATTGAATGTAATTTAGTACTTTACATTTGGTAAGATGTTAAGATGACAAAGTTTGCACTGTGACTCATTTTTATAATGGACCCCCTAAAGAGGATGCAAAACAACACCCGTTTATAATTCTACGTTGTCAACCCAGCAGATTGTAAAGGAAATAATTAAATAGGGATCCAACACCAGCTGGCACAGGCAACAATTCAATTAAGGGGTCTTGCAGAAATCTGGAAGTCTGGTCCTGAGACAGGATGACGCCTTAAGACAAATCGATAAGCTTGTAAATAAATTATGATAAATATACAATTGCATTTTACAAAACAATAAAAACAAGTGGGCGAATAAATTAGTCCACATGATGAGATCAACATTAATACAGCATGTTTTCAATAACTCAAGATTTCTTTCTTTAAACGTTCATGGCCAGCGCGTTTTAACAAAAAAAAAAAGGATGTGAAATCATCTTTTATTCACTGACCTTGCCAAGGAGGGGTCCCCCGGGCAGACAGAGATGGAGGCAGGGAGGAGAGACAGAGCAGAGGGAGGGGGCGGGTTATTTCTGAGCTCAGGGCCGTGGATTAGAGCAGAGCAGTCCCCATGCGATGACAGCATCCAGCATATAGCCAACGCCACCCTCAGCATCTAACCCGGCCGGACGTCGCGGATCTTTCAGGATCAAAAATCCTCCCGAACCTCCCCCACCCAAACCTCCTGTCTTTTTTGGTGGATAAACCCTCCAGACAGCCGCTCTTTCTGCCTGTCTCCTCAGACCACGAGGTGAGTCTCGTCTTTATTTCCCCGGGTTATTGTGTGATGAAGCACGGACTCGGGGCTTGTCGTGGTCCAGCCGTTCGTTCACTTGATTTTTACATCCGAACGACCCGTTTCACTGATGGTCATTTGGACCCGGCCGGCGGGATACACCCGGGTCACCGTGTGAGGGAGACGGAGGAGAGATTTAAATCCGATTACAGATTATAATGGAAACAACAAAAGACTGACCATTTTTTCCCCTCCGTTCTTTGTTCAGATACCTAAATGGCATGGCCACTGGTCTAGGTTAGTGTTTTTTTTAGTGGCCGGTCAGTTTAAATGGGAATTATTTATTATTTTGTGGACATTTATAAAGCGTTTATTAGCACCGATACATTAGGCTACTTCTCCCATCCCCTGATTATTAGATAGGCTACCTACAAATCAATGAGACACAATTGCGATCACGTTTAAACCGAGCACCCAGTCGTTTTTAAATCCCCCTATTCGCCGACACATGTCCTGTGCAGCGGGGTTGGAAATCCACGCTGCGCAGTGAAATCCGCGTCGCTGCCACAGATGGGTAATGCGCGGTCTAAATCCTGACGGATCAGGGGGATGCCAGGACTCTGGCGAGTAGAATACGCACATTATGAATGGGCGTAGGCGATGTGCAGCCACCACATTTTTCTTTTCTTTTTTTTCTTCTTCTCTGATCTGTGTCATTTGGCCAGCAGATAGACTTCTCTCCTGCGCTCTTTTCGTGCCACGCCATGGCCACGACGAGCTCATCACAACTAGACCGGAACAATGCGTTTTTGCTGTTCTGGGGCCTTCGTTTAATGCATGACAGGATACGGTGTTGACCGCCCGTGGCAGTTCAGAGGCGAGTGATACTGAGCAGCCCATCACCGTGCGCTCACTCCGAGCCTGTTTTACCGCTGATGTTCGGGCCATCTCCTTGCGGCCATAACAGAAACGTCGATGCGCCTGCAGATTGCTGGCGTTTTCTACTCTAGTGTCCAAGTGTGGCGTGTGCTCTGCCCCGGGCTTTGTGCTGTGACTCAGGAATGTGCGCTGCAACATGTGATGGGAGTAGTTCCGAGGTCGTTCTGCCGAAAGGAAAAAACCCACAACGGGCAGAACTCGTACATCAGGCCAGTCTTGATGCTTCCATGGCGGCGGTGTAGTCTGGATCTGCTCTGGTGACTGCTCCCCTGCCCCACTTACTGCAGACAGCCAGCCGTCCACTCGCTGACACTTCATCTTTAGGCTCAGCTCCATGTCTGCAGTTCAGCCTGGGACGCCAGGCTGGTGATGGCTACCTCATCCTAATGGTGAAAAGGTGGTCATCAGATCGGTCCTCTTCCCCCCTCACAATTGCTGACTGATCAAATAAGTAAATGAATGGCCCAGGGGTTACATCGGCACGTCTTAGAAATAAGGTTTGAAATTCATTTTAATGTCCTCAAACGATAACAGTTACATCCCTGCAGAGTAAAAAAAAACAGATGTGACCCCATTGATGTGACAGCGTCACTGCCATGGCACAATTGACTGGCAGTGGTGCCTAATGTAGGCCAACTCTCTAGCATATCCATCTTAAGAACGAAGAGCTTTTGCCTTAAAACCTTACAAAGCTTTTAATGAGATTTGCCTTTCTTCTGTTCCTGTGATATACAATATTACAGTTCTGCTCTATCTATATTATGGAAGTGTCATTTCAGAGCCCCGTCGACTATTACGGCTCCTGGCAAACTCACTGCCCTGAAATTGCTTTTGCGTAAGGATAAGCCTTTATTGTGCAGTTTTTGAAGGATCACAGAGTAGACGAAAATTGGCTCCGTCAGAAAAAAATGAGGCAGACATTCCAGACTTCCACCATCCAAAGAGCTTTCTCGACATCAAGATCTTTCCTTTTTTCGTCCGTTTGTCTGTGTGTGTCTCTTGAGGACTATCAGAACTGTTGACGCAGATCTGTAACTTAACACTGAAAGACACATTTAATAGTTCACAGTGGAACTTAAGCATTGCCAGGTCACAGATAAAAGGAAAACTGAAATGAGTCGTAGAGTGGGAGTCTTTTCTGCATCATGCTAATGGAACAAGCAGACGGATTGAACAAAGAACAGAACTATGTCTGGAAGACAGGTATGATCAGGCTAAACACGCAAATTACGCATAGAAAACAAAAGAAAGGTGACACAATGCATGAATCACCAACAAGCACAGCTGCTGTGTCACATTAAAGAAAAAGATTGCCGAAGTGAACAGATTCCCTTCTGAGAGCCTCACATTTCTACATTCCATTTCAGGGCAATGTATCCAGTCAGAGTATTTCAGTCTGTCCCAAAGTGAATGACTGGCAGGCCATGGACCACTCCACTAGCAAGTAAATACCATTAAGCAACCTAATGAAAAGCATCTGACCACTCTTGGCTGCAGAAGAAATTCAGGTCCCAGATACATTTTGATCTCGTCCACTCGTAAATCCCCTTGTTTATGTAGATTTTAAGAAGGAATGCTTTAATGTTAGTTCGATTAACTGAAAGTGGATAGTTTTAATTTTCCTAAGACGACCCTTTTATCTCAGAGTCTTTATTGTTAGAAACTGAAAGAAAGCAAAGACACGAAGGCAAGAAGAACACAGGGATGCCCCAGCTTCAGTGACTAGATGTGACAAAAAGCAGAAAATACTCATTTCTTTAAACAGCCTGACAAGTGTGCACTCCACTTGTCGCCCATTGCATTTCTGAAATCTGAAACGGTTCAGCTGCCGCCCATAAACTTAAATCCCTCTCCTGTGTGTCTCAGATATTCCCGCATAACACAGGCGAGTGTGCTGCAGTCGGGCTGGATGTTCCCAGGGGCCTGTATCCGACATTATTGGAAGCCACTGTGAGCTTAAATGAAACGGGGAATGGCTGAACCAACCCCCACTGCCGCTATCCTACACCTCATGGGGTGCAGCTGTATCCGGTGTGTCGCTGTCAACTCTTTATGTTGTTTTTTGGGGGTCCAAAAAGTAGGGGCTAAACGCACTTGTGAGGACTGGTAGATTTGTAGTCACAAAAAATCCCACAAGTTTAGGGCTAAGGCGGGTAAATAGAGAGGATTATTATTTTGTTGCCGAGACCCCCGCAAAGATGTTGTGAAAGGGATATTTTTGTGTTGATAGCAGCTAAGTCATCCTTTGGAAAGGAAAGCTGTTGTGGAGAGAGGGAGGGGGGGGGGGACTTCTGGAGTCTGAAAACAATTGTGCAATGTTCCACTCATTTATCATATGAAGGCCTACAAGTCTGTGTTTGCTGCAACAGTAACAGAGCACTGAGAGCAAGCATAGCTAGGTAACAAGGGGCTCTATGTAGTAGAAATGAACTTATCCTTTCAGTTAGACGGTAATATCATTGATGACTGATTTGGTGTACAATCTGTGCCTTGGCATCTTTCCTCCAGCTTTACGCCCTGATTCAGCTTCTCAAAACCATTTCTGTGCAGCCTGATTCGACTGTCACGGCCGGCTCTGGGCCCGCCGTGCTAATTGGGCTTCGAACTGTTGCACAAGGGCTGCACATTCAGAATCACCTCAGAGCCCCCCGAGGAGAGAGTGGAGGACATCTATAAAGTGCATGTGGGCTCATTCCAGGATTGAATAACTGACTGTTTTGCCAGAGACAGAGAGACATTGTGTGGAAAAATTAGCTGGGAACCGGGAGGAAGGGGTTCTCTCAAAGAAATGAAGAACAAACTTGGAAACAGAGATTGACATGGGCTTCACTTCCTAACAGCGGTCTGCTTTACCAACATAAAGGAGCAGGTCTGAGAGGAGGATGGGAGATTGATGTGTGAATTTGGGGACTTAAGGACAGCAGTTATGATCCACTATTAGTCCAGATAAGAAGCGAACCCATCATCAGATATCAGATGAAAGGACTTTGCTGTGTCAGAAACTGAGTGTGCTGTGGCATCTTGAGAAAATCTTAAAAATCACTTCCTTAAATTGCAACCCCGCAGCTTTTCGCCTTACTTTATTTTCCGTTTGTTAAACAGCTATCCATTTCTGGATTTTGCCACCTGATCTTATTTGGTCTCAGATGTAAGAGAATTGTTGTACTGGCCACCTTTTCCCTGTCCTCCTTCTCCTCCCTTGTGGACACTTTTGTCCTTTCTTCACGTCTCCTGCCTCGTCACCCTCTCAATTCTTTGCCTCTGCCCTCTTCACCCTCTTATAAATTCTCCCCTTTTCTTCCCCCTTCAATATCCTGTCCTTTCTCTCTTTTCATTGCCCGGACCAATTCTCTTTTCTGTGCTCCTGCCCCTTTTCCCAGCCCCTTCGCAGTCCCCACCTCTCCCGTGCTGCTCCCCTCACACGTCCCTCCTGAGCCTTCACTCTTCTTGTGCTTGGCTTCTCTTCTTGCCTGTGTTGGCAAAGTGGCAGAAGGAGGCGTTTAGAAGCAGCGCTAGCTGCATTAGCCCCATACATTATTCATGTGCCCTGCAGTCTGTGTGGGTCTTGGTCTTGTGCTGGCTTTTCTAGTGGGACACATGGGCCTCGTGAAAGAGCTCTGTGTGTGAGACACAAGGCCTTATGGAGGAGCTGCACAGATGGGACTATAGTTTCATTTATTTCCGCGCAATTTGCAGATGAAAGCCCCAAAGAGGGAGAGTTTACTTCACACATCAACATTCAAGTGCCAAATAAGATAGTTTTCCTCAGACAAGAGGCTTCCCATAACAAAGTACTCACCAAGTGTTTGTTTTTTCTCCCTGAACCAGTGGCTAACTTTGGTTTCTGCCATCTCTGCTCTGATGCACATATGAAAGACTTTTCCTCTTTTACCATCGGCCAAGATCTGCGTTTTGCCTGGCAGGAGTTCTCTGGCCGCCACATCAGGATTCCCTGGCTGCGCTCGTAGCTTTTTAGAGAGCACCCAGCAAGAACTTTTAACTGAACTGGGCCGTATGAAATTTTAATTCAGACAACCCGACGGAGATGGAGTGCCTCGTCTTCACAGAGCCGAGTGCTTTTGAGGCTGTGGAGGAGTAGAGAAAGACACTGGCTGAGAGGCAGAGAAAGAGAGCAAGAAAGCCTTTGGGACTGGAGGAGGGGCCCCTTGGAAAACCACAAGCACATAGCTGCTTTTGGCTCACATCTGCTTTGCTTGACATACTTTGGGTTTACACTGAAAACCACTTCCAACAACTGGACTTAGGAATCGTTCACAAATTCACGCAGATGATGCCACTTAATCAGACCTCGCCTCAATCTAATTTTAAATGGTGGACATACGCTCTGTTTATAGGTCTTGACAGCTCTCAGTGACAGCCTTGTTTTGCTCTGCACAGGTGGCCGTGCCAAATTGGGATTGGGCCTCGATGATCGCAAGGATCCACTATTTTTCAGCCAATCCTGGAGGGGTTACAGAGCTGATGCCTCAGAGGAGAAGGGGCCGTGTGTGTTCTGGAGTCCTAAAGGGGCAAGTTACATCTCGGTGAGTCATGCTTTCACAGATTCGAATTAAAATGTGCGTCATTATGTTGCCTGCTGGAGATATTTTAAGAGCTCGGAGGCCCACAAAGCGCAGGTTTGTGTGGAGGACCAGGAATGTTCCAGAAAATGACGGTTTTCAGTTCAGGGCCAGGTGACAACAAACACACACTCAGCAAGCGTTTGACTCTGCACCTGCTTATCTGGCAGTCTTAGGCTAGCTAAAAATGTTGGCTGTTGTTTAAAATGAAAGCAGTGGGACTTCTCGCGCACATGCATAAGGTATGAACGGAGGTGGGAAATAGCTGGATGCTGCTGCTGCCCGCAGAGGCTGTCATCAGAGACGACTACCTGACTCCGCAAGGACGGAGAAGGTTAGAAAACACTGAGGAGAAAACGAAAGACTGAACAGATAAAAAAAAGGAGAGTGACAGCAAAAAAATCCCCGACAGATTCTGTGCTGGTTGCTGCATTTAAGTACCACGCAGACATCTTAAATCTGCACATTCGTATACATTAGTTTACACTCGAATGTGAGCGGGCTGCAGTATCGCCTCTGTAAGTCTGTATCAGCAGCCCCAGCATCGTTCATCATCTGCTGCTCACAGGGCTAATGTCAAGTTTGTTTTTTTCTCCCTCGGTAGATTGAAGGGGGCACATGTTTGAGTAATCGTGCTCAGTTCCTTGTGGGCAGCTGTCGGCTCCACAATCTCACTTAGCTGCCCTCATCCACGTCAATCCATCCCAATCCGGATAAGCAGGAGGTGCTAAAGTGACACCCTGACCAGTTCAGGTCTGTGCAGTACGAAGGCTTCTAATCCTCTTAAAGAACAGAACGGAACTGCGTGGTTTAGTCCCAGTGAGGGAGGCCAGTGGGAACTGGCCAACAACCGGAGATCACTTCCACTGGGATGAGCTGATGTCCTGCTGCTTGCGTTTAAATGCAGCTTTACTTATAGGAGCTCTGGAGGGCATTATTTGTTGATTGTAATACATTGTGTATTGTTTCCATCTAAGTCAGAAGGTAAAGAACCGTAGAGTGAACAAAAATGATCACTTCCTGGATAAAAAGTATGTTTTAAAAAGTGCTGCAAATGACCACCTTGTGCTTCCTTCACAAAAGTCTTGGCTTGCACAAACCGGGCCCATATTTCAAAGAGAGAAGCTGTTGGCCAGGCCTCCAGTGGATCCTTAGGTTTCAGGAGCACATCATTAACCCTATTGATTAACTCTGGGTTGCTGGGCTTGCCATCTCTGCCAGTTGCTTTGCTTTAGTTATCATGCATACGGGCAAACGTTGCGGCAGAAGTTCACCACGGGACGGGGGCACATCCGTATGTTCCCAAAATGAATAAAATAACTAAGTAAATACAGCTTGACGATACAAATTCATGTCATATCAAACTGGTTAAGTAGCTCTGGAAGTCTTTTTAGTTGTACGCTACAGCAGAAGAAACAGATTTCTTTGTGGTGTCACATGTTTTGTAGGGTAAATAATAACAAAATAGCAAAAATACAGCTATATCGGGGACATAGCAGTCCTCTGGTTGTCTAGCGGGAACAGAGAACAGTTAGCAGGAGTTGGATGTGTCGACTTCTGTTTTGGATTCAAAGCTGGCCAACTTTGCCTCCCTCTGAGCCCCCCCCCCCCCATCGTCATTATCGTTGTTCCTCATCGCTCGCCTTATCGAAGGGCAAACTGAGCAGAAAACACACAGCTGTGGCGCTGCAGCGAACGTGCAGATTGATGCCCAACACTTTGTGAATCCTGTTGTGGCGTGATGTTGCAACTGTTGTTGTGGAGAATCAGGTCACTTAGGCATGTGCTGCTGCTCACGCTCACAAAGCGCCGACCCCTCCCCTTTCTCGCTTACAGTCCACATATCTGATTATTCATCGGATACAAGTCAGGAAACATGTGCTGCGTATGAAAAAACACAGCAAACTGCATGCGAATTTAACTGGGGCCTGTGCAGTACAAAAAGATAGACCCAAACTCTAAGCGGTTTCTAATTTCTTTGATCCTTCCAAATCCCTTTCATCTCCTTCCCACATGGGTTTTGCTTCTTTGCTGTGATGTCTGTGGCTCATATTAGTCTCTCTCTCTCTCTCTTGCTCTTGTTGTCACTTCAGATAAATGGAGGAGAAGGAGCGATGTAGGAGCAGGTCTCCTGCCCGGCGGGCCAGCCGGGTGCAGCAGGTGGTGGGAACCATAATACGACGCACCCGGGAGTCGCTGAGCAGGTACACAATGAGAGCAGAGCTCAGAAGAGTTTGAAAAGAAAAAAAAACTGCGTCAAAAAACACTGCGTCATGCAAAAAAAAAAAGAAAAGAAAGAAAAATTAAAAGGAAAATGCCATCTGCACACAAACTTCAAATAACATCTATATTCAAAGAATAAAGAAAATAACTTAATCTACTCGTAGGCATGCTGCCCGATGCTTCTAGTGATGGAGAAATGTGCTGAAAGCACACTTTCTGTCCAGTTTATTGAACAAAATGCACCGTTTCACAGTTTGATATGGCCAAATACAAAGGGAAAAAAACACCATGAAACCAGGACATCAACTTAGGCTGTACATTTTTTTTAACTTGATATAAACACATGCTGCAGATCCTCTTCCCACACCCTCAGAGGGAAGCACATAACACATAGCTGCATTTTCAAACCATGACTGTCCCTCTTTCCCAGTCAAACACACCCCACAGGGAACCTCAAATATGCATTCAAAAACCCTTCAAGATCTTGTTATCGGTCAAGTGGTTTCTCATGCTGTTCAAAGGATGTGTTGCGGAGGAATCTCTGTAAACCCACACTGTTCATTTTAGCTTCCCACTTCTAATAAACTAAGCAAAGGAGACTTAAACTAAGCAGAAAACTGTGTGCCTCTTCCAATTAACAGAACCTGAGAAACATGACAGTTGACTTTAAATAACCCCGGGCCAGTGTCAGCCTGAGGCAGAAACTAACAAATGAAATGCAACCCCAAAGCGGTTGCAGGGAAACTGCACTAAATGAAAGTGACTCATGGCTCTTAAAATAGTCTGAAATAAGTGAAATCTCCTTTCAAAAGCATGTCATATGAGAGAGAGTCCATCTCATCTGTTGCATAAATGGTGCTTTCACAGCCCAACCCATGTTGAGTGTAGCCCTGCTGGCTGTTTTCTAACAGAAACAGATTTCCCTCTCCTCATGCGCCCAAGACCACGTTTCCACAATTAACAAAACAAAATCATTAGATTTTTTTAATTTTCATCTAGCAGTTGAACGACTTGTATATGATGGTCATTTTGAGTATTTTGTCATGTCATAAAACTATTACACCACATATTTCACTTGACTGAATAAAGTTTTCAGAACAGCACAGACGTCTCCTAAACACAAAACATGATTTGTATTCATTCAAACACAACTGAATGTCTCTCTTGGGATCCAGTTAAATGACATGCCACCCTCTTTGACTTGCACAGAGAGCGGTTGCTAGGCGATGGGAGGTCACAGCGCTCCAACAGCCTGTCCAATCAGAACTTCCAGGCCAAACTGACGCTGCAGATCACCAGAGACCCAGTCCTGGACAGTAGCACTGGACACGGCTTCTCCCTCACCACAAACGCACCCCTGCTGGTCAGGGACATTGCCCCAGGTATGTCGAGTGGTCGTCAGCTCTGGGCTGTTTGTGGTTGTGGACACATGCACTTGTTTTCCTGCTTTCTCTCCAAATGGCTACCTGGCTTTATGCAAGCGTGCACCGCCTGCAGTAAGTCGGATTTACACACACTCGTTTTGTCTCTGTCTCAGGCACGCACACGCACACACACACACACTGATTCTCTCCTGGCATTCACTCTGTCAGGCTTTGTGCCAGAGAGGCCACAGAAACAACAGAGCCACCTGCTCATCCTTTTTAAATTCAATCACTTTTCATTTAGGTAACTTTGATGGTGGGATTGGGAGAGTGAGACAGGAAGATGCTGATCCATTACTTTCATGTCCGTCCTGTAAAATAAGCTGATAAATGCCCCGAGGAAAGTCCTACCCAGCCATCCACTATGTGATTGCTTTCTGCTGCCAAAGAAGGAGAGAGAGTGAGAACGCGAAGGGGGGAAGTGATAACAAAGGGCGGCATCTGACAGCGAGAGGAGATGTCAGCAGGAGGACCCAGTAGGGAATAGACATCAGCAAAAGTGCAAATGTGACCAAAGAGAGAAAACTAATGAGAATGAAAGGGTGTGGGCACGGAGCAAAGATGCATGAAGCCTTCGAGGTGGGAGGAGCAGGAGATTAGGTGAACGCTGGCAGAAAGTGGTGGGCAAGGAAGAAGAATAGACACACACACAAGAAAAACGCAAAATGTGGGACTTGAAAAAGCAACACAAAGATCAAAACATTTGTAAGACCGTCATGAAAGCTTGTGGGGGGGTTGCTGCGTGTTGTTGTTGTTGCGTGCCTGCCTGCCGTTGGGTCTGAACGCGTAAACCCCTGCAGGGCAGCAGAGTGTGGCACCAGTGGGTCAAAAATCAGGGACAGCGAGGGCTTTACCAGGCAGACACGCAGGGCGTGTGAAATATGTGTGCACGAGCGTACGTGTTTATGCGCCCCTTCTCTGGCCCGGCTGTGAATGTGTATGTTACAGAATAAGCTGAAACTGCTGTGCCTCAGTCGGGCGCGCTCTCTTGCCCGAAGACAAATGAGTATAAATAACCAGAGAAAGCAGAGCAGAGCCAAGCTGGAAAAGACCCAGAATATCCGTAACCCCTTACATCCTGGAGAGCTGGGCCGAACACTGATGAGTCAGCCATGTTGAATGAGGATGTGTGCCATGCCGTGTGGGTGTCTGCTCCTTTCCATGTGTGCGGCAACTCATGCAAACGCACAAATCTGATCATGATTTTACTTGGCGTGTATGTGGGTGTTCTTAGGAAGCCCTGCTGACGGGATACTGTATCCAGGAGATCAGGTTCTGCAGATCAATGAATCCGTACTGGAGGATACCACTGCAGAACAAGTGGAAACTGTCATGAGGTTAGTGAAGCAACCTGTTTGATTCCCCTTCCGTCCCAGAACCAGTGCGTCTGGTCTGTCCAGTGACTAAATATACCGTCTTGGTTTTTTTCTGGGGACGTTTCTGAAACACGGGGATGATCGATGCGTACATGTTCTTGTGTCTGAGGCTTTGCACGTTATTTAAAAAAAAAGGTCAAAGGACAGAATCCTTGGATGACAGCTTAACAAAAAAGAAACTTAAAAATGAGCATTCTATTCTCCACCCAGGAACTTGGACGATTGCATCAACGTGACTATCCTACGGCACATGACAGTGAGTACAAAGAGGACATTGATGGCTTGGCCTCAGTACAAACACACAAAAAGTCATTACACCATCCTTCATGTCAACAAAATCTACTGGCCTCTGAGCATGTGACTGTAGTTTTGCATCTTCTGACGGGGTCAACTGCCTCCCGCTGAACGGTAATGTTGTGATAACTTAAGTGTGTGGCCTATCTGTCCACACTTGAGCCTCACGCGTCGGCGGTCTCTGATTTAATCCTGTTATTGTACGGTTTCGTACTTGACCAGCATGCATGTGTGTTGCAGAATCCCAAGTCATCCATTATGTCAGCAGAGAAGAGAGCTCGTCTGAGAAGTAATCCAGTTAAAGTGCGCTTTGCTGAGGAGGTGGTGGTCAATGGGCACACTCAGGTAGGACCTCTTGTCTGATACAGAAAGACAGCCATTTTTCACTGATCAACCCAACATTTTTGGATCCACAGATTTAGAAAGATCTTATTCAACATTATCTCTCAAGCTTTTTTCACATTTAATGCATCTTCATTTGATACCTGTCTCTTGTAACCAGATCACTTCTTTTTCTCCATCAGGGAAACTCTCTTCTCTTCTTGCCCAATGTCCTGAAAGTCTATCTTGAGAACGGGCAGACCAAAGCATTCAAGTTCGACAATACCACCGCTGTCAAGGTAAAAATAGTTTTCCATTTTGGATTGAGTGTCTATTCAGTGTCCTGACATGTTTGTCGGTGTCATTTTGTTTAATGAATGCCAAAAAGAATTGTCCTCCCATTGTGTTCAGCCCTATAGAGGTGGATAAGCCTGTCAAAACAAGCCATGTTAGAAAAACAGAAAGAAAAATTAGAGAGCGTTGGTTCATGTTTTATGTAACATTTTATAAAAGTGTCTGACTTAATGAAAAGCCTCCTCAGTGTCTTGCATGAGACCAAAGATGTGTGGAATTAGCCAGGAAAAGCCTCCCTCTCTATTTTCTTGAAAGCAGCTTCTCGGGCTGGCAAATATTAAATCTTTTCTGATTCCGAGATATTTTCTCATAAGGGGGAAATGTGCGAGAAGAACTGAGAGAATGAACGCAGAGGGATGTAAACATGTTACGAAATCACATGGAATTTTCCATGAAGTCTATTTTGCACCCCTGAAGTGCATCTACTAAGTTATCATCTATCTATGTAGACGTTGGGGTCATCTTTGTTTGTTGTGGTTACTTTTGTGACCATGTTGTTATTGCTACCACAGCTCTTGAATTTGTATTTCAGTTCAATCAAAGGGAGCTCAGGAGGGGAGCCAAATTTTTCCATCTGACATCAGCAGATTTGGGATGAAACATGTTTGTTTAAGGGGTCTGAACTGTTGGTTTTTCCTCATTCCAGGATATTGTTCTGACTCTGAAGGATAAACTGTCCATCCGGGCTATAGAGTACTTTGCTCTGGTGCTAGAGCAACAGTACAGCATCACCAAACTACTGCTACTGCATGAAGATGAGCTCATACAGAAGGTGAGGCACTCACTCAGAATAACCCATATACTCTGTGCAAACTATCAATAAAAGCAAAGTATTTTAACAAATCCATCTTTTGTCTTCGTCAGGTGGTGCAGAAAAAAGACTCACATGATTACAGATGTCTGTTCAGGGTCTGTTTCATCCCCAGAGACCCCATGGACCTGATGCAGGATGACCCCTCGACCTTTGAGTACCTCTTTTTGCAGGTTGGAAAGGCTCATCAGTTGAACTACTTCATGTTTGTTTCACTCCCTGTCTCTCTTAGAAACTATTATAGCCATTAAACGGATAATCTTCCATACCTTTTTAAAAAAGCTGTTCATTCACTTAAAAAAATCTCTCCAGACACTTACTTACACCCAGAATGTTTGTTAGTTGTTGATTTGACAAAGTGAGTCAACTAGCGGAGTGTCAGTAATCCTCCGTCTGCTTCTTAGTCTTCCCGCCTGATCTAAAACTAGGAGCTGCTTTTCATAATCTTCAGCTTTAACACTTTGTGGTAAAAACAAACACAAAAATATGCAGAGCCACACGCAGCCGGCGCATAGTTTCGCTGCACAATAACGCAGCGGGAGTGCCACTTATGTCACGCTGATTTACTGCAGTCTCCACATCCTGCCGGGCTGGCTACGGATCGCAGTTCCCAGTGTTTGTTGTGTGTTGCAAATTTTTCCCGTGTCTGCCACAAAGACTATCTCCGTAGAAACAACTAAAACATCGTGTGCTTTTCGGTTTTCTGTGATCTGCATGTGTATATGCATTAGTCTCTGATTGAGAGCGTGTGTGTGTTTCCAGAGTGTTGGGGACGTGCTGCAGGAGCGTTTTGCGGTGGAGATGAAGTGTAACACCGCGCTGCGTCTGGCCGCCCTGCACATGCACGAGAGGCTAGACAGTTGTGGACAGACCAGGGCGTCTATCAAGAGCATTACGTGAGTCAGACGTTGGTGTCTGGGTCGTTTTCGGGTGACACTTTCAGGGTCGCTGCTGACGCCGATGCCCTCTATTGTAACTTGTGTAACTTAATCTGTTGTTCATCTCAGGGGTGAGATGATTTGCTGCTGCAATTATCGCTCGCTCATACCTAATCTGTTAATGTGATGGGAGAGTGTCTTTGTCCATAACAGTGTGCGATAGTGTGTCAAAATGAAAAAAAAACACACAATCATGACCCATTTCCCTAAAAAATTATTACCCTGAGGTATACGTTTACATCCCTGTAAAATCTACATTAGTTTATTCATAAATACTTTTCTGTGCTGCACATATTTGTCAGTCGCACTCATATATTTTGTTTTTTAAACCTTATTTTTTAATGTTTTCACTTACTTTTGGATTCTGATTCAGGCTCTCATCCACATTTGGATAACATTTGACACAGCTTTTTTCCTGGGGCATGATCTGATCAGTTAGACATTTTAGTGGTGTATTGAGCTTTCTGATTTATTTCCTTCTCTCTTTGAATTTCTGGGCATTTTATAAACACCATCTTACCTCACCAGCAGAGAATGTTCAGAAACTTGTATTGGGTTAATTGTAAACAGCATTGTGGTTTCTATCAGCTCAGGTAGATTTCCATAGTAGATTAAAAAAACACACAATGTAATTAATTAATTTATAACTCAAAAATGGACAACACATTAGTCAGTGTAAACCTTTCTCCAAATGAAATGCTGTGCTTGAGGGTCAGTGCTGGCTGTTTTGTAATAAAACATCAGCTAATTTTCTTATGAGGATGACATAAGTAACAGCATGATCTCTGGTGAATGGAAGTTTTAAAGTGGGGCTGGTTATTTTACACGAGAAAGGTTCCGTGTCATTGAAATTAAATAATTGAGTAATAATTATTGCTTTAAGTACTACAGTCATAAGTGCTCTAAAGATTTTAAACACATCATCAATATTTCATCCTTCTCGGGTCATCAGATGGAAAGTGTGGGGCACTGTAGCTTAGCTTTAGCTGGAAACGTCAGTATATGAGCTGCTTAGTAGTGTGACTCTTCATTCCTCTTTGTGTGTGGCATTGACAGAAAGGAGTTTGGCTTGGAAAGCTTCATCTCCCCCACACTGCTGAGCAATATGAGGGAGAAGGACCTAAGGAAAGCCATCAGTTACCACCTCAAAAAGATCCAGGCCCTGCTAGAGCCACGCCAGAAGGTATGTGAAGACTGACAGATAAGTGGAGGGAAGCACTGAAAGATGTTAAGAGACAGATAGTGACAGTTTAGTAGAGGCTTTGGGGTGCTTCTCAGCTGCTGCTTACTTAGCTAATCTGTCAGAGTTTTAGAGCGGCAGAAAGACAGAAGGTTGGGGGAGAGAAAAAGAGCGGTGGGAGGGTCATTTAAAAATGGAAAGTATTCCGGGCTTTCATTCTATACACTCACCAAGATTTTCTGACCTTGCTGCTTTTACTTTGACACCCCTTATCTTACATGTCAACCCTGGCGTTGTAGGTAATATCGGCTAAACAGGCACGATTGGCCTACCTCACTCAGCTTGGAGAGCTGATTTCATACGGGGGGCGCTCTTACACAGCTACCATGATGGTAAGGATTAAGAACTTAATGTGGTTTACAGGGATCATTTGCTGAAGCATGCAAAATATATATAACTGAATTGTTGTTTTTGTTCCCCTCACGTTCACCCACACTCAGCTTCAGGACAGAGAAGTGTTAGTCAGCCTGCTAGTTGGAGCAAAGTATGGAATGAGCCAAGTCATCAACCACAAGCTCAACGTGATCTCTACGCTGGTTGAGTTCAGCAGCATCAGTCGAGTGGAGCTGCTCTCTGAGTCGGACAAAGTCAGCCTGCTGCGCATCTCACTCCATGACATGAAGGTATGAAAGGCTAAAAACCTGTTCTCTTTTATTCCAAAACATGAAGTCACTGACACAGATACATTCACCACACTGCTCATTCTAGAGTAAATATAGGTCAAGCATTCTTACTCCAGTACCGCTATATGCAGCCTAAGGGAGATTGTGGTAGCTACACACTGCTAATTCACTGACCCAAAGGTGACTATCTCTCCTTTTTTCTCTCACTCCATCGCCTCCTCCTTCTTACCCTCTGGCTTTAATCACAACTACTTTACTTGATCTTCTGCGTTGCCCTCCCCCCTCTCAGCCATTTGCCTTACTGATGGACTCTCTGGCAGCCAAAGACTTAGGGTGTCTGCTGGGAGGCTACTGCAAACTCCTGGTGGATCCAAGTGTTAATGTCTTCCGTCTGGGGCGCCCGAAAGTGAGGGTGCACCGGATCCCTGCTGAAGAAGGTGTGTGTGGGAAGTTCGCCGTTGTAGAGGGCGTGTGCTATGAATCCCTATCAAGTGAGCAAAACTGTTTCACTTTAAACTCTCACTTTCAGGATTTAACCTTTTGATAGAATCTTTTCAAATAATATGTCGATGATTGAAGCCAGTACGGGTACGGATAAAGAAAGACTGCTGTGTTGTGCTATAATGATAACACACAATTCCCATCTACTAACACCTTCTCCGTTGTTTCATGCATTAGGTTATGTATCTCGCTGCTGCAGTGACTCAGATGACTCTACGGATGACGATGACCCGATGGATTCTCAGAATTACAAACGCCCCGATCCAGCAAGTCAGGACTGGGAAGAAAGGAGGAGAGAGGAGGAAGAGAAGAGGAGGGAGGAGGAAAGGTTAGAGAGAGAAGAGCAGAAAGGCAAACAGGAAGTGAAGATAATTGTGACAACAGAAGGTAAGGAAAATGATGGTGAAGAGGAAGAAGGAGCCACAGGAAGCGGTCTGCGTAAATTCGGTGTTATGGATGAAGAAATGAACTTGGAGACCAGATGGTACCACACTGACCCACGGGTCACCAGCAGCTTCTCCAGCTTGTCCAGCGGTTCCTTGAGTGCTGCCCTGGAGGAGAGCAGTTCCGCAGCACAGGGCTCGTCTCGCAAGGACGCTCTTCGTGGGCCGCGGACAGAAGAAGATCTTCCAAGCTTGGATGTTCATCATCCCTACCTCCTGGAGCCCAAACGGCACAAAGGGCCTGTACGGCCCACTAACCTGAATTATCGTGGCAATAACAACTCTTGCCTCTGCTTTTCTGACCTCTCCAAGGCTGATTTTCTGCCAAGCCCACCTGGGGCTACAAGTGATGATGATGATGAGGAGGATGATGATCTGGGAGTTGAAGAGCTCCGGCGTATTTCTAAGATTCCTAGTTCAAGAGATTTGAGAATGATTGACAGCACACCTTTTGAAAGATCACCTGTTAAAAGAAAGAAAAAAGTCCCCCCAAAAGTCCCTCTAAGGACAAGTTCAATTCCTGCTAACAAAGCAGGACAGGCTGAACATCGCCTGTCTAAGGATGATGAAGGTTTATTTCTGACTCCTTCACCTAACCCCAAACCAGCGCTATTGGTCAAAGACAACATCTCAGAGTCAGATGATGAGTTTTTCGATGCACATGAGAGATTCACTCCTCCTGTTCCTGAGCTATCAGGTTTGTGTACACTATGTTTGATATGTCTCTATAGGTCACAATGTCTTTGTTCACTTTTTTCATTTGTCTATTACTTGTGATTGCATTGTCATTATAACACAGTGCAATCTGTAGCTACACCCTTATATTACTTTGATTAAAAGATGAAGGAATACTTTTGTCAGTCAAATTATGCCTTTTTTGTCTATTCCATTTGATTTTTTTTTTTTTTTCACAGATGCTGAGTTGGCGGACCAGCGGAATGCCAATCGTTTGAGTGGAACTTGGAATAGTCTACCAGCCTTCCCTGGAAAAGAACCATCATCACCTAATACCAAAAAAGACAACTGTAAAATCAAGAAGGAATCTGCGACTGTAAAAGGTCCCACAAAGGAACTCATCAGCCAACAACACAGTCCTTCAAGACAAATCCAGAAACATGAAGGAAAGATGAAACCACCTCTAGCACCAAAACCCCAGGTGCCTCCCAAACCTCAGATCATCCCTCCCAAGTCACCTCAGCATGGAAGATCATATGTTCAGTGCAACGGGGATGCCTCAGGACACTTGTCTTCTGAACTCCTGGAAATGGAGCCAGAAACTATGGAGTTCAAGTCTGTCACATCTGGTGGATTGCCACTTTCATCATCACTGATCACAGCAGTGCGGTGTGGCAAGCAGCCACTTACAATCACGAATCCAAAAGCTGAGGAGAAGACAAAAAGACAAGAAAGCGGTCCAAAGCAAAATAATGATCTGGTGTGTGAAAATGGGACAAACATTGTTTTGAAGAACAAAGCGTACATTCCGAATGACAAGGAACCTCCTAAGGTTGAGGGGAAAAACAATGGAACTGACCCTGCAAAAAAAACAACAGGCTTGTCCTCTATCCCTCGCTCGAATTCAGGGACAAAACTAGCTGTTCCTCCCCCTGTGCCCCCCAAACCCACTGGTCCCATCAGCCTCCACCCATTATCGCTACCTGGTAGTTCCCCTGTCTCCCCTACTGATCCAAGCAAAGGGATCTTTAAAGACACACCCAGTCCACCAAATGGAATCCACCCTTGGGGTAGTCGTAATGGCAGCATCCAGTCAGGACCTAGGAGAGTCTCTCTGAGCCACGAGAGCCTATCGCCAAAAAATTCGGATGCACCTCTCACAATTACCACCTCACTTACCTCAACCAACTCTAAAGATGTTGTAGCCCTAGAGAGTAGAGAACCTGGAAAATCTGGTTCGGGGTCTGACCTGAGGACTAGCTCTTCCAGCTTGGGAGGCAGACTGCCTGCTTCTGCCTTAAGAGGGAAGATCCAGTCTTTGCCTTGGTATATGACTCGTTCCCAGGAGATTCTAGGTACTCTAGACTATCCTTCCACAAGTTCCATAAATGGAGACACATCTGGCTTCGGCTCTGGTTTGTCTGTAGCAAGTGGTTTGTCAGACTTAAACAGAACCCCTGTCAAAGACAAAGAAATGGTGGCCTTGAAATCAGAAAGTAAAGGGTGCATTCTAGATGATGGAGCTGAAGTTGTTATTGCAACCATCAAAGAGGTCAAAGAAGTGAGCTCACATATGAAAAAAGCCAATGGGACCAATGGCTCCCACCCTAATCTTTCTTTAAAAGAAAACTGTGCATACGGTGGTAGTGTTTCATCAGAGCAGCCTCAGTCACGGCCTCATTCAGCCGTCGGGTTTGGGGGGGTGTCGAGCATGCAGATTGGAGGGGACTCGCCGACATCCTCGGCAGCAGACACTACGCCGCCACAACAACACAGGGATGCTTGCGGCTGCCGCACCGTCTATGCCAATTGTTTCAGTGGAGACCCCGAGGATGGCGTTAGTTTTGACGAGGAGCTCACGGTTTATGAGTTTTCTCGACGCGTACGCCCCAAACCTGCCAGGCCCGCACCCATACCTTCCCCAACATCCCCCTCTCCGAAACCCAACATTCTGTCATTGTTGAGGGACAACCCTCGTCCACTGTCTACTTTCTCTACTGCTTCCTCTGAACTAAGTCCTCTAGTTTCATGCCCTGTTTCCCCAACAACATCCCTTGGTGGTTCTATTCGCTCCCTAACAAACAAGAACTATGGAGGGCTGAAAGGAGGTTTTGCTTCTCTGCGTCAAGATATAGATCAGCTTCTTCTGGTGTTGGAGAGAGGAGCCCTTGAGCAGCCACAACAGTATTCAAAATCTGATAGCGCCGACCTAAAAGTGGGGCCGGATCTGAATCACAATGGTGTTGAAGACAACATTAACCCTGCACCAATCCTCAGCTGCTCTGGGATGAGCTCTGCCACCATGACAGAGGCTGAGAGGACCCTTCTCCAGGCAGAGGCTCGCAGGTTGGCATCTGGGTGTCAGCGGGCCACGCGGGTCGGCTGGGCACCCGACGAGGCACTTCGTTCTTTGTCCAATAGCTTCAGTGCTCTGGTTCAGCTCTCAGCAGCATGCCTGCAAACAAGTCCCTGTCCCGGATGTGACATCTGCCATAAAGCTAGTCTGGTTCACAGGGACGATCCCGATGATGAGCAGGCCATGGACAAATTAAAGGAGATCGTGGGCCTATACCGGGAATTTGTTGGGGCTGTTGAGACAGCCGGGACTGGTGGGGTGGCGGGTAAGAGTATGGCGGTCAGTGGGTCTCCACAGGGTCAGGGAGAGGTCGACGGGGTGAGAATGCTAGCTAAACGCTGCACGGTGCTCATCTCGTCCGTATTCGCTCTGACGCAACTCTTCCGGACACGCACACCAGAGGCCACAGACACGCCTGGCCACGTACCTCTTAACTTTTGACTTGTGAACTTCTACCCACTTATAAAACCACTGACTCAAGAGGTGAAGCAAGAGGAAACAGCACAGAGCGATAGGGTGTGTGACTCCTGTACTGTACAGTAAGTGCCATGCACACCACAGCGCGCACACAACCGCGTTACACACGGAAACCACAAAAGGATTTGACATTTGACACAAGAGAGGAAATGGTTTCGTGCTGCATCTCCTTGGACGCATATAGACTATGCATTTGTATATATGAATTTTATAATTATCTTATAATTCTCTTATTTTATTATAAAATATGTGTATGTATGTATGTATGTATGTAAGGATGAATTATGTATGTATTTATGTATTTATTTTTACAATGTTTGCACCATGATCTGTGATGTGCAGGTCCATGGTAAAGCAACAAAAAAGGATGTCACTGGAAGTTTTATTATCCATTTTCTTTTAGACAGTATTCTGTTACCTTTTGCTGCTTTAAAGATTTCTCCACTCCACAAGGTGTAATCTGTAAATGGTCATTTTCAAGTTTACGGACAAAAAAACTAAGAAAAAAAACTGAAAATAGTATTTATCACTGTTGTGAAATAGAAATATGAACCGTTTTGTTTTGTATGTGCAGATTTTGCACCTTTTTAGGGATTTAGTTTTTCAACCTAACAGATTATGGGACACGAACCACCAATACACAGCAGGGAGAGCACTTTTGACTGTTACAGATTGCACCTTTTTGTGAGACACATAACCTTGTGTAAAATGTTTTTCTACCCCTTTTCCTGTCCAAGCTGACTTTGTGTGAATGCTTCTTGGAAACCCATTACCCATTTGTATGCAGTATTATAACAGTAACCTAGTTTCCATCCAAATGACACTACACATATATTTTCTGGGAATGTGTGAGGTGGGCTCAGGCAGCAGAACAGGGGACCTTATTGAAATGTTTCTGACTTGGCACAAAGCTGACTGTTAAACTCTGTCCAGATGTAGCAATTATCCAAAGTCTTAAAACACTGAGCCACAACTGTTCCCTGCAACAGTGTCCTCTTTGGGCACCACTTTATTGATGACTGACGAACTCACAGATGGATGGACTGCTTCACGCTGGGGTCAGATTTGTAGATATATATCTGTATCCTACCTTAGTTTATGGCTATGCAAACATACACACACCTCACTCCCAGCCACATACAATAGTTTGTTCTTTATATTATTTTCTTGTGCTAACATTAAAAACAACAGTGGCTGCATTATGTTTTTTGGAATATAATGAGTGCTTTCTTTGTTTGGAATGTTGGCTTTGGTCTTGTTTCAGGAAATCTCTGCATTTTGGATTGCAACATTAAGCAGGGTTGCATGGCATTGGCATTTGTCAATTTAAAGACTCCTGTCTATACTGATGTCTGTGAATTGCCAGTAAAAAGGAATTATTATCGGTTCGCTGATGTACAGTGTTCACTAATACGCTTATCTCATGCGGTGTTACCAGCTCACCTGATTTTGAGGACTTAATTGAGCCACTTTTGAGAATAGAAAGGAAATTAAGATTAAGATTCTGTCAGCAGTGACTTGTGTAGATGTGATGAAGGGATTAGCCAAAACATGGACTTCTTAACTATTCAGAGACAGCTAAGGAGGGGGGAAACATTGTATTTAATCTTCCAACCTGATGACCGAGAGAAATTTTAAGGTGGCTGTTACAAAAAAGAAAGAAAAAAAGCAAGAAGGCAAGTCTCTTGTTTGAGACTGCACAGCTTCTGGTAAGCATGGAGCTAATGTCAAGTAATTTTCTCCATCACTGCTCTATCATCATGACATTTTGTGGTGTCTTCTGTGTTTTTCATAAGACAGGCCCTGATGACAAGGAGTGTCTGTGCCATCCATTTCTCTTTGAATATTAACATCAAAATTTCATACAGAGAACATTAATGTGTTTCTACATAAGCAGTCACTTTTCTGTATCTACGTACAACAAAGTCAATGTAACAAGAAATGTATTGTTTGGGAATAAATGACATGCTGACTTTATCGGTGCTGGTTTTCTGAGTGTTTGCATGATCTGGGTGCAGTTTCATAAACTCACACCCAATATGTCTAAACTGCATCCTTTAATCTTATTCAAGGCACTGTGAACTTTAGAATAAATGTGTTTCTTAGGCCTGCGGAGCTGGAGATTCTACAGACAGGGGAAAGGTGCAGGACTGTTTACAGAGCTCTGCTATTTGGACTGTCTGAACCTGTAATGCATTTAGTGAGGATTACTGTGGAATTTCTTTCTTGGGTGTCAGTTGCTACACTTAAACGACGGCAGTGTTCATCTGGAAAGTTTGGTTTGCATCTTAGGACTTCTGATTTACCATCAAGGGACCCTGCAAAGATCGGTCAGACTTGCATTCCCACTCCGGTTGTTCAGAGATTTTTAACTGTACTTGAAAAGTGTAAGATTTCTCCCAATGTGATACATGGGCATTTCCTCGGGTGAGGAGAAACCAGGAGCCGATGGGCTTTGTAAATACAACAGCTCAACCTCCCAAATCCGAAGTGCCCCTGTCAGACTGCCCTTAATCTGATTCTTATCCGCGGTCTGACTTCCTGATGCAGTAATCTAGAGTAGTTCTCATACACAGGCCCTGACAGTGTGGCCCTGCTGCTAGAGCTCTTTCTAATCAGCTATCACACTCATTAAGCTGCATTCAACGTTGCCTCCTTCTGCCATTATAATTTGGCATCAAGGCCATTTCTCACCGTGCCATCATGATTCAGTGATGCGGTTTGGGACGGATGACAAAAAGAGATTAAAGAACACAGTTGGGAAAAGGATAGGTCAGACTAGTATCACAATAATGTTTTACTCCATGGATACCAAAGCCTGGCACAAAAGACACATATTCAATCAATGAAATCAAGAGGTTTCTTAATAAGAGGGTCCCCCATCCACTCCACATTATATCTCCATGTGGTTTCAATGGACTGCTTTATAAGACCTGCCGTTTTATTCATTTAACATTCTTAATGACTTGTGCTCCAATAAAATGACAAGCAATATGATTTAACATCCAAAAGGCCATTTCACTTTTAAAAGCAGCACAGTCTGAACGCTGAGGGAGAAACTATTACGATGTGCAGCACAATGTACAGTGACAATGAAAAGAAGTAAGGAAGTGGGCCAAGTGGTCCATTTATTTGGCAGCTTGAGCTTTTTGTGCCACTGAACATTACCCTCTGCCCCCTTCTTCACGCTGTACCATTACTCTTCAGTCTCTCAAGTGTCCAAGCAGCGTGCCTTTCCTCTTTGGGTTGTTGTATGCAGCTCGAGCTGCAGAGTGGAGAGTGTACTTACTCAAGCTTGAAATTTGAGCCCATTATGTCAACAGATGTTACAAACAGAGAGGAGCGCAAGCGTAAGGGAAGGAAAATGTCACTGTGCGAGCAGAGGGAGAGACAAATTAAATAAATTGCATTAGCTCAGCAAACACTTTGTTTTATAGTCAATAAAAGAGCAGTGATCCAAATATAACAAAGGGAGAAAGGTTATTGTCTCTTATTCTTTGCAGTAAAGGTTTCAGTGAAATACAACTTTCCTGTCTTTCAATGAATTTATTAAAAAAAAAAAAACGCAGAGCTTGGCCTTAGTTGGATTACTGACAAAGATCTAATTGAATACTGGTTTCAACTCAGCACACCCTCCCAGCGGCACTTTAGAGAACAAGTAGAAAAAAACTACTTTGAGCATTTCACATAGAAGAATCATTTGATAATAGAAACTTTAATCTTCAAAAAAAATTACACTTATTTTTCTATTGAATATTTTTAGCATTTCCAAAAATAAGTGTGTGGTTGTACCCATTTGTACAATTTCATCACCACAACCATTCATATCTCTTCGGCATGAGCTTGAAGAAAGTGAGGAGCGAGGGTGAGGAAAAAACAACAGCTGATGGCTCCCTCCCTGAAAATCACTCTTTAGACATTTAAACAAAAATACTAAGATAATTAGGTGGCAGAATATTAGCTTGACAGAAAAAAGTGCTCTTGGTCTAACAAACAGATGGGTACCATTATCAAAACACCACAGCACATACAGAGAGCAACTACAAAACTGTTCAGTCAGGTAACCCTATTATCAAGACTGTAAAAAAAAAAACAACAAAAAACACAAGTAAGTTCTGTTTGCTCTCCCTGTTTTTGTCCACTGGGAAAGCTAGGGCCTTCCACTTGGACCCTGGCACCTGCTTTGTGAAGGCTGAAGTGTGCGTGTGTGTTGGGTTTAATACTTGACTACATTGAAAAGTAACGATGGCGGGCGGTACCTTTCAAGGCCTGTTGGCCCCTGTCAGAAGTGCAACTTCTCTGCGATCTCCCTGTCGTGAAATCCCTTCCACTAACTGCGCAGACTTGACTTTGCAATTTCCCTCTTCAGACACTTTCAGCCCTGCGTATGGGTTTCCCTTAAAACGCACCTCTTCCACCTTCTCTCTCAGCTCTTTCCTGCGAATGCCTCGTCTCATAAGAGCTTGAGCAGCAGCTCGTAGGTGGCATTGATGATCCCCCAGGAGAGCAGCGAGCGGTGGTAGTTAAGATGAGCCCCTCTGAAGAGCATGGCCAGGCTGCCACCCCTCTCTCGCCACACGGTTAACAGCACCTCCCTGCACGGCTGGAAGGCTCCCCCAACCTGAGACTGAGCTCTGGATTTGACCACGTTTAATGGATAAAACATAATGCCAAGAGCGGCCCCCAGCAACCCTCCGCACACAAAATCATTAACCAAATGGCCGGCCCGGTTAGTGGCCTCTGGCAGCAGCTCTTTGATGGGCCCCCGAAGCCCAAAGAAGAGCACATTGCTGGGGCCATTACGGAGGAGGATGGGCACCAGACCACGGTAACACTCTCTGACGCCGTACTCCGTCAGAAGAGTCCGGAAGGTGTGGGCGGTGTTGTTGAAGCGCCCGTGGTGCCGATGGTCTTGTAGGAGAGTCTGGACACGCTCAAACGGCGTAAGGACGGCTTCCGCAGTTCCCGCCAACGCTGCGGCAAAGCTTCTCGTGACGATCTCTGGCACACCACTGCTGCCTGCCTGATCAAGTAACACTCTGGAGAAGTCCTCGTACAGGCCGAACATGATGGCCACAGTGGTGCTCTTTTGGAGCAGCGGGGGGAGCAATCCCCGGTAAAGGTTCCGCAGCCCATCCCTCTGGAGTTGACGCACAGCCTCAATGGCCAACACGCCATGTAGCTGCTGGCGGAACAGCACCTTCTGGATGGGGAAGGTCACCACAATATTAGTGCCAGCAGCAAGGGAACCACAAACATAGTGCCTCCCTTGAGTGCTCAGCCTGGTACTCAGGGCCCCAGTGGGGAGCACGGAAGGGCCTCCTTTAGCCAGGCCGGCCTGGGGTTGAGGTGTGCGGGACTCAGAGTTCATGGCGCTGACAGCCATGAGAGTGCACCATAGCCTGATCCTCCAGCATTACATTTAGCACTGCAGCATTCCACTGTGAAACACAAATTTACAAAACATCAAACATTCAGTTTTGTACACTTTCAAATACATTTACTCATCAGTTCATTTCAATCAAATAACTCAACATACTGTCCATCTGAAGCCGCTTAACCTTCATCATAATTTCCGATAAACACTGAAACAAACTTACATTTGAACAAAGAGGCTGCTTCGACTGCCAGCTGATAAGGATTATTACACAACTAACTGATAAGTGTGTGCTTAGTCATGGAAAGCTCCTGTGCAACCACTACCGCCACCAATATACGTGGATTATAAAACTCCAACGACCCATATTTGACTTGATAAGTAATGTTCATAAGAAGTTTATCAGCCTTAAATAAGCTAGCGGACCAGTACTAAGTACTAAGAAATAAGCTCCATTTAAAGCAAGCCAGAATGTGATGTATAGGACTAAGAAAAGCTTTAGCATTCCAAATGAGCTGTCTAAGAATGATCTAAAGATAGATCCTGATAAGCACAGTGGTGATAAAGCAGCCCTGGTGTTTAAACGAATTATTCAGGCCTGTAATCTTCACACTGCTTCAGGTCCCTACAACAAGCCTGGCTAAAACTTGGCATTGGACAATGCAAACTAAGTCACTGTGCATTTACTGCTTCACGTAGCACAGAATTTCCAGAAATAAAGAGATATTTTACTTTGAACATGACGCGCTTCCACGTCTGTGGCTCGGTGGTTTTATTTTACATTGTCCCGTAAAGTAAACACAGCATAGAGAAAAAGTATTGCAACATTTGGTGCAGGAAACATCAGACATACTTTGTAACACGCCCTTCTATGGGCTGTCTCCTTTTAACTCGCTAAGTTGTGACACGTTTACTATTACCTATTACACAAATCTTGAACAACACACTAGCTTGAACTACACTGAAACTTACTGGTTATTTGGCTGTCAAATGGACCCATTACATGGTAAAAAGTCACTGTGGTAGGAACATGCTGAGTTCAGGAGCAAAGGACTTGAGTGCTAGCCTGCTAAGACACCAAAGCTAGCTTGCCACGGCTACTGAATAAGTTCGTCGACAGGATTGAGAACCGTTAAACGTATTTTTTCGCCAAAAGAAATGGACGATTAGACAAAGCACTTGATTTTTTACCAGAAGGAAAGAAACTGTCTAGCATGCTAAGTTAGCATGAACAGAGTCAAATCGGACAGGCACCGATGATAAAGATCTTTTTCTTAAAGTCACAGGATAAAGGAGCACCAATATTTCAGTCATACAAGAGCTGAACCCATGAATGAGAATTTACCTGTCGTGTAACCCAGCCAGTGGCTGTCTTATCCCGGAACAGGTAGAATTGTCTTTTGCAGGGTAATTGGGCCAGTTCTGTAGGTCGTGTCTGAAACCCCGGGAGCAGCAGGTGACAGCGACTCTCCATCTGCGCCTGCGCATTGCTGTAACTCTGAGCTCATGATCGAGCTGAGTGATTTTTAGAAAGTATACAACACCTTTTTTGTGTTATGTTTCACAAATAACGAGTGATAGAAGTATCTCAGGTATGTCCGGCATACAATAAATTGTTAATAAAATGTTGCTAATTCAACGTCGCTAATACGACAGCACGTAAAGCGGAATGGTGGGTCGTTTTTACGACTCTAACGTGATGTCACTATCGTAACGTTTGGACAAGTCGATAAATAAAGGCTTGCCCAGCTCTGTTTAAGTACATTTACAAGGGCCTTCAGTGGCTCTCGATTTTCTTCCTATGTTACTTAAAATGACTGTAACATGTATTTACATTTATATAACCGAATGATATAGCACCTTGTAGGTTGACAGCTCTTTCAAAATGCCAGCTGAAAGTCAGATAGCTAAAGCTAGCTAGCTAACGTTGTATGCGGCTGCCATCATCATTATATGTACATAGTAGCTGCCTAACGCTGCACAGTTTGTTTCACGCCTGAGACTTGTAAGTTCAGTGCAGTCGCATGCGTTAAGTTACATTACAATCTGCGCTGCATGCGTGGTAATTTTGCCCCCCTTCCGAGTTTAAAGAAAAAATACATTTTGGAAATGTCGGCTCAAAAAGACTGTGAGTTTTTGGTGAAAAGAGCTCGGGAGTTGGTTTCTGATGATCCCTGTGCGGCAAAAGCCTGGCTCATAACTGCCAGAACCCTTTACCCTGCAGATTTCAACATCCAGGTAACAACTACCTGCTGAAAGGCAGTGAAATTCTTTCTATTCAGAATTATCTAAATGAAGAACTACAATGCTTCTGCTTCCTTTAAACGTGGCTCACATGTTTTTACAGTATGAAATGTACATCATTGAACGCAATGCAGAAAGGACAGCCTCGGCAGGGAGACTTCTGTATGACATGTGAGTAACAATATAATGTCAAGCGGTCATGTCAGACACCTGGAGATGAAAGTCTGATAATAATTGCATATAACATGCCCATTAGGTTCATAAACTTTCCAGACCAGCCCATTGTTTGGCGTGAGATCAGCGTCATCACAGGGGCCCTCCGCAGTGACTCTCAGGATAAAAATGCACAGTTTCTACGAGGTATGAGCAAACTGTGATCTGGCTTGCATCCGCCTGGGGAGCTCGATCATGAAGCAAGGCTTGTTTTCATTTTTTTGTTTTGGAAGTCTAAAAAAAGCCTTTTTCTTGTCCAGCACTTTTCGAGACCCTGCCTGGTCGGGTGCAGTGTGAGATGCTGCTTAAAGCCACAGAGCAGTGTTTCAACACTTTGGAAAAGGCAGAGATGTTGTTGCTCCTTCTGAAGCGATTCCCAGAGTCTGTGGTCCAACATGGGGTATGTAATAACACATACGTCTTGAGGTACGAATTCAGTGAAACTGTGACAAGTTACAATGGCCTGCATTTATAGGTCAATTTAGGAGAGACCCTGCTGGACGCAGAGGCAGCAGAGATTGTGGAAACTCCTGTCAACTGCTTCAGAAAGCTTTTTGGTCAGTGATTTTTTTTACGTTGAAATAAGTTTAATTAAAAGTACAACAAAAACATTTAAATCCAGTTTTGATATGTTTACTCTTACAGTGTGTGACGTCTTACCTTTGGTTATAAACAACATGGACATGCGCCTGCCAGCAAGCCTCATGCAGAAATATATATTGAAAGCAGCAGAATTTTACATTGGATATGTTACACGTGGACCCTCACCTGATTTACAAATACAAGGTATAGTTGCTCCTTGATTAAGTCCTTTATTCTTTTTTTAGTTTAACCAAGCGTAATTACTCTAAAAATCAACAATTTATTTTCGAGAGCTGCCTTAGATCATTTATGGCCCCTTTTGCTCTTTTAGGTTCCCAGGACAGTGGGACTCTGAAGTCGCCTGGTGTTTCCCGTGGCTCCCAGCGGAATTTGATTGATGGCCTGACAGAAAAGTCCTCAGTGGTGGCCGAACCTTGGGAGAAGCTTCTTGATATCCTCGCTGTAGTTGGAGCACGCTGCGAGTGGCAGGGGGACAAGGGACAGAGGTAGGCTTCCACCTTACCTGTCACATAGGTAATGTTTATTAACCAGGGTTAATTAACCTTCGGGGCACTTGTGAAAAGTAGTGAGTTGCTGGTTCATGGAGTACAGCAGCTGTTGCTGCGACCAGTGCAGCAGATGTGCTGTAGGTCTCTCTTATTGTCGCTGACGGGTAGAATAAAACGCTTAAAGGAGTGTGTTTGCTGGGCCTTTTCTGCAGGAGTTATGGGGACATGTTGCAGAGAGTGAAGGAGCTCTGTCGCTACCTGCCGGGTCTGGAGGGGGAAACCAGGTCTCGCTGCTGCAGTCAGGTGGTCATCTGCGCCGCGCTCGTCCTCTTCCGCAGTGCCTTCCTCTATGTCTCCGCTATACAACCGGCACTGTTCCAGGGTCAGCCTCCGTCCATGCCAGCACACAGTTAGCTCTTTGTTAAGTTTCTAGTCATGAACTAAAGCCTTTGGAACTGTTTTGTAGGACTCGGTGCGATGAATTCAGGACCGTGGATCCTGGTTGAAGATTTGAGCTCAGTGTACAGCGATGTGGATGTAGACAGGGGATCTGTGAAACATGCGCATAAGAAACGCAAACTGGCTGATGGGAGAGACAAGACAATGGTGAGGACGGTTCTAAAATTGATGTTTTGGCATGCAAAAGCCCAAAAAACTATGTCCCCACTGAGGTTTGGTGTCTTCTCCTTATATTTTCTTTGTAGAGCTCAGATGATGAAGAAGGTTTGGGGAAAGGCCGCGGACGACACATTTTAGTCAACAAGACTGAGATGCCCAGCTGGTCAGAGACTCTGGAGAGTTTCCGCACAGCCAGAGAAAGCTGGGACCTCCTTCACTCTCACGATGGTCTGGAATGTGGTGAGCAACGCTTTTTTTTTTTTAGAGGAGGACACAGTGATCACTGGAGCTGCAGATGGAATTCCAGCTCACAAAGAATTTTATTTCATTTGCTGTAAAGATGTTGGTGAAGAGGATTTAACCAACTGCACCTTTTGATGTTTTAGAGTTTAAGAAGATCTGTGCCGCGTGGAAGACTGACAGCTGGCTGTGGTTCCGAATATTCATTACTGACATGATCATCTACCAGGCAAGGGTTACTTTTACTGTTGATTGGATTGTAACTAAATATTGCTCAGGTTAAGCATGTTTTTTCTGTTTTGTATGTGAATATAGCTAGATAGATACATTTAACCTATATATTCTTTTTACAAACATGCCAGACGGATATATTTCTCCAAATGTATGGATTTATGACTGTACTGATTACTTTGGTGTTCAGGGCCAGTATCGGAAGGCCCTCTCCAGCCTGCATCAGATGGCATCGGTGCTGCAGCCTCAGCCTGGGCCGCACAGCCCCTCAGGTCAGACCAGCCTGGAGCACCACAGGGCTCTCATACAGCAGGCGTCATGTCATTACGCACTGGGAGAATACAGGGTACGGTTTATCAACTCACTTGTGTCTCTCATGTTTTTTGGGTTGGTGTCCTTTACCTCCTGTTTTTCCAAAGGGAATGCAGTAACACAATTTGGCCAGAGGGTGGTGGGGTAGAGCAGAAAAATAGGCCTTAGACGACAAAGGTTTGACATACACAAGCTGTTCCTCTTTCTGTTTTTTAAAACTGAAGTTAACAGCTATTTGTGTCTGATTTGTCAAAAGTATTTTATTTCTGAGCTGTACAGCTCTATGATACAAATTATAAATCTGGCTTCATTTCAATGTTTAACAGATGTTCAGCCTTCCTTAATATGGTTCTGACATAAAAATCAAACAAATGCATTTGATAAGAAGGAGTCCATTAATAAGTTACTCATGGAAGAAATATAACCTGTTTGCGTTTATGACGTTCTGTGTAACACCCTGGAGGCGCAAACATATAATGTATTTTATTGGGCCTATTTTTCAGATGGCCTGTGAGAAGCTGCTCGATGTTGTCAGTGGACTGGTTCCTCCAAACCCTGAACCAACAAAGCCCCCAGATGAGCAGGGTAGAATAAAGACCAAAACCAGGAAAGGTAAAAAAAAAAAAAGAACAGTTAAACCTGATTTGTATCCAAAATACCAACGCATAGATTAATTAATACATTAGTATTGTGTGGTAGGACCAATTTAGGATTGTGAAATCAGATAAACCCCAAGCTCAACGTTCAAGAGAAAGAAGTAACTGTTTAAACTACAAACAGCTATCCCATCCAATAGAATACATACACAGATGTCCTGATAATGCAACATCAGACATTTGATTATTTAAATGTGTAACTAAGTTCTGACTTTGTATTCCGTAGGTAATGACCTGCGATTGCTTCCCTGTACAAACAAAGCAGTTTTACCTTTCTGTCTCCAGCTGATGCTCGCTTGCTTTAAGGTAATTCTATACAGTGGATTGTTATTGGAGCCTTTTATACAGAACCCCTTCACCGTCTTACCATTTTTCTCTTTCAGCTCCGAGCCTTTGCGGACAATCGTGATGACCTATCCCTCGGTCATGTGGTGGTTCTTCTGCAGCACGATTGGCCGCAGGGGGAGATGCTGTTTTTAAAAGCAGTGGATAAAATCTGTCAGCAAGGCAGCTTCCAGTACGAGAATTTCTTCAATTACGTCACCAGTATCCTTTTCTGTCTTTACTCAGACAACCTCAGTACTCTCACAGCTATTAAGACACATGCAAGAACTGTTAATTGAACCGCAGCTTTCTTGTCCAGGATGTTTTTTTCCCATTAGCTGCTTTATCTCAGACATTGACATGCTGGAGGAGTTTGCGTACCTGCGTACTCCTGAGGGGGGGAGAATCCAGCTGGAGCTGCTGCCCAACCAAGGAATGCTGATTAAGTAAGCAAACCCCTTTCGGAGCTTTTTCTCCAGTTGGCATGGTGACTGCACTCTCCCGTTCTGTTGGTGTGTTTTTTTAAGAGAACAGTGCTGTTTACTGATGATCTGCATAGACGTGGCCTGTGGGGAAAATTTCACTCAGAACTGAATGAACTGTTAATGGAGCGGGCCTTTTAAAACAGAAGGGGTTTACAGTAAAAAGAAAACGGGTTCCTCGGATCGTTGCTGTAGCGTTAAGACACTTGAATGAAATCTCACTGACTGAGAGTTGTTGAATGTTACTGTCCCTCAGGAACGCTAGCCCCGCCCTGGGGGTGGAGTTAAATACCCTTCTGCTCCAAGGGGTGCAGACGATGGACAGGTACCCCAGGCCCCTCCTCCCACAGTCCCCATCCCGCCCCCACCAGTCACCCTTCCTTCATTCCCAGCTTCCAGGCTTGTCATCCCCCCAGTTTTAATTTGGGCGTGTCATTTTGCATCGAGTTGGTCGTTCTTTGATTTTCTGTCGGCGTTTGTTTATTTGAGCCATTACTCCTCTTTCTGTGGTCATCACTGTTGTTATATGAGGATGATTTCGGTGTTGTTGTACAGTCAGTTTTCTTGTTTGCCTCTTCATAACACTTGAACTCATTTCATTTGTTGACATGTTTTATATGGTCTTGATTTGTTACATATGTTGTTTAAAGTTGGTTGACTGATTTTATGTGTGTGCGGAAAATAAGAAACATGTTTTTCTATGATGTTGACTACTCATGGGTAGGTGATTTACATTCAAGCAGCTCATGAAACTACATTTTTCTGACCGTATTTATGTTGTGTTTATTTTTTTCTGTTTTCTTCTTGCAGACACCACACGGTAACTCGGGGAATCACCAAAGGAGTGAAGGAGGATTTTCGCCTGGCCATGGAGAGGCAGGTGTCGCGGTGTGGGGAAAACCTGCTCAGTGTGATGCACCGGTTCTGCATTAATGAGAAAATAATCATCATCCAGTCCCTTCCATGACACCTGGCCTGAGGCTCTGTTTTTTTGTCTTTTATCGGCACAGTTCTATTGACGTTTTGACTCCAAAAAGTGTGGCTGGGACACAAAAAAGTATTATCCTTGCCTTAAAAGTGGACCTCTCTTTCCCAAAACTTGGGAAAACACTGAACGTACTACACTGCAGTCCTGTTTTCTTTTTTTTACAATTGACTGTGTGCGTATAGCTTTAGTCCTAATTAGAACAATGTTGAAGGGTTTAACTGAGTGTTGTGTACCGCTACAAGAATTCATGGTGTGATGTGCATTCGCAGTCAAGTACTTTTTTGATACACTTTTGGTAAAATTTATTGTTTTTTCAGCAGTCTTGATCAAATGGTTAGTTTTTATTAATTTTTTTCCATTAAATATGTCCTGAATGTTTACATTGTTGACATGTTGCATTGTTTTATAACACGCAAGCATTTAAAAATATCTGCTCATATACAAAAAAGCAAATCAGGTTTATAGAAGCATTCAAGTGAAATTTGAATATATTGACTTCAGTATATACCGAGTAAATGGTTCCTTTATAAGTGTAACCCCCCCCCAAACAAAGTCACTCTGTAATATCTGTGACTGGTGCATGTGGCAGGTCAGCCTGCAGGGCAGCTCTGAGGTTAGCCCAAAAGAGCCTGTGCTTGGCTCTGTCCTGTGGCCATTCTAGGAAGGTGTGGCGGCTCATCATGGATTTGAGCTGGTAGTACTTGGATGGGATCAAATACTGCGGCAGAGGCTCGAGCAGCACCAGCACGATGCTGTCCGAGCCCAGAGGAATGTGCTGGTGGCCGGCGAAGTACAGCTCGTAATGGCACCATTCGCTCTTGACAAAATGAGCGGAAAGCACAAAGACAGAACGGCGGCTTTTCTCCACAGAGCTGATGATGTTATCAATGATCGTCTTTCCCGGCACAAAGCTTCTCTCATGATGGCAGATTCTCAGCCCTCCTGCAGGACCCTCGAGGTTGGGAAGGAGAGAATTCTTCACCCAGTCTGCATCGTGCTGGCTGTAAGAAACAAAAGCATGGAACTCCACACCCTGAAGATCTTCAGGTCGAAGCTGTTGCATTCTTGCACGATGTTTAGCTCTGGTCCACTGCCAGATCATGCCGATGTACCACAGAGCATCCAGTCGATGGCACAGACATATGACTGAGACGATCAGTACCACCGCTGGCAGCAGGATGGATGCTGCTAGAAGGCCGACATTGCAGGACACCTCTGGGATCCAGAATCTTCTCAGAGTGGTGTTTCTAAAAACCTCTGGGTAAGTGCAGTTGTATCCCAAAGGCCAACTTAACAGTTGAATGCTTGAGGAGCTTCTCCCATGTTCGGCTCTGGTTCCCAGTCTGATGAAGTCTCTTAACGCGCAGGTGCAAGTGAATGGGTTGTGACTGACATCCAGGATTTTCAGATTTGGGCAAGTCCCCAACTTGCTCACAGTAGGGGCATGGAGGGAGTTTGACTTGAGCAGAAGCCTGCTCAGGAGGGGGAAAGTCTCACAAACCGGTAGGTCCCGCAGTCTGTTGGAATTCAGGTTCAGAAAAGAAAGGCTTCTCAGTTTCAGGAGGGATGGTGGTACCACAGAAATCTGGTTGTTGTGGAGGTCCAGTGTTTCTACTTCTTTTGGGAGACATTTAAAAACTGTGTCTGTCAGTCCACCTGAGGACATATTCATAATGATGATGTTTGGTGGCCACGTGCACTCAGACCAACCGTCATAAACAAGGGAGTTGAGACTGAGATCCAGGTGCTGCAGAGACCTCATGTTTTTAACACGTTCACTCAGTACCTGGAGGTTCTTAAGATTGTTGCCCATGAGCAACAGCTTAGTCAAATTAACCAGAGTCTCGCATTCAACTGTTTCGCCATGGTCCACCCTGGAGAACATGGAATCAGACAGAGCACAGTTGGAGAAATCCAGCTCTATGAGAGGACTCTGTTGCTTTGGGCAGGTCATGTATATGATTTCAGTGTCTATGACTGCCATATGTTTGACTGGCAGGTTTATAAAGAAGTTATACATTGCCTCCTGAGAGAAGAAGAAAGAGTTCACCGCTGCCTTTCTAATCGTGAAGGACGTCATGTTGGATGTCTCAGTAACCTTGGTATCAACATATGGTGGATTTTGTATGACTATATCAAAAGCGCTCAGATGGGCAATAGAGGTGCGAAGTGCTGCATTAACACAATCAGTCAAATGCTTCCACTGAATTGTAATGTTGTTGAGAAAAAGGTTAGATGTGCGGAGATTCTTTTTCTCATGAAACCGCTCCTCCAACAGTTGGAGGCCTCCCACCAAATTCTTTATCTCCACTTCAATAAAGAATGACAGAGCGTCACCCAACAGGCCACCGAGCCCCGCTTGACTACCATCACTGACCACCTGAAGCCTGTGAGCGTGCACGTCGCTGAGGCTGCCCGCTTCATAGTTAAGTTCCTCCTCCACATAAAGGTTTAGGGCACGCAATTTTGCCGTGGCAATGTTTGTAAAGTCGCCCACACTGATGTTTTTTGCTCCAAGCGTTAAGGTCTCCAGTTTTTCCAGGAGACCGAACTCGCTGCCCAGCGTCATGTCAGGGAACCAGTTAAAGGCCAGGTTCAGCACCATAAGGTTCCCTGTGTGCTCCAGGTACTGCTGTCCTGAGAGGTTAAGGAGTCTGTTGTGTGACAGATCCAGATCCTCCAAAAGTGGCGTGTCAAGAAAAACCTCTGCATCGATCAGCTCCAAACCATTCCACGACACATCCAAGACCTTCAGAAGGGTAGTATTTTTAAAGTCTCCTCCGTGAATCTGATGTATGTGGTTGAATGAAAGGTTTACAGACATAGCCGTCTGTGGCAGGTCTGTTGGGACGGAGGACAAATTTCTGGATGAATAGTTTGCGATGATGTCAGGCGACGAAGCACACTTCTGTATTCCCACCAACATGGCCGCTGCCAACAGGACTGCAGCTGAGAGCTTCATTGTTTGCCTGGTAAAAGACAAGGAAATAGTACAACCTTTGCGCACTACAAGGTATAAAAAAAACATTGCGGAACCAGTGCAGTCTAAGATGGTGTTTCTGCAAATAAATCCTGACGCTATGGCAGTTGCAAGTGTTCAGTTCTGTTTAAAGAAGTTTTTATTCATATTTCAGGGGATCAGTGTGGGATGTTTTTCCTGCAACTTTATGCCAGTTAAATAGAGATGTAACAGTTAACCTGCCCTTGCTGAAATAATGTAATAAACAAAATACAGTAAGACTAATAGTACGATTAAAATGGTAATGGCCAAACACCTAACAGCCTGAATTTAAAAGGTTTAATGAGAGTTGTCAAAATAGTATTTGGAACTTGACTATTCATCTTTTATCTTTTATCAAAGGCTTATAAAGCCAGCAAGTATCCTCTCATCACTTCTTTGCAATATGTTGTGTGTGTGAATGTCACTCAATTTCTGTACTGATATTTTTTACAATAATTCTTTTTACATTGTTGCCTAATTTGAATGACTAAGATTGACCTAAAAGGATGTTCTAATAAAACCTTTAAGCTTTGAGGCGCATAAAAAGAAAGCACCATCGTGAATGTGACAAAAGACGGAGTGAAAGGAGCACTAACCTTTAGAGAGGACAGATGTGCTTTTTCAGCATATGCACTTCGGTTTCGATCCTCACTCCGCGTATGAAAATGCGTTGACTGCAAATGTCCAACATCGAAGGGGCGCTTAGAAGTTAGTCTCGGAGGTCATGTGAAAAGTTCCTACTGCCTGTAGCAAGCTCTGCCCCTCACTTTTTTAAAAAGCTGTCTCAGTAAATCAGAGGAAGGAGGAGAAAGAGAAATGAAAGCAGTTCCAAACAGTCTTATTTGTTCAACACACACATCCTCTTTTCACTTCCCTAAAACCACTGAACAGAGTTTATAGCTGATGGAGTAAAACTTGTCATTTTTGGTGAACAATGATTGTCTATTCAAGATAGATTAAAGATGATTATTCTTCTAATACAGTTGTTTCTTTTCAGTTGCTTTGAATGAATTATTGTTTCAATTAAAAACAAAAATCCCCCGTACATGTTATAACTTCACTGGCATGAATCAGACATCTGACACAGCTTTCTGTCTTTCATAGTTCTCTCCTGGAGTATCATCATGATGCCGTCAAGGTCAGTTTGGGTGGTGCACGGACATTTTCCAGCTCGGTTGACTTACCCCCCTGATGCCTCGAGGCTGAGCGTACCCTGGGTGACTTTTGTTTACTCTGGACTGCTCTGCAAAGCGCTTTAATGAATGCGAATGAGAACGGGGACGAGGTGTTTTGATGAGTTTGAATGTGTCAAAAACAAACATGTGTGCAGGCAGATGGACTGTGACACACACACACACACACATGTATGTCCATGCAGTGTTTTTAATCAGCCTCCTGCCTACGGACAGAGTGAAGCTAAATGTAATAAACCCATATAACCTGGTGTCCCTGTTCTCACCTGACATTGTTTGATCAAATCTAAAGAGAACACTGCAGATGTGCCCAGTACTCTCCGATCGTGAGGTTAAAAAAGAGAGAGAATAAGAAACAGCCCACAGTTGCATTTGTTTCAACTCCTCATACACAATGAATAAGATGAATGTGTTTATATGTTTTTGTAAAACTGGCATGCATTGACTCAACTGTAGTAAACAAACTGTCTGTGTTATGAGCAGTCAGCAGTGTGAAGCACTTCTTACACATGAAGATAGGATCAGAGTACAAGGTAATAATTGACATAAGAATGTTCTTTTACAGCAGCCACAATGTGTTTGTCGCCTTTGAGTGTGTGTGTCCATCATAAAAAGACTGGCTCGCTAATATCCTCTTGTTTTTGTTGTGACTACAAAATTTAACATTTTTTGTAAGTGATGTAATGAGAGTGTTATTTTGGAATGGCAGGTCAAGATAATTCACCGGATCTTTGCAAGAAAACTAGTAAATAAAGTCTGAGTCAGCCTTTGTATGTGTGAACATAAGTATTGTAGGGAGGGGCTGAGCGGGAGCAGAAGTACATGGAATGAGAGATAAGGACGACTGACCAGGCTGTCAGATGGATACTGCGTCACCTTCAGGCTTCAAATGTTCCTCTCTACAGGCTTTGGTTATATCTCTTCCTTCCTCTCAAAAGAAATGTATCTCTTGTCAATTAGAAGAGGATTTCATTTGATTACCAGAGCAGTTGACTGACACCTGTCCTACCCTTAAAGTGGATTTCTACAACAAGGCGATTCCCCTCAGTATGCTGTCCCATCATTCACCTCCAAAATGCCTCTCGGTCTTTTTCCTTTTGGTGGTGCTTCTTTGGAACAATGCAGCTTCTTCTCCTGGTGAAGGAAGGAGTATCTGGGAGCAGCCCAAGCTGAGCCCCATTATCAAAGATCAGTCTTTCCTTCATGACACTTTCCCTTCAGGATTTCTCTGGAGCTCAGGGACATCTGCTTTCCAAACAGAAGGCGCCTGGAACCAGGATGGGAAAGGTGCATCTATTTGGGACTACTTCACCCATTCCTCTCTCAATAGTAAATTGACCAGAGAAACAGCAGATGTGGCAAGTGACAGCTACAACTCCTGGAAAGAGGATGTTGAGGCACTGGAATACCTCGGCGTGAGATCATACTCGTTCTCTCTTTCCTGGCCCCGGATCTTCCCTGATGGCAATGCCACAGGTGAGCCTAACACAGCAGCTGTGGAGCATTACAGCCGCCTCATAGAAAGCCTACTGCAAAAGAAAATTGAGCCCATTGTCACTCTTTATCACTCCGACTTGCCACAAGGGCTCCAAGAGCAATATGGAGGCTGGAAAAATGACACATTAGTGGGACTTTTTGAGGAGTACGCTTCGTTTTGTTTCCGCACTTTTGGGAATCGTGTTAGGTACTGGCTCACAATACATAACCCATACCTGGTGGCTGTGCAGGGATACGGGACAGGTGAGCACGCTCCTGGGGAGAAACAGGGTCTCGGTGTCTCTCTTATAGTGGCTCACAACCTGATCCTGGTAAGTCTTATAGGGGAGATTAACATGTTATGTACAATTGTGCTCACTAACTGCATGTGAACTTTGATCTTCTGCAGTTTTATTAGTTTTTGGTAGACAATCAATGTTTATATGTTTGAAAACCCTTATCACAAAATGGCATAAACAAAGACTGTACCGGTTCCCTGTTAGGTTCAACGATCCCCTTTAATCCAATTTAAGTACTGCACTCAGTGGTGCAATCCTCACTACTCACCATATTTATATTGACGAGTTTGTGATAAGTGAACTCGACACTTTAAAAGAGTGTGTTCAAAGTCCACCACATCAGCACTTTTGAGCTGAAGGGACACTGTGTGTGTCAGGAAGTCATGGAGATACGCCTCATTAATTATCACTCATGTGTACGCAGTCAAGAGCAGATGGTATTCTTACAGCAAACATCTGCTTACAGCAGGTGCAATGTACAAATACTGATCCACCGCTGACAGAAGAACACTTCCATTATAGTACTCATTACAGTAATAGTGCCAAGTATTTAGTCCCATTTGAATTTTCCTGTTTATGCACGCGGTAGCATCCTCTCTCAACAGGATACTTTAGTGCAGATTTGTGTTAATTAAATCTAGCTCAATTAACAAACTTATAGAACTATGTAGACCCGGCATAGATGTACGCCTTGTCAGTAGTTAAAAATGTTGCAACTGACATCAACATATATTTTTTATCCAAATAGTCCGGTAGGACAAGAATCTCAAATGCTATGAAGTTTATATGTCATAATTATAATGATCCTAGTCTAACACTACAGGGTGCATAATATTAGTACCCATAAACCTTCATCTTATTGTTTACACACATTACAAAATGTGAAAATTAACAGACTCCAGTTAAACAGTTGTGTTTGCTGTCATTTTCAGGCACACAGCAAAGCATGGCAGGCCTACGACGCTAACTTTCGAGCATCTCAAAAGGGCCAAGTATCCATTGTTTTAGGTTCCCACTGGGTTGAGCCTCAGCGAGGCCAAGCTACGGCTGTCAACGTTGCACTTTGTCAGCAGTCGATGGAGGCAGTCCTTGGCTGGTTCGCCAGTCCCATCTTTGGTGAGGGAGACTATCCAGTCTCTCTAAAGATGAAGCATGGAGATCTGTTGCCTACGTTCACTCCTGAGGAGAAGCTCTGGGTGCGAAAAACGGCAGACTTTTTTGCTCTGTCATTTGGGCCAAACAATCTCCGCCTAAGCCGGAATCTGGTCCACTATGGCCAGACTGTAACTCCTGATCTGCGACGCCTCTTAAACTGGATAAAACTGGAGTATGGGAACCCTAATGTTCTGGTGGCTGAGGGAGGCTGGTTCTCTGAAGCCAGTGTGGGAAGGGAAGACACAGTGGTCATCTATTTAATGAAGAGTTTTATCAACCAGGTCTTGCAAGGTGAGCTATAAAGAGCTAAATATTACTAAAAAATGTCAAATCTTGTTAGAACAGACACATAAGTTAATCTCTCTCTCTGTTATTTCTGTTATAGCTGTTAAGCTTGATGGCGTGCAGGTGTTTGGTTACTCAGCCTGGTCATTAGTGGATGGTTTTGAGTGGAATTACGGCTACAGTATCAGACGAGGCCTTTTCTACATAGACTTCAACCAACCAAATAGAACCAGGATCCCCAAAACCAGCGCTCAGTACTACAAGCATGTTGTCTCTAACAATGGTTTCCCAAGAGTTGAAACATCTACACAGATCAAAGGCCAGTTTCCCTGCACTTTTCACTGGGGAATTGCAGACTCCACGTTACAGGTAAGAGGAGAAAGTTGACATGAGTTACTGAAGGAAACATTATCTAAATGAAGACTGTTGAACAGGTTCTCGTTTGTTCTTGCAGGTCCTCTTCTACCCTTTTTCACCTCAGTTTACTGACCCTCACCTGTACAGTTGGAACCTGACAGGAGATGGGTCATTGCATCCAGTACCAGGGGTGAAGCTCCAAACCAGACCAGCACAATGCACCGATTATTTGACTGTCTCCCGCCATCTTCGTCTCTTTGCGTCCACTGGAGCCTCTCATTACCGTTTCGCCCTGAACTGGTCTCTGATTTTACCCCAAGGAGACCTCTCTACTGTAAACGCTGAGGCTCTAAGGTAGCAGTGCACATTTTATACCTAAAACATAACTTGTGCTCTCTCTGTGTGTACATACAGTGCAACATTCTTTTCTGTTTTTTTCTCTAAGGTATTACCGCTGCGTCCTGACTGAACTTAAGAAACTGAACCTGGAGGCTGTGGTTATCATGTACTATCCGACACACAGATCTCCGAACTTGGGTTTGCCCGTGCCACTGCATTCTTCTGGGGGTTGGCTAAAATACAACACGGTGAAGGCGTTTCAAGACTATGCAACACTCTGCTACCAGGAGCTTGGTAGTTGGGTCCGATACTGGATCACCATTAATGAGCCAAACAGGCTTATAGATGTTTATTCCAGTGGGACAGAGAAGCATCAAGCAGCTCATAACCTCCTTCTAGCTCATGCCAAAGCCTGGAAGCTATATGAGAAAGAATATCACAGCCAGCAGCAAGCACTCATATCACTTGCACTGCATGCTGACTGGGCCACACCTGCCAACCCCTTCCTAGAATCACACACAGTGGCAGCAGAAAGATTCCTTCTGTTTGAAATTGCTCGCTTCTTAGACCCACTGCTGGGGAATAGATACGAGTCCAAGCAGACCAATGGCGACTATCCACGTGAAATGAAGGCCTACCTTGAGGAAAGAGCTCGAGCAATGGATCTTCCTGGAAGCCCTCTTCCTAGTTTTACTGAGGATGAGCGAGAGGAGCTGAGAGGGGCACTGGGTTTTATTTCCCTTAACCACTTTACTACACGTTTGGTTTCTCCTTATCCCCGCACACAGGCCAGTTTGCAGAAGAAAGCATCCCCTGATCATGACTGTTTGACACTCTCTGACCCCACCTGGCCCTCTTCTGGCCTGGGACAGGCGCTTGTTCCCGATGGCCTACGAAAGATGCTGACATGGGTCAGCCAGAGATATGGTAGAGCTCTGCCAGTCATTGTTACAGCCAGCGGAATTGATGATCAGGCTGCTGTTGACGATAAATTGAGACAGTACTACATCCGGAGTTACACGCAGGAGGCGCTCAAAGGTGAGGCACCCAGAATGCATTGTGTTAAGAGTTGTTTTAGTGCCTCATAGATAAAACAATGGTTTAAATGGCCTTATTGCTTTCTATAACTTCCGATTATAAAATCCAGGCGAATGCGAAGCCACAATAAAATCATAAAAGAGGAGAGAAAAAGCAGAAAAGAGTTGACCAGAGTTTATTCATTCTTTGCTCATCATAGTGAGGAATATTTTAATGATTGCTTTGACATGTAAACTTTTAATTCTCTGAAACATAGCAACTATCTTGCAAGCCAGGTATGTCTTTCTAGGGAACAGAATCTTTCATGATGGACATCACATTTTTAAGCTTTCATGCCTTTTTCTTTTCAGCTTATCATCTTGATGGAGTGAACTTGCAGGGCTTCTACATCTGGAAGCTTCAAGATCGACATATCCCACAATATGGCCTCTTCAGCTCAACCCAGCACCAATCGCAAGCCAAGGCCTCCGTTTCTGTCTACAGAGAGATTATTAATCACAGTGGTTTCCCTAACAATGATACATTGCAGCTGTGCAGGTCCAGAGAGATGCAGGAAAGTTGCTCAATGTGTGAATGGATGTTCAAGAACAAATCGATGTTGGTTTTTGGAGGCTGCCTCCTTGTATCCGCTGTTATGCTGGCTGCTTTAGTCATTTTTGTCGTCATTACCAAGAGGATACAAAAACAAGGCAGGAGGATACAGCGGAGCAGCATGAAGCGGAGGAGACAGAGGGAAAGAGCCCCCCTGTGTTTATGCCCTCATGCTGTCAAGTACTAACACATGGGAAGATTGACTCCTTAATTGGTAGGATAATTACTGACAGGGAAGAGCAACATCATACACTTGTGTGTCCTGTATTAATGTCTGTGTTTACTGTTGTGTCACGTGTGTATTCAGTTTTGACAAAAATCACTGTAAAGAAAATGTGTATCCATCCTTTTAAGTCTGATAATAGATATTTGTATGTGGTATTTCTATATTCAAATGGAAAAGAAAGTTGGCAGATTTCTGCTGAAGGTCCTTTTGTGTTGAGAAAAAAATGTGAGCTACATAATATAAACCTCATTCGTAATAAAGGCAATAGTAACTGTAGTTGATCATGTATCTTTAATATGATTTAAGTGACTATGTGTGACATAAATAATTTGAAGTGGTCTCACATTTACATGTTGATCTGCCTTTGCCTCCGCTGTTTTCCGATGAATGGGCAATAATGCCCTCTAGTGTCGCCATTTGCATCTGCAACCAAGCACAAAAACACGAGTGCGTCTCATCTTCCGAGTTGGAAGGATATCAAAAACGACCTTCTGCTCATGCGTCTGTCGCTATGAAGCATCACGACTACAGGACTGACTCCAGTTCTGCAGAGCATGGATGATAAATGGGTGGCCGATTCTTTATATATATATATCAGTAGGTATTGTTTCATTAAAGTCCTAACATCAAAACTTTCAGGTTTAATCCGACAATGTCTATAAACAGCATATAACACAATCATCTCTATCTTTGATTTAGGTGAAGTATAAGGGAGAGACAAATATAGGTATTTAGTGCCATCATGACCTGTAAAATGCTACGTAGTTTTATGTAATAGAAAGCATCTCAAAATGAAGATGATGTATAATTTGCACACAAATAGAAAACTCCTTACCAAAACAGTCATTTTCATTTTAAAAGTAACCTGGTACAATATACATGTTCCACTGCAACATATGAAACCCTCTATATTCTTGTGGCTCTTCTAAGATTAATTCCCTCAGCAATTCATAACGATTAGTAATAATACAAAATACAACAAAATAACAATAATAATAACACCAAATTAGTCGTCTGATTTGATCAGCCAATGAATGACAGCGTTTGGGATGCTTCGGATCACATGACCCCCTCTCCTCCAGACTGCATGCAGTTCAGTATTAAAATGTTTTCTGTACCCCCAACCATTGTGTTGCACATTTCACATGATTGGTAGATGTTGAGATATTTTAAGGGATTAAACTTCCCACTGCTAACGGGGACTACCGACAGAAGCGGTGACGAAGGTTATATCTGTTATATTTTTTGGAGTCTGTGTCTAAAGGAGTGAGGAGCTGCTGCAGGCAAACAAGCTAGCGTCAGCTAACAGGTCCGACAGCGACGAGGCCCCAACCGGACGGGAACACTGGGGAACCATGGCCAACATCGCAGTTCAGAGGATAAAACGGGAATTCAAGGAGGTGCTTAAAAGCGAAGAGGTTGGTTATAATTTTTGCCACTCTAAGTTGAGGTTGTAATTTATTCCCTTTCTGTTACTGAACGACAGTGACGCGTCGGTTACTCAGCTGTTAGCTTGTTACTCACTGAGCTGCTAGCTTTAGCTTACTGATATCTGTCATGGCAGCTAATAATGTGGCACTATGGAGAGATTAGATCTTGGAAAGTAAATGCGACTTCAACGCAGTATTTAATATTTTCTAAGTTGACTCGAAATCAAACTATCTTCGCAGTGGAACGGTAATGGGTAACTTACCATGGTTGCTACGCTAGTTATGGTATTCCTAGCAAAGATAGTTTGTTTTATTTATCCTCGTGTACATGTGAAGATGTACGTATCCCACGCAAGTCACTATGCGTTCACATTCACAATATAAGGCCAAATACACGTAGGAGGGTAAGTGTGCAACAAGTTCAAGTCAACTTTTCCAAATGTAGCCAGAGGTGTCAGTTTATGCTGTACAGGCAGATTTGTGTTTGGCAGCATGCTAGCCTCAACACTCCGCAGTCTGTATGCTGAAGTTGTGATTCCTCTTCACTGCTCACCCTTCCAGACAAGCAAAAACCAGATAAAGGTAGACCTGGTGGATGAGAACTTCACGGAACTAAAAGGGGAGATAGCAGGGCCACCGGACACGCCGTATGAAGGTGCGTAGCGCTTAAAGACACACTGCATGGTGGACAATTTTGTCTGTGGTTATGGTTTGTGACAGACTTCAGGGGTTCACCATCTACTTCGTTTGAATTGTCAGTAGTTTCTCATCATGTCAGCTGTATGTGTTCTGTTTATAATGTATTGAAATGTGTTCCAATTTATACAGGAGGTAGATATCAACTAGAAATTAAAATTCCTGAGACGTATCCATTCAATCCACCTAAGGTGAGGACACATGACTACTTTCAGTTTTTTGTTTTGGTGTGAATTTGCCCAACACATTTTCACTTGCAGTGCTAATCCACCGATGGCTTTTCTTTAAAAAACCTTAGGTGCGGTTTATCACAAAGATTTGGCATCCCAACATCAGCTCAGTCACGGGTGCTATATGTTTGGACATTCTTAAAGATCAGTGGTGAGTAAATGTGTACCAGCACTCCCTACACACCTCATACTTCTCGTTCATGAGACAGCATTACCTTGATTACAGACAATTAAGGCATTACCATGAAACATTTTGTTCATAATTGCAAGTGTAACTTGACCTGAATTGTTTGGTTTGAATATAGCGATACAAAATAAAATGGAAGTTATTGGTATGAAGGTGTGAAAAATACATTTGCAACATAAAGTTCAACATCGGTTTGAAGTGGTTCAGGGGTTGTGTTTTCTAGAACGTAAATATTCTTTTAAATGTGAACGAAAAATCTTTTAGTTTTGACTCTTTAGTTGTGGTTATGTACAGTCACGTTGTTTATTACACAGAAACCCTATGAATAACCCAGTGTAGCCACCTGTCCAGTCAGAGAGAAGGGTGTGCATTATTGGGCAGCCATTGTGTCAGCTTGGCTTTTATTGCATTGTCTCTATTGGCTGTAGTTTCTCATCATGTCAGCTTTAGAAATTTAGAGCCTTTGTGTATTTGCATTTTCATTATTTAGTTTTGCAGGACTTAGGCACAGCATTAGTTTTCCAAAATGTCAAAGCTGCTCAGTTTCCTCAGTTTCTTCATACAGCCCAGTAATCTCTGATTTGATGAAAAGATGTGAAAAAAAAGAAAAGATAGAAGGTTGGTGTTGGTATATTGTAAGGGTCAAGTCCTGTTAAAGTCTATATCAGCCTGAAGCAATTTGTATTACATGGTAAGTTAGTGAAACAAGGTGGTGAGAGGGAAGTTTTGTTTTTTGACAGCAGGGGTTGTGATTTAGGAAGGGAAATGGCAAAGTTTCCTGAGATAGTTACAGGAAAGGTAACATGAGGTGTTGGTTTGTGTGAGGGTGCAGAACAATACAGAAATCCAGACTGAATATTACAAAAACAGCTAAAGTTGAATTGTAGCTTTTAAGTTAAATGGGGATGGTTTTAATTTAATTGACTTTTTTAGACTTTTTAATTAGGATTATTGAAAAAACATTCAATGTAACAGGTAATTTTTCTCTGAAATCTTATTCAGAATGCTACGATTTTTAATGTACAGCTGAGTGAGAGTTGTGTTTTTTTGGGGGGGACATTTTCAGTTTGAATTTTAAAAATTTTTTTCTTAAAGATTATAAAGTAAATCACTCATATTGTTTGATCTTGAAACACTGTGCCCTGGGAATCCTGTCTAACATTGGCCCAAAAGCTCTTGTGGGCATTTGTTTGCATCAGGATGTAATGACTACAGAGCTCATAGTATGTGAGTCACGTCATTTTTATACTCGTGAACTCAGTCAGACCCCTCCTGGCTTTTGGGCAGTAGTTCCCTGATGTCACAGATTGCACTGGTCAGATTCCATGTTTCATAGCTCCAGTCTCACCATTGGCTTGTAGTGTCCTTTCCCTCCTAAGGGAACACGTGGATCGACCCCCCCACTCATCGTAGTGTTTGAGCATTTAGGCCTTCAGCATCCTCTGTGTGAATGCCACCCATGTGCACATGGCACTCGCCTGCTTGTTGACAATATGGGATGACTCATCCACCCTCATTCTGTTTCTCCACATATTTTCAGGTTACTGCTTATAGTTTTAGAACAAGTGAACTCTAAAATGTGCATCCATCTTTGAAATGAAGGGACCATGCACAATAGCCCTCTAATAGCCCCTATTATGTAATTATTCAGTGGTCATTGGCTGCACTATGATGATTTAGTTACCTGGGAAGGGGTTCAGCTCCTTTTAGTTCTTGCATCCATTCATGAGTGACATAACTAAATGTGATGTGTTGACTGCAATTTCCAACTTTACCCTCAGATGTCCTACACGTAGATAAAAATACAGACATGGATTTAGTGAGTCACTTTATTGAAATATCTGCTCATCAGTCACATTTTTTTGCTCCACGTGTGAACCATTTTCTAATGTCAGACATTTTATTCTTCCAAAGCCCCCCCCCCCACACTGTGTTTTTGTATGATATATGTGATTTTGATGGAAATGGCGTAATTGAACTGTGCTCCTCTTTTTTTAATTATGTGCATTTGGTTTTCTGTGTTCATTAAATTTGTCAACCATGGACATTTGTGGTTTCAGGGCAGCAGCTATGACACTGAGGACGGTCCTCTTGTCGTTACAAGCCTTACTGGCAGCTGCAGAGCCAGATGATCCACAGGACGCAGTGGTAGCCAATCAGGTCAGTGGGCATGATTTTACATTGAAACCATGAATGTCTGTACTTACTTTTGCTTGGTGCACCACTTGTGTTATTGAATAGCTTCAGTAAACATCCAAAGGCAAACCCTAATGCATCACACAGCTCTTTTTAAAACAAAGCCACGGTGCCTCAGGGCTGGCGCAACAGCAAGGTTTAAGCTGCTTCCATCCAAAACTGGTTTTATTTAAGAAAAAATGTCTCCACAGCAAGAGAGCCACCACAAAGATATTATTTCACTCTCCAACACCGCAGAGAGAAAGTTGAACTTTCTAAAAACAACAGAATAAAGAATTGGTTTTATTTTCTATGCAATGTGGTGTCTCGATTCTCCAGTCTAGTTTTTAGATAAACGGCAAGATGAATAAATATGAGTAAGAATGTGCTGTGTCAGCTTATGTTTTTTGTTAGAACTCAGTTTAGTGCTCTCTTCCTTTAATTAAGTAGAATCAGTTTTGAACTGATTGTAGAACTGTTTAAGATTTAGTCCATTTGGTGACACTGTCCAAAGTTAACTTTATCTTATGACAGAAAATCATCAGATAAACTGTAAATAAAGATTAAGTCACCGATGGCCAAATTCTGAAAACTCTTATTTATTGGTAATAAATGTTGTTACATCTCCAATTCTGAAATAACAACTTGTAAAATGTATCTTTAAAGGTGCTCATGTCCTGTTCATTAATGGTCATTAACGTGGGTTTATATGGAGGTCAGTCTCACCTGGACAGACACAGTTTGGGATGTGTCAGCAATATAAACAGTCAGAGAAGATGTAAAATTATTTATACTATCGCCATCATTAACAAATGAAGTTTGCACAGGTCAATCCGAAAACTGGGTTCCATTTTGGTCATGGTCATGCTGGTTTATTGTCGAAATGCATTTACAAAGGCAAAGGAACTGTTGCAGCTAAGTGCAGAGGTGATGGGAAAAATACGAGAAATATTAAAAGTGAGCGGTAGCTTTCCCTTTGCTTGCTTTTTTAAGATTGAAAATATTACTCCTCTCTGTGTTATTACTCCTGAAAGCGATCATTCGCCCTGTGTAAGTTACCAGTCATCAGCTCCACACGTTAATCAAACTTAAGAAACAAATTTGTAAACGTTTTGCTTGTATATCTTCTGTCAAAGTTCTACCTTTTGGATCGTATAACTAAAACCTTTAAAAGAATAAAATCTGAATTGGTATAAAGGTTTGGGGCTTTGATGGAAGAAGCTGCACAGAGCTCTGCACGTGTCTCATAAACTTGTGCTGCATCAAGTAGCTTGAAGTTATTTCACTGGACACATGTTGGCAGCTACCGTGGGAAGAGATGGAGCTGCAGCCAGTTCTTCTGGCTCTTGATTAATCAGTCCTCAGTCTGATAGGATGAAGTAGTACGAACCTGTGTAGATGAATCATAAGTGCACTAACTCAAATGAATATTATGCTAATTGTCATAAATATTTTTAGTTTTTGGAGCAAATGCTATGCCAGTGTGATCTCTCAAGTCCTGCTATATATTGAATCTGGGTCATGTTAGTACCACAAAATAAGGCCAAGCCAAATCTTCACAGCTTGTTTTGATATTAATGCAAATATTATACCTTGCAATTGCCTGCTGTGGTGCACTGAAGAGATTTGTCAGAAATCTAACACAGATTTTCCTGTTTGTTCAACATGCAGTACAAGCAGAATCCAGAGATGTTTAAACAGACAGCGAGACTCTGGTCTCACGTCTATGCAGGCGCTCCCGTCTCCAGTCCGGAGTACACACGCAAAATAGACAAACTCTGTGCCATGGGCTTCGAAAAAGTTAGTATCTGTAAACATTTCCTCTCCTGCTGCACGGTCCCTTTCTGTCATTTTGGCAGATTTGAATTGCATTGTGTGTTTGTTTCTTCTTTTCCCTGCAGAATGCAGTAATAGTGGCGTTGTCGTCAAAATCCTGGGACGTGGAGACAGCGACAGAGCTCCTGCTCAGTAACTGAGTTTCGCCACCCCCTTCATCTTCCTCTCGATAGTCATCTCTCTCTTCACAAAAACATCCTCTCTCCTCCAAACCCCCGCTGTCTGAAGGCATCTCTTCCTCCACCCCACCCTCTGTTTCCATTGGACACTCCATGTCTTCTCCATCCCCTCGGTGGGGCTTCTTCCCTCTGCATTCATCACCTCAGCTGTGCCACACTCCAATCAACCGCTGTGTGAGCTCTGACCTCAGTTTTTTTTTTTTAAGCCCATTCAACATTCCGCTCAGTGCTACAATCAGAAATCCACCCACCTCTCACCCCCTTTGAAACAAATGCCAGACTTAACAGCACCGCCCTCGTCTGTCAGTCTTATCTCCAGGCTTTTCTGGCTGTGTCCAAGAAGCAGCTGTCAGCGGCTTATCTTTGCCTATGCAGTGCATTTATTTTCTTTCGTGATGACCTTTTGTTGGAGAGAGTCAAGCCATCCAAGGGGGCATTTCTGGACCTGATGTGACATACTTATGGGCCTGTTTTCTAAACGGGAATCAAGCCAAGTCATAAACTTTTAAATTGGTGTCTTTAATAAACTTTTCTAGCTCTGTATTCAAACCCGCATCTTACGACCACACCCAAATTCATTCAGAGACCTCTTAACAGAAATTGGGTAAACTATAGTGAATGAATTGGCTTTCAAACACGTTGGGTGTGCCGCTGATAAGCCATCACCTCCCGCTAGCAAAGTGTTTCAGTGACGACATTGTGCTTTTTCCCTTTCTTTTTTTTAAAGAAAAAAAATCAAAGAAAAATCATTTTTATCTTACTCAAGCTTGAGTCAAACACATGAGGCATCACACTGTAGAGGTTGGCTTATTCTGTGTTCTGGGAACCAGGTAATTAAGGGTTTTAGAGATGTTCATACTGTAGCCATAGGTATAGTAATGCCTGGCTCCTCACCCCCCCCCCCCCCCCCCCCAGCAGTCAGCATAAGGCAGCTCCCGCAAGAGATCCCCACTTCCCATGTTCACCTGTTCCTTTTCTGCACCTGTCCTTCTCCTTCCACATTTTTAGAAAAAAATAAATATTTGCTCCGGCAGCCCACCAGGAGTACATTTTGATTATCGTTTTTAAACCAAGAGAAAAATTAAATGGGAAAGAAAATTCATTTTCAACATTTACACTCAACCTGCGGCGGGTCTGGAAGAAAAATGGTTCAAAACAAGTGAGGAATTGCATCATGATTACACCAACAGATAAATATGTCAATGATTCATCTGTAAATAAAATATTAAAGTCTGTGTAAATTAATCTGTATTGTCTTCTTTGCTTTATACACATTATTTTAATTTTCTGCAACCCAATCAACACACAGAAGCCAATTTGGGGTAACAATCTACTTTGTTAATTGCAGTCTTCGTTTAAAAAAGAGATCGGCTTGTTCTCGCGAGGTCGATAAATGAAGAGGCTGCTTATGTTTCCCTGTTGTGTTGCAACCAGCATTTGTCAACGAGCTTGTTGACCTATGCATACATTTGAATAAAACCAATATGGAGGATGAATGAAATAAACAGAAATGTACACTGTAGGGAATTTCAACACTGAGATGGAACAAGCCAATTTAGATGATAAATGTAAAAGGAAAACAGTTTTTTAATATCATAATCTTGCTTTGTGTAGTAGTGTTTCACTGCTGATAATGTTTACTTCCAGCAATCAACGTGTGAGTCCGCAAACAATGAAAAGATGCACACACAACTAGATGTTTAGAATTAGTCACGTGCTGTGCTTCACACTGAGAACATTTTCATCGTATTACTTAAAATGAGAGTCAACTGTTGTTCAGGAGAAAGTAAAGTATGCACAAATGGTGACTTTATCACAGGACTTAAGAAAACTGCCCTTACACTAAAATAATTCAACTGAAAAAAATTACATTTAACAAATAAGTTGAAACTGAAACATATTAGGACACAGAGGGAGCAACTGCCCTTGGTCCTCTTCATACCCTGAATATTTATTCATTTGAAAAAATGAATCTGAGTTTGAGTTCCCTGGTCTTGATATAAAACATTCAGTAGTTAACAAGCAGAGCACCGTTTAGATTTCCGGCTTTGGTGAGCTTTCAGGAGTTATTGAATTCTTTATGAAATATCTATTTTTAACAATCAAGTCATGGTAATGAAACCAATGACTTTTTAATAATTAAATTCAATTCTGTTTTATTCACACAGCACCTAATAACAAGTCATTCAAATCCATTTAATTGAAGTCTAACCATAAACCAATCTAACTGAATGATCTTACATTAATATAGGTTACATTTTTATACAAAGGTAGTAAAAAAAATGTTTTTCTTGCAGAAGAACAACAAATGAGCTGATCCTTTTTTGCTAAAACATATCCAAAGGAGCCCACAGTTGAGTGGTTGATAAATAGAGACGGATCTTGTGTTTGGCACAACCTGGTGGAGCCCAGCAGCAGTCCTCCTGACAGCATGTCTGACAGGTGAAAAACCCTGTGTTTGCTGAGCCGATGATTCACGGGCATCCTGTTTCCCCTCCGTCTGCTGCTGCCATGTGATAGCCGGAGTTTTATTCCCTGCCACCGTCAGCAGACTCTCTGCCTCCCCCGACGAGCAGCGAGAGCCATGAGGATGGCCAGTTGAGACGGGACCAACTGGGGTTGGGTGGGCATGATGTAGGTCTACAGGGAGGCAGACAGGACTGTGAGACGGCCAGTTGAGGTTAACCTTACCCCCTTTCCTGGAGACATCCAGACAACTTCAAGATGACACCAATATTTCTTTTAGTGTTTCTGCTTCCAGAAGGTGAGTCAATTCGTATTTTGGGACATGTGTTTTTTTTTAAAAACTTGGTTTGACATAGGAATAAAGAACCATTGAGTGTGGTTAATGATAATGTGTGTCTCAAGCCGCCTTGGCTCTGAAGCAATCTGCAGTCAGTAGATGTTAAATCTTGCATGTGCCTTTTAAGACGTATGGCTGAATTTCCCTGCTGGGTCAAATGTAAGTTAATTACATTGGCTGCTAATGAGCTGCAGATAAAAACAATTGTTTCAATGGCTCCTATTGAATTTACAGACAGAACTGACATGAATTATTAGCGTTTTCCTTATTTTAGTGGTTCCCTAACTAAATATAGAAAATAAGATACAATTTTTCATGAGCTATATAAAGTCACAAAAGGTGTAAATTAGAATCTTGAAAAATGAACACACCTTCCTCTGTTTCCCACTGGCAGTTGCTCGCTGTGCCCCGGGTCACTACGCCCAGAGCCTCCTGAATGACCTGATGGAGAACTACTCCAACGCCCTGCGGCCCGTGGAGGACACGGACAGAGCCCTAAATGTCACCTTACAAATCACCCTTTCTCAGATCAAAGACATGGTGGGTAAAAGTCCAAGACCCCCTTGGGAGTCCTGGGGGTTTAGGGGGTGGGATGTTTGTGAACTGATGCTCTCCTCAGCAGTTGTCCTTTTAAAGTGTTGTGACTGATGCCACATTAAAGCCTTCCAGCTATGGGATCTGATAGATTTAATTTGACTAAAGTTAGGCAAAAACAAGGAGTGGTAGTCTATAAGTAACACTGTCTAATTCTTTATACACAACATTTTTCAGAACAAATATCCAGCAATTTGAACGCTGATGTAAGAGAAATATTGGGATTAGTGTGATTCCAACAGTTACTGTAAAAACACACAATTTAAAACTAAAATGACACCTGATTGAGAATCAACTAAAATAACATTTATGAGTGAGTTTTCTTAATGAGGAACGAGATTTGCTCCTGATCTCTGGGAGGTTGGTCTAGGTTCCCTGAATATGGGTTTTGGAAATGGAACCTAGACTATCATCAACATATATAAAAACTGTGTCTTTCGTTGTGCGCTGTAAATTTTCTCATTGTCTTTTGCTGAAGCGGTCATGACTGACAGGGAGACGTTTAATAGTACAGAGCGGGCCTGCTGCTGTGGAGCTGGTTCAGGTTCCCGTTCAGGATCAGTGCTGCGTAACCTCTGAGTGAATTACTATTTGCATTATGAACGTGCGTTTGGAGAAACAAAAACCACTCTTCACCTGAATGTCAGTGTCATGCTATGATGTGTGTTGTTGTTGTCGCTTCATCTTGTTTGAGTGATCACGAATGAGAGCCAGACAACAAATGTGTGTGTGCCGCAGTCTCCTGTTACCTAAAGCGGTTATATCCACTTCGGTTATGGGCCCCTTGCTCACCCGATATTGACAGTCTGGCCTGGATTTCAGCTGATAATCGGAGGCGTTTGTGTCCAGGTGCCACTGATGAGCAACTGAAAATCAGCTTTTAAAAGACAACTCCTTATGTGCAAATTTATACACGCATGCAATATTTTTGACACACATGCGCTATATTTATCTGTAAAGTGTAAAGAATGAATTTCCTAAACATGCTTTCCTTTGGTAGGAATGCTATTTGGGTTTGGTGACTCATGAAAACTCAAAGCTTCTAACAAACTGGCTTTTTTAAAAGGTTTTCGTGACTACTTGGAAGGGACTCAGGAAGTGTTATTGGTTGTCTGACCTGAATATCAGTTTGATGTGTTATTCTTGCTGACAAATAGCAGAGAAACCTGGCTAAATGATTTGTTTAAAACATTTATTAGCTCATGTAAATGCTTTGCTCTTTGTCCAGTAAAGGTATGTAAATCAGGGGAAATAAAGAGACTGCTTTATAGCATCACAGTGAGCAGCTCGAACTTTTTTGCTTTCCTTCTGACTCGAATATCTTTGAAAGTATTTGTATAGATCTTTAACATGCTGTCGATCTTAAGTAGCTTAGGAATAACCCATAGTGTCAAGTTGAACCACAAATGTGCAGGAACTCAAAAGACAACACATATTTTTGCTTGCGGTGTGAGCAATGTAGTGGGTACATGTAATAAAAACAATCCTTGCGTTTGTATGAGCATGTTTGCGGGAGCTCCATTTTTTTTACTATTTAACGACTGTGACTGATTGTGTGCAGGACGAGAGGAACCAGGTGCTGATTGCGTACCTGTGGATCCGGCAGACGTGGCATGACGCATACCTGAGGTGGAATAAAGACGACTATGATGGACTGGACGTCATCCACATCCCCAGCAGTCTGGTGTGGAGGCCGGACCTCGTCCTCTATAACAAGTACGCCCGTACGTCGCCCAAGACATTTTCCTTTTCAGAGCTGTGCATTCAGTCAAGAACATTTGAATGCGGACAAACACCCTCCATGGCAAAAGTATTTAATCAAAATTCATATTCAGCTGCATTCAGAGGCAGTGCTGCACATTTACCGAATCCCATCATGCCAAAGTTAAACAATTTTACTATAGTTGAACAACAGTTTTACACATTTCTGTAGTCAAAACAGTCCAAACCTCTTCTCCTCCTCCAGAGCTGATGATGATTTCTCAGGGCCGATGGACACCAACGTGAGGCTGCGCTACAATGGAGAGATCACTTGGGATGCTCCCGCCATCACCAAGAGCTCCTGTGTTGTGGATGTGTCCTACTTTCCATTTGACAGTCAGGAATGTAACCTCACATTTGGTTCCTGGACCTACAACGGCAACCAGGTACAAATACACAGCTGTGGTCACACATCTGTATGGTGCTTTTTGGAGCTTAAGTGAATTGTAATGGAACATAAGCCTTTGCATCATCAACCCTTCCCAGGTGGACATCATAATGGGCATGGACAGCGGTGACCTGTCGGACTTTGTGGAAAACGTAGAGTGGGAATGTCACGGGATGCCCGCCACCAAGAATGTCATAATGTACGGCTGTTGCTCTGACCCGTATCCAGACATCACCTACACGGTGCTCCTGCAGCGCCGCTCCTCCTTCTACATCTTCAACCTCCTCCTGCCCTGCTTTCTCATCTCCTTCTTGGCTCCTCTGGGTTTCTACCTGCCTGCAGACTCCGGGGAGAAGGTCTCTCTCGGGGTGACGGTTCTCCTGGCTCTCACTGTGTTCCAGCTGATGGTGGCTGAGAGCATGCCGCCTTCAGAGAGTGTGCCCCTGATTGGTAAGAGGGGCTTTGTGTGGCGTAGCCTTAAAACCTAAGGCAATAAGAAAGTTCATCAGACTTATCCACCATCCTCTTCTGTTACACAGGAAAGTACTACATAGCGACGATGACCATGGTCACCGCCTCCACAGCTCTCACCATTTTCATCATGAACATTCACTTCTGTGGCGCAGAGGCCAAACCGGTTCCCCACTGGGCTAAAGTCCTCATCATTGACTACATGTCCAAGATTTTTTTCGTTTATGAAGTGGGGGAAAACTGCACCTCTGCTTCCTCTTCATCGACTCACTGCCTCCAGGATGATGGCCGCCACCAGCAGGTCAACGCCCGCGTTCATGTGAACGGGAAGCCCGCGAGCCACGGCGGCCGAGAAGACCGGCACAGTCACCAGTACCCCAGAACTCCGCCCTCCAAGCACCAGCAGCAACGCAAAGCGAAAGTCCAGCAGCACATCACCAGAGAGGAGGGTTGCCACCCCTCTGGTTTCGCACCTGGAAAGTATGAAGCCTCCAATGGAAAAATCCCCGTGAGCGACTGGTGCGCCGAGCACCAGAAAGTTCCATGTTACCCAGATGATCAGAAGCTTCCCTGCTATCTCGATGACAGAAAGCCTCTGCCTCCTGGCCCCACGGTCACTTTTGGCCCCTGTGTGTTCTGCAGCCACAGCAGCGGCCTTCCTCACGTGGACACCAAGCTGGTGCGCAACGTGGAGTACATCGCGAACTGTTTCCGAGAACAGAGGGCCACCTGTGCCAAGGGGGCAGAATGGAAAAAGATAGCAAAGGTGATGGACAGATTCTTCATGTGGATTTTCTTCATCATGGTTTTCCTCATGAGCATCCTCATCATCGGCAAGGCAAAGTGATGCTCCAGGCTTGTTTTACATTTGACTCCCTGAACAGTTTTGGAACAAATTCAAAAGGGCATCCCTTTTTGTAAATGTGTTTTTTCTTTATAGCATTCTTTATAAGTCATTAGATTTACCTTTGATAACAACTATTTGAATATATAGTAATTGGATTGACTGTTTCATAATTATACATGATGGCTATGTTCTTTTAAAAATATAAGGTATGATTAGATGGGTTGAAAACAGACGAAAATTGGCTAGACTGATTCCTCAGGCAATCAAAGAAATCCATTCAGATATGTCAACTTCAATTGTTCTGTTCTCTGTATTAGTAATTAACCATGATATTCAACAGCTCTATCATGAATAACTGCTGTTGTTTGTTGTCATGAATAACATACTGCCTGCACATCTATCAATCAGGGATTCGATGTGAGGGTAGTTAATCATCTGACTGCTGAATGCAGGCGAAGGCATCTGCTGTCAAGTTAAAATATGCCCACTGGAAACACCGCATGTGCTACTCACAACTTTGAAATCAGATGCCTGAGGCGCTGAGATGCACAGCATCAGTGTGCGCTGGATCCACAGAATCATTTTTCTGTTCAAATCATCCAGTGAATAGTTAATGAGCTAGCTTTGTTTGTTGCACAGCCAGCGCAGTAAGGTAATATGGAGCATCAATTATGTAGCACACTCTTACACCCCTCTCCTCCAAAACCCTGCTACCTTCAACTTTGAAAGTCAAGGGAATGTGTGTGTGTATGTGTGTGTGCGTTAAAGAAAATGAGGAGCCTAAGGACAAAAGAAACAAGTGAACAGTGAGAAGACAAAGATTACTCACAAACAAGAGGTGGAATTGATAATTTCATCGAGTTTCATATTTCATTAAAATTTTGTAGTGGTTTGTGGTTTTTGCACTCAACTAAAACTCTAAAACTTTGCTCCAACTCACATCTTAGATGTTGTACTTGTCACGTATTAAATTTATAAATGAAAATGAAGCAACATGAACCAGGTCTGAAATGCAGATTTTTTAAAAAGAGGAATAATTCATGGTGAGTATTGTTATTATGTGTAGTCAGTTGCATTTATTCACAGAAATATTACAGATGTGGATTTTAAAAAAATCTCAATTTTAATGGTGATGCACATCAAGTATTCATTAGAAATAGAGAAAAAGATTTCAGCTAATTCTGGCTCAACATGATCAGTTAATTTCCAATTAATTTTCAAGAACATGTTTTTCAGGATACTCCCTTGGCTTATTTGTCAATCTTTTTCAAATCAAATTTTCATTGCCACATGCTCATTGGCTCCTTGGCATGAGGGAATAATGTAACCAAAGCAATGGGGGCAAAAAGTCAAATAATGTAATATAATGAATTTTGCATAATAAATCACTACCACTAACAATGAGTGCAACTAAGTGGAAAATCCATATTTATATAAACGTTCATTAAATTTATATGCAGCTACCTCGTGTCAGATTTGTGCCCACAGTGCCTCGATCTTACAATAGAGGGTGCTCTTCTATCAGACACCAATAGGATGCCCAAAGGCTTACTGTTTGAAGCTGCATGCGGCACCTCAGGAGCACAAGATTAACATTTCAGAGTTATTTCCAGTCTTTTTATCCAACAAAATGATCTTCCTACTAAAGCTTATTGCTCAATACAGGTGGGGAATAACGGCACTTAGTGTATATACCTATACATCTTTACTTTATCCTATTGCCAGAAACATTAGAATTGACTTTACTATTCAACAGTGAGATACAAAAGCTATTTACGATAGTGAGTTTGTAAAAAATTGCTTTGGGAGTTAACAGCCTGCCTTCCTGTTGTACTGTTGACTTTCTCCACTGTGAGCTCTGCTCAGCAGAAGTCTGACAGAAACAGAGAGAAGCTGATTGTTTCTTATCCTCCTCTCCTGTGTGATTGCACTGCTAAAGTAGGAACGGTGTGAACACTGCAATATACAATGAAGTAGCTAAAACACTGAGGAATAGATTGCTGGGGAAATATCCAAGAGCTGGGGAAAACGTAGCTGGGCTGTATTGCTTTTTATTGCTCAGGTAAGCACCCAGAATGGCAGCATTACAGTGTACACGCTGACCGGGGTTTACTCGAATATGTGACCAACAGGTCTGTGCTCACTCAAATCCACACAATGTCGTTATTTCACCGGTAATCAAGCTGAGGACCGAAGCAAAAGCTCTCACATGGTCTGATGCAAATACCGAGGCACTTTACAGGAATATGGAAATTACACTGCTTGTAGTCCTTGACATTTCAAAGACTGCAGCATATTGATATGGCACATTTACAGCTAAAGCACACAGGCGTCTAACAGAGTTTATGGGTTTTAAAAGTCCTCATACTTATCTGAAATTATTGAGAACATGCTTTTCCTACAGGTTCCCTACAAAAAGCCTATGCTTTCTAAGTTCTTTCATACATATTTTAAGTTTTTTTTTTATTCTCATACCTGAGGGTGTTGTTTGCTTATGAGTAGGAATCGTGAGCCCTGAAGCGAGATGGAATTTTCTCATATTTGTTACGCCACACTCCAAACTGAAAGCTCAGTATGGGCAAGAGACTCTTTCCTCTCTCATCAGGCAGTGGAAGATAGAATGACCATTGGTACCATGACACAAAATCAGTTAACGCTGACATTATTAAGGCTCCTTCAAAAAGACGACCGGCAATTCATTTGATCAAATCTGTAACAGTAATTCTGATCATAGTGAGGGTTGTCCACTAATTACTTGATTGCTATTTGGAGCACTGACCCCTAACCAGTCCTTTGATACTCCTTGGGGTAGTCACTGAAACCCAAACTGCTCCCATGACAGACCTGCCTGTAATGTCAGCTGCACTGCCACTGATGTGTGTGTACGTGTGTTAATAGGAGGAATGAAAAACACCCTGAAGTAATTTTTTTGACAAATTACAATTAGAATTAGCTCCCAAGTGGATGGAATATCTATCCTTGTTTAAAAATTCCATTACCAAATTATTATAATTTCAACAAGAGGTAAAAATATTAAATTTCTACTCTTGTCTAGAGTTATTAACCAGATAAATGAACTAATAGCAAATATAAATGGTCCTTCTGGTGGTTCATTTTTTTTTTTTTACATATAATTCTTTTCAGGTCATTATGGTTGATTGTTAATGGCTGAGCCCATTTTGTCTACCTCTCAAAAGTTAAATCCAAAGCATTGCGTCAAATTAATAAAATGTATATAGTGTGGAACTGGTTCTCCAGCTGATTGCAATTTGCAATTTGAAGCACAAGTGCCACTTCAACCTGCCAACTGAAGCTGGGACAACAAGACATTTTCAGTCTTTGAGGTAACATCTAATCATTGTAGCACTTAAGGTTAACAGGATTGGAAATGGGTGTATCTTGCTGCTCCTTGAACATCAGTGTTTTCCACAACATGTAGTACTGGGGATGTGTGAAGTACCGTGCCATTTATTCCTCCAGTCTGATTCAGTTCCATGGAAAATCAGGATAGACAGCATGAGAATTTGGTAACAAGGAATGTGGACATTCACAGAAAAAAGGGGACTAAAGCATTTAGGAGAAAACAGGCTCACAGACAACAAGAAAACTGAAAACAAAAAGAGGGGAGGGATGCAGGGAGCACAGGACAGCAGAGCAGCTCAGGGTCCCCCTCCTTTGCACAGGGTCAAAATCTTTTGTATGCACTCCCATAAATTCGGACAGACCTCCCTTCACGGGTTCCAGCTTTAAATCGGCAGCAGCAACTGCCCGCTGGTGTTACCTTCAACTTTCCGCCACACTTAATGCTCTGTTTAGAAAACGATGAAAAAAAAAAACAGTTTCAGTCTCATTGTCTTCTTGGAGGACAGAGTACGTCCGGGTAAAATGAGATGAATTCTTTAGTCCGTGGAGAAGGGGACCTTGAAATGAGTACAGCGTTACCATGGTGATGGAAGCACGCAAATCCGGAGGGCTGCACGGAGTTGACGGGCATCTGGTGAGTTTTTGCTTTGGGGGGAAGTTCTGCGTCGTCTCTTCCAATTTAAACGGGTGTGTATGAATTCATATGAAAACATTAATATAGAGATTCAATGACTGAATGAGGGATTAAGATAAATACCAGCGGGACGTCCCTTCGCTTCTAACGGACACAGTTAAAACTCGGAGGACCAGAGGCGAACGTTAATGCCTTTAAACTCCTCTCACTGAAATATGGAAGAGTACAGACAGTAAGACACGTTTTCAATCCCAAAGACAACTAATGTCCACTTGGTTAAATCAGTGTGTCAGTTAACTTTCATAGGGAACTAGCTAATTAGTTTTGGACTGGGCAGTTTTTCTCACTGTCAAAATTCTTTTTAACGTCAAAGGCAAACTAGAATAGCGATGATTAATCAAAGTTTGCATTTCCACTGAATGTGTCTCCATTGTAATGATCTGACTTTTAAAAGGGACTTCTTTTATTTATTTCAAGAATATGACTTACTAAGCAGATGTCATTAATTTATTTATTTCAGGCCTCAGAGAGAAATCACATCTCCCTGAAAATGGGGAAGAGCAAAAAAAGTGGAGGGCGTCTCAGTTCCACATGCAGGACCAAAAAGGCGGGTGACCAGGCAGCCAGCAGCGAGGACCAGAGCCTGCATGAGGATCTGGCTGATGGTGACACAGAGGCTTCTCCTCCAGAGCTCAAGACCTCTGGCAAACGTCAGCTGGGCTTCCCTGACAGAGTTTACCTGCTGGCATCAGTTGTCTTCCAAAATCACCACGTGGAAAAGCCTGCTTCCCAGCGGGTGATACATTATGGAACACACAGAGGACTCGCGGTACCTGAACTCAAAGACAAGAAGTTGCGACACACAGCCTATGAGTTGGCCTTCAATACGCTCAAATGTAAGTATCTAAGCCAGTGTTTTTCAACCTTTTTTGAGCCAAGGTACATTTTTTCATAGAAAAAATCTCGAGGCACACCACCAACCAAAAATGTTAAACAAATCTGTAGCCGCCTATAATAACACTATAGTTATTCTTATTTTATTCTTATCTTATCTTAAGTGTCTTGAATAGGAATCAAATAAACACAAAAATGTATTTTTATCTTTTATATTTATTCTTTCAAATTGCTCTTAAAATGTCCACTTCAATATGCAAAATTATATACAAAATCTAGTCATAAGGAATTATTACATGATTACTCCACCAGTCACTAGAACAGCACACACACTCAAAAATGGAATATTATTTGCATAAAATTAATTCCTTATCAAAAGATATTTTTAGACCAATTAGGTGAAATAGGATGATTTTCTACGGCACACCTGACCATCACTAACGGCACACTAGTGTACCGAGGCACAGTGGTTGAAAAACACTGATCTAAGCAACCGGTAAAGCAGTTGGATGTGCCCGGGTTTTTTGGGGCTCCCTTCAGTGACAATTTTCCTTTTTTTTCAGGTTCTTTATCAGCCTCACATTTGGCACATATGAGCCATTGTAATAATAGAGGCTGGTGGCAAGCATGGTAGTTATGTTGCAATCTGACCCCTTATCTGAAATTATACTGTAGTTTAAAGTTTTAAATGTCTGTTTTTACATTCAGCAAAATTTAGAAAATATTACCCAAAGTAGACATGTTACTACAAGACTAATTTTGATTCCTTGTCTTCTTCTAACGTTTAGATGTCTTCTCAAACACAAAACTATGGCAGATATTTAGCAGTTTGTTGCAGATTGCTCATGTGTAAACTGCATTTTTAATTTGTATCTGTGCAACATGGAGCAATTAATCCATAATTTATTATGCACCAAGTACAAAAATAAGATGCTGTGCAATCTGCCCATGGATGCAGCACATAATACAATATTTTCACTCTTCTTTTTTAAACCATAAACGGTGTAAAAACATTAAGAAATCCCATAATTTCAAATAATTTCAAGTGATAATAAATTGCTGAAACGACAGCTTGATTTGATGTTGAGAGCTCGATGGAAGAGATGTGGAAGAAACACACACAAAAATCAAACCAAGAAAAAACTTGGATGGCCACTAGGAATTGACTGTTTGATGCTACAAATCAATTTTACCCATAATTTGTTTACTGTGACAAGGGTGGGGTCCGGGTGACCGAAGTCACAGGGGTGTGTAATGGCCATGTCGATGAGGGAGCGGACACGAGTGAACTGCCCGTACTGAACATGAGGGGATCGATTTGATATGTTCTCAGTGGATAGAGAGGTCAGGTGGCTGGAACATCTTTGTTGCCATGAGGGATTTTGCTCATAGTCACTATCAGTCCTCTGAACCTGGAGGACAGATAGTGACTATCAATCCAGGGTGTCAGATATTTCTTGGTTTCATTTTCATTTGTTTGATCAGCCATATTATGCTCCATAACTTAAATCTGAAAAGCGTCAGGGTTTTTTGGTCACGCTGGACATTGTATGTCAAAAATCCGCATTCAGTCCGCATTCCGTTTTGGCTCCTTTTTATTACAATTATAATGACTTCTGGGGAAGTCGATTTGCTGCTGACATATATGCACATTGGCAGTCACACCTCCTGCACATGCACGCACGTGACACATATGTGCTATTCGTGCCAGTGACTTGCAGTGAGTGATTGAAAATTGAGCTGGAGTCGAGAAAAAATGCCCCAGCAGCCGAAAAAAAAACATGCCGTGCAAAATTCCAATGAGCACCAATATTGATCGTGTGATTATAAGCCTTAATCTGCTCATGACAAAAAGTTGCCCTGTAAGCTCCTTATTTGGGTGGAGGACACAAAGTTGTCTGTTGGTGTTGTCAGTGATGATCTTGATCCTCATGATAGATTTGACATTTCCTAAAAAAGGCATAGCTGAGGGAATTTAAGTGACAGATAACAGCAGTCAAGCTTTTGGCCTTTTGCTCTGGCCCACTTTTTATTCTTTGACTTCCTTCTTAAAATGTTTCCTTGTTGAGTGATTAATTTCTTGATAGCTGACCCTGAAGCAGATTATGTCGTCACGGTTTAATCTCTTGATCTCTGGAACTGTGTATCTCATACTTTTAGGTACAGACTGACATTGAAATATGTAGATGTGTATATATACTTTTGAGCAAGTCTTTGCTGGTAGAAATTCACTTGACCTTGTCTCTAGCCATAAAAATCTCCCCTTTTTTTCTCTTCCTCTTTTTTATGCTTCCCTCTTTCTTTCCACTGGCTGCCCCTCGGAGTATTTCTGCCTCATTGTCCTTACAGTCCAACTGGGCTGCCAGATTGCTGAATAACCAAAGCTGCTGTGTATGTGTCCAAAAAGGGAGGTTCTTTGGATCACTTTTTTGTGATGCTGGACACAGACCGCCTATTTTGTCCTTGACCACAATCATATCAGGTTCAACTAGTCAGCCTCAGCAAACAGTAAATTGTGAGATAGCTTGACCATTTTAGTACAAAGGTGAATGTATAATTTACAGCATGGACCCATCTTAACTGGTCCCCTGTTAGATTAATGTGCAATTGGGTGTACTGATGCAGAACCCTGGGAGACAAAGTTCTGGATTCAGGTCGGCCTCTTGCACTAAGGATTTGTTTAACCACAGTCACCATCAGTCAAATGCTCATTGTTCAGCTCTTGGATGGAAGCCACAAAACACACAAACTCATCATGAACCCAGCGATGAATGGTACTCCCCTTTACACTGGAGGACACTTTCTTTTTTTCTTTTGGTAAAGATTCATTTCAAGTGACTGTTGCTCATCTCAGTCAGGAAATTCTGCATCATCCCTCAGGCAAAATCCAGCACTGTGCCCGCTGTGTAAAGACGCCTCTTGTAAGTGATTTATAGCTGAACGTTGTCTGTTTTTCCCTAAAATTGCTGTGTGTGATTTATAGCATGTGGGTGACTGTGACCTCTGCAGACCCAACTGTCATGGCCACCACTGAGGTCTGGATTGGTAGGTTGGCACTGTGCAATGCATGCTTATCTGCTAATGGTTTATCTTTAAGACCTTCTGCAAAAATGGCTACAATTGAAAACTATTAAAAGCTGTAAACACCACTGCTGACGTTGTGTGCCTGTGTTTCCTCAATTAAAGATAAGCTCTATCACAAGGAAACACGCATCTGCGTACACTGCTATGTAAGTGTGTGTGGATATGCATGTGTGTGCGTGCAGTTATGTCTCTCCCTGTGTGCATTTGGCTTGGACTACAAGAGCAGTTTGGCATGATTTGCTGTGATAAGCTAACAGCAGTGTCTGTGGTTTCTATGGTGTCTCAGTGCATGGGGTTCATCTGTGAAGTAACGTCCTATAGAAGGCAGCCACACATGTAAACACAATGCTCAGTGCACAATTTGATATGGAAGCAGCCTTTTGAACAATTACGGAAGCACATGAATCTCATTCCCATCTTCGATTTGCTCTTCCACACTCAGAATCTCATTGGACGCACATTTACATTTGAGAAATTGGACTTTTTTCAGTTTACTGTCTATAAAAGCAACTACTCCACCCACAGAGTTACTTTGTTGGCAGCTGGTCTTTAATCCCAACATGTAAGCAGGGATAGTGTCGCCATCAACTGAATCTCACATTTGGATTCATGGATGCATGTCTGTGTATCAACATGTGGATGGTTTGTCCTTTCTAGTCTTAAAACAAAAGTTTAGTTGAGGCTCAATCATACATTTAGCCTCAGCTATATATCAATGTACATTATTTTGGGGGCATTTAGACAAATGTTGTGGAGCAGGAAATGAATAATTGATTAAATCTATCTGTGTAATAACAGTGTGAAATGAGATCGTTTAAAGAAGCACATGAACACATTCTCATCTGATGTGGAAAACATGCATGTCTGTTATATTACAATGTGTCTTCTTTATTGCATCTAATGCTATTGACATCCTTAGTCCTCCAATTTCACACAGCCATCCATCACAGAGAAAATAAATGAAAGAAAAAAAAGGCAAATGAAAAATCTGATTAGCTCTAATTGAACACCAAGTAAGCATTTAATCATGGGAAATTAAACCCCTGATCTAACCGAATGATCTTTTCAAAATTAAATCTCTATCATTTACCAAGCCTCTAGGAGCCTCTTAATTTATTTTTACTCTTTTTTCTGTAGTTGTGTTCTCATTATTATCCAACGTTAGGTCTGTCCTTCGCAGCACATATTTTACCAGCTAATGGATTGGAGTAATTTCGTGTTTATTTTTCTCCTGCCACAAATGAAAGGGTGTAGATTGTTGTGGTGGAATAATTTGATGTTGAAAAAAGAATGCAGTAATGTGCAACATTATTAGTCTTTCTCTCACAATTAGAAGTAGTTACTGAACCCTCCCATCATTTCGTCCTTCTACTAATCCTGCAATTTTTAAATTTCATATCCACACAGATCAAGAAGTGCTGGAGGACATCATGATCGACAGCTGCTTTTATCGTGCTCATCCAATAGTAAGTGAACTCCACAGGTGCTTTTAATACAGCAGAAGTAAACAAATTTAATTACTTGGAATGAGTCAAAATTTGGCAACAGAGGGATAGTTTCAGCAAAATGCCCCTCAGAGATACCTTGCTGTCCTTTAGTATGGTGGAGCTTACTGTGTTCATCAAGGTTTGAACCTTCATACTTCACATGCTCTTTGTTCAGTTCTCTTTGATTAGCAGTGGTAATATCGATGGATAACGCTCATATGCTCCTTTCAACTCCCCAAACACCTTGTTTCATTTGTATTCCCCACCCTAATCAATGATAATCGCCCCCTTTGGAGTAACACATAAAAAAGCTACTGTGTGGCTGGATACATCTGCCAGCGTCTTTCTTCGCAAAGTGTTTTCTCCGCCAGAACACCCCATTAATTAGCAATGGAATAAGAATTCTGTAACAACCTTGGGCCAGTGTTTGTTTGTGGCATTTAATTATGTACCCTAGGTCTGTCCTGCACCAGGTGTGTACCATGTTATTACTGTGCCCTGCTGTCATGAAATAGAGATTCCCAACAGAGCCGTGAGGCTGTAGCCGTTAGTAATGAGAGGAACACCCTGCTACTTAAATGAGGAGGTATTCTCTGCGGGTAGATTGGCATGTACTTTTGCCCTACTTTTATCACTCCTTATAAAAGAATCTGTGGAGAGAGGGTGGGGCTTATGGAGATGTTTCTCCAACATTCTTGCTGATGCTACAACACTCACAGAATACAGAGCAAAGGCATGCCTGTGAGCTGGTGGAGAAGAAAAGGCATGGAAACAGGAGGCAGTGAATAGAAAACAGAGCTGTCATTGTGTGCACAGATTGTAGACAACCGGCATCTACTTCAGTCATGTTCTAAACGCATACAGACACATATATATTCACAGATATGTGTTTGCTGTGCAGTTCCTGTCCTACACATAAATGCAGTCTTACGTTGTAGCCTTGTGAAATATTGCCGTGGGTGAAATGAATAGCCCTCCCCATGTGTTAGTGGCAGGTCGTTTCTCTGCATCCCTCTTGCTAGACAATAAAGCCTGGACACAATGAGACAGTCTTTAGGACTCTCTCTCACTCTCTTTTACACCGCTGGCATCTATAAAGTTCAACCTTGATAGAGAGGAGAGAGAGGTGACTGAAAGAGAATAGGCCAGCTGTAAAAAGGAGGCACATGAGGGTATTGGAAAAAAGTAAAATGAAAAGAATAAGCTATAGATAGACTATGAGCCTGAAGCGTATTTGATCACAATGGAAAGAGAAAATGAAGCCAAAATCCCACAGGAAGTAGCCTGAGAGATGATGTAAAATCCGGAAAGGCACCAAATCAGGTACGAGGCACATTAGTCTGATATAGGTCCAGTCCCCGTGTAAAATTTCTCTGTTAATATTTGTGCAAAGCAAATTCCTGCTGCCAGCCTCTGTTACTGATTAGAAATAATTAAACAAACTTCACAATGATTGGCTGCATAAAATGTGGGATGGATATCAGAACTTAAAAAAATGGAGGTAACGAGGTATGAGTAAAAAGTATGTATAAATGAAAACAGATGCGAGCAGGGTAAAAGAAGATAAATTAGCAAGTAATTAGATTTGCCTAAAACGGATTTGATAAAAACAGGTGTGAAATATTCATAGGCCCATATATCAATATTAAGGCAGTGTTAAATATATTGTTTGTAATTTGCATGATTAAATATGCTCACCATAAACAATAAACGTGTTTTTGAAGCTGTAAATAAAAGATTCACAACTCAGTAGATTATCTGAGCAGCACAGCTCACTTTATGATGGTGAGCTTATTAAATCAGCAAAACAAATTATGTCATCTATTACTTGTGCATTTTTAAATTCATTTTATTTTTATTGGACACTTCATGCTTTATGAACACTTTCATTAAATTGTAAATTTTAAATGAAACATTTAACTCTGGGTACATGAGGAACTGTTGTTTTTGTCAAATAATGGATTTTGTAATCAAACAAACTTTATAATGATTCAGTCAATAGATAACTTGCCCTGTTTCTTTTTCTATTCTCCATGTCTATCATTCCATTTTGTTAGCAAAAAATACATTTTATAGCTTCAATTTATTTTTACATGCACCTTAAAACACACCCCAACTGTGCATTGTAATGTACATGATATATAATTAATTTTGACCTATTTAACAGTCAAGTCCTGCTTTTTAAAACCAGAAAGTCCGCTGAAATCCAGGCCTCCAAGACAGTTTCTCATGTAAAACAGTAGGATCAGAGTTGTGTAAACCATGCTGGGACATTTATTAGAGCCAGTTTGGCCCTGTGGGACACTGTTGCCATGCAGCGCTGAGATTGGGAATATTCCCACAGTCAACGGTTCAACCTTGGTGAAGGGCAAGTGGAACTTGTGGTAGTGAGGGGGGGTGAGAGGGGAGAAGCAAAGCGGCACAACCTGCCTAAGTAACCGACCTTTCCAAAATTGAAATTTGAAGCCTGTGGAATGAATACCAAGTGCTTGCTAATTCCTCGGCTGCAGCATAAACCCTTGTAGAATTTAGGCCTCTGTGCCCATTAGGCCAGTAGTGAGGATGTGGCAAGCTGTTTCTGCCATGGAACACCATCTGCCGCAAATGTGGTTGTTGCCCTCCCACCCTCAGGGAAAGACAGGTAGGGAACGGGAGAGGTGTGATGATGTGGGGGCAGGAAAAAGCGGAGGAAGTTTAAGAGGGATAATTGTGTAGGAGTGGTAGAGCCATATCTCATCCCTCCTCGTAGGTTTAATTAAATGGCAGAAGTGGGGTCATGGCAGGATATCCTCAAACTACTATGCAGGTCAGTTTCTTGGTAGATACAATTTAGCCTCCAAGTCAGTGCAGATGGGTGGAACAACAGAAAACAGTACCCCATATTAGAGGTAAGATAGCGCTCTCTTAAGATCATCAAATGTTTTGTGTTAAGTGGACTTTTAAAGGAATAACAATTTTATTGATAAAAGGTTGCTCCTCAGTATTAATGTGTCTAGTAGGCATACAGCCTTTATCCTAACTACTGCTTTTCTCCCACTAAGATTAATTTGTTTCCTGTTCACTTTATGTTTTGATCTCTTGTTTTAGCCACAAGATCAAATGAGCCTTGTTGCCGTCCTCCTCTTTGACTTCCAGGACAGGAAGTTCCTTCTGCGTCAACGTCACAAAGAGGAGGAGATCATACAGGAAGTTAGAGATATGGAGAATTTTCTCCTCAGGTAGAACAAAAACACAAATGAGGTTGAAAAGACAAAGAAGGACCCACTCGTGTTATAGAAAGATTATGAGATCCGGAATTTGAAAGACCTGGTAAAAATAATACTTTTATTTTTTTTGCTTAGGTCCAAAATCAAGCTGGCAGCCTCACTGGCCCGCTACAGGATCAAGAATGATTTCTTAACAATAGAGGCATTCCTGCCAGAGAGTGTTAAGAAGAAGCAAGAGAGATCAGCCAGCCTTCCTCTTTATGCATGGGTCAACACACTGAAGAACAGGTCAGCTGAGCATACACAAAAATAAATAACACAGAGCGTTTCTTAAACACCCTCATATGAATATGTAAGTAAGTACAGAACTATAGGGGTTTTCAATTAATACTTACTCAGCAGTATGTGGCTCTGACCACCTCACCAGGACTCGGTTTAGATGGTTTTCCACTGCAAATGAGGTCCTGACAGAAAGAAGACTCAAAAACAAAACAATGAGGACATCCCAGCAGAAAATATACCTGTTGAACTTCTGTGTTGGTTCATGTATTAGGCATTTAGAACGCTGATGATCACAGACAAGATAAAAAGCCAGCAGACTCGGGCGAAGTCGTGCTGAGCAGGTTCTGAACTTCCCCTCATTTAAACACACTGCTTTAACTTAGGGTGTCTGATGTTTTATGGACAAGGTGCCCAGCTGACAAGCAATTAAATAATATACCATCGGGATGTGTATGGGCGTGTGTGTGTGGGTGTGTGTTGTGCCTGGGAGTGTGTGTTAGTGTGTGTTACTGCACGCGCCCCGACAGGCTGATTCAGTTAGGTGTAAATCCTGCTGCTGTGGACAGATTCAATCAGCAACACCTATCATCCAGCTCCGGGACTGTAAAGGTCACCTTTTTGGGATAAATGGTGTGTGCTGTGTGTGTATATTAATGGATCTTACCAAACATATTACAATTTAAGTCTTTTAAGAGGCCATTTAGAAATTACACACACTTATTGTTATCTGTGATGACAGCCCACCTTATACTCCTGCCGCTAACCTTGTTCAGTTGAGTCTCCTCTTAGGCTTCCACTAATCTTCTCCTCTCGCTCGTTCTCTCCTTTGCTCCCAGTCTTGATGAGGTCCACAGTGTCCTGAGGAATGAGGGCTTTTCGCAGGTGAAATCGATCGAGCAGTTGGAGGATCAGACTTTCTGCCAGGATCCCCACTGTGTGGATACACTGGTGTTCCCAGCTCAGATGAAAGCTCTGCTCTGTTCCACCAAGCTTCTTAGTGACCACAAACTCATCATCCAGGTACAAGCTGCACACAGAGAGGAGATTTCTGATAAGAGCAGTTTCCTCTCTGCAGACATTAAAGTAGCTTTGGAAATCTGCTCAGCACCATCAATCTGTGATGTGTATGATTTGAGCAGAGTGATGTGCTTGCACTTATTGATTGTAAGACTTAGTACTCTTACACCAGTTGAGATAAGTTTGACAAGATACAAATATTTCATATAACCTCTTCTCATATAGCTGCACTTTACTTTAGGACCCATGAAAAATGATCCCTTTGGGCAGTAGTCAACAGCAAGGACCATTTTATTATTAAACTTGTGCTCCATAAAAGTCCAGCCACCTTACAAACTGTCATCAGCACAGACTATCACAACATTATCATAAATCTGATGTTGTGGCGACATTCGCTCAAATATTCACCACTGCTGAACTAATCTATTTTTTTTTCTGGCTCTTCACACATTTTTTATCTGCAACTTTGAAATTGCTTTGTTTTTCTTTTCTTTTCGTCATCGTCATTGTTTAGTTTGCTTTTTCTTCAATTGTTAATCTGTATTTTCAAAAAAGAATAATTCCATGAAAACTAATACACTGTGTCTGTAGGATAAGTCATGCAGCCTGGGCCCGAACGCAGCATGCTCGCTGTTGACAGAGGAAGGAGATGTTCTCATGGTGGGCAGCTTTTCTGGACTCACTGTCTCCCACATGGCCTCCCTTATTGCAGAGAAATATAAGACCAACAACAAAAACCAGCCATCAGTGTATGTTTGCGTCGGCGACTACACAGATGCTCAGAGAGAGGAGCTACAGCGTACTGTTGCCACCCTTGGATGCAAAAGTAAGCTCAAAATGAAAGTCACCAAGAACAGATGGCAGAAAGAATGAAGAGGAAGCGGAAGAAACACTGATTTTTGCATTTCTAATTACACCATTTTTTGAGTTTGGTTTATTTTTAACAGTAAAAAGATGGCAGTTAAAAAAAAGAAAGAAAAAACTGAAAAATTGCCAGGGACTCTTGCGTGTTTATCAAATCAATATGTTTTAAACTAGGTATTTCAGGGACAGAGATGCAATTTTTCAAGTGGTAAAAGCTACCCCAAGGCAAAGATTTCTCCACACAGAAATATTGAAGAATATTGTGAACAGAATGAAAGCCCAGAAAAAAGTGTCACTGATCATTTTGGCTATCCTTTCATGGTATGTGTATGCTGCCTAGATGTGAAGCAGATACAGGAGGTCTTCCAGACTTTGGACAGTGGAGATAAGCGGCTTCAAAAGGTGCGAGTTATCCTGTTGATCCCCAGGTGTTCTGTGTCTGCAGTCAGCGACCCCGTGGAGTTCATACTGCAAGAAAATGGAGGTAGCGACTGGTGCGCATCAGAAAAGATTTAAAAGATAGACATTAGACACATATTACACGCTGCAGGTTGGAGTATAAAATTCAGGATTTTGTACAAACATACTGCCCGACAAAGATAGCTTTTCTAAATCATTTTTTTTGTCTATATTCTTCTACATTTTCATGACAAAAGAAGATTATTGCTTGAGTTAATGATGTCCATTTCTGTTCAAGCCAATCTCTATTGTTTACAGGCCCTTTCGAAGAGAACAGTTACCTAAACCGATTCTTTGCTCTGCTGAATCCTTTCCTTTTTCTCAGACACAGGTCTGCTGCAGGACTTATCCCGTGGCTCCACAGCCCAGAGCAAACTGGAGTCTCTGGTTATACAGCAGAAGAAAGATATTGATCATGCCTTGAAGTGTGAGTGTACAACTGCATTCTCTAATGTGGACATGCTCATGCACACTCAAACAAGTGCACCACATGATCTGTCTTGAGTGTGTAGCCCCTCTAGGTCTGACACGATGAGGCTTACTCTTCTAATTATCTAATCTCATATGCCATCAGACTGAAGCCTGTGGTGCTCCTTGGAGATTGTCTGAGTTTTAATTAGGACTGCTAATGTTGCTGTGTGCTGGTCAGCGTCTGTCTACTGCTCCATTCCTTTCACGTTTTAGACGAGTGGTTGGCATTTGAGCCTCATGCTCGGCCCTCTCTGTGAAAGTAAACATCAGACGAAACTCTTCTATTTTGTTTGATGCAGATGCTACAGGCCTACAGTCAGACACCTTTTTCTCTCTCCTGTTGGGTATATTGTTTTTTTAATCTTCTTGTCTGGTTAGTGTTAATCAGTATCCATGCTCATTAGCTTCAGTCCATCTTTCCCCTCTGTCTGTCAGGCCTGGATTTTGTTCATCAAGCAGGTAAAGTCTGAGACTGTGAAAATGTAAACCGATTCTTTTCATCACACACCATTGATCAACCCTTGTCTTTTTTGTAGGTGTAGATACCCTCTAATGGGACTGGTAATTAATGGGAGGTTTGTATTGAGTTCTGTGACTCAATTGAGTCGATGGTATCATTTCAGTGTCTTCATTCAGACACACATTTAAAGAAATTAAAGACACACACAGACACCATTCCAGAGCCTTTTAAAAACAGTAATCAACCAACACACCCACTTTAGATATACCACACGCCTTACATCTGTCACATCCTTTTTTCAGTCTCCTTTGTGTTCAAATTACACTTTACCGTTGTTTGGAACTGATCTACCAACCACATCTAACCATATTTGATTTATTATCAGCTGAGTCTTAATCGTTTCTGTCTAGCTGTAATAAGTGGGCAAGAAAAAAAAATCCAACTTCCTGTCTGCCAGCAGCCTTGCAAATCTACAATGCAGCAGTAGTTCAGTAAAGTAAACAATTACCATGCATAAAAACTCTGGAGAAATTCATCTTCAGGAGTCGGTTTCTTTGAGGAGTTGCTAAATGAGGCAACTAGCAGGGGCTGAATAATTAAATTGAACAGTTATAATATAAGATGAAAAATCTCCATTGACGGATGTGTGTTTTTGTGTTTAGTTCCCATGGTTTTGGCTGTAGTGTATTCGACTTGTTCATCATACCCAGAGGAGAACGCAGACGTCGTGAACAGAGCACTGCAGCACGCTAAAGCATGCTCAGATATAGAGGGGAAACCAAAACTAGGAAACTTCAGGTAAGCCTCTAGACCCTGGTGATTCTGGTAAAGCCTCAGCAAAAACACAGGCAGAAGCTCAAAGATACTCAGTTAGAATTTGATCAAAACGCCACGTTATGAATCTAAATGCTGTGTGAATACAACTGAAAACAAATTTCCTATAGGTTCACATATTTCCTTTTAGTTATTTTTTCCCTCTTCTCTGATTGTGAAGTTAAATCCTGAGATCTTGTTGAAGTTTAACGATGTTCATGGGCTAATGTAGATACACTGACTTCTCTCTGCAGCAAGCTGGCCAGGCGTGCTGGCAATGCTGCAGGCCGGTATAAATAATACACAAGTTGTATTATTGGTATAGATTGTGCTGGCTCCACATGGACATGGTGCTTTTGCATGTTTTAGAGCTAATGGCATTGAGATGTCCGTCAATGTATACAAAAAAAAATCCAGAAGAACACAGATAATCCCACAACCATTAGTAATTTATTTAAGTATTCATGCAGAAAAATAATTAAGCACATATCTCTTGTTTTGTGAATTTTAAATCTTAGTCTGAGTTTGTGCATTTGTGAAATACAGCAGAAGGCAGGCATGCTCATTTTATTAAATGTTACCGTTGGTTTGTTCGTTTTTTTATCTAGGCCAACCCCCTTCCCTTTCACCTGTTCTGATCACGGAGAGGCTGCTGAGGAAATGGAGCACTTTCTCGATCTGGAAGCCTCTGAGCACTGCAACGGCTGCTTTCTAGCTGTTCTTGACAGAGAGGTGAGCATGGCTTCAGCAGACGTGTCACAAACAAACAGTGATACGACACCTTGTTGTATATATCAGTCACGAGCTTTTGCACCCCATGAAAGCCTTGATCTCAGCCTTTTATTTCAGCCATGCCCATCCAGACTTACACCTTGCCATTGGCCCACCCGGGCTTCTTCCTTTAGCCGAAAGAAACACGAGGCTGTTACTGCATGCAGCTCTATCAGGCTGCAATTTCGCTGCGACGCATGAGAGAATCCCATCAAGTCTTTGTGACCCGTCCTCCCCACATCCTCATAATCGACAAAGTTTATGGCATTACTGCCTCACATTATGAAATCTGCTCTTATGCTTTTGATACAAGTTATTAAGCCATCTTACCCCTAGAGGGGGTGACGGATCTCTCTTGCACTGTTGCGCCGGTTTCTCTCGAGCCATCCATCATGTTTTATACCTCCGTAGATAGGAATGAAAAGATAATCAAACTGCTGCAATGGCGTCTAAACCAGGATTTTTTTTCTCCCTACCCCCAATAAACTCAGCTAATCAAAAGTTATTGTGGCACTCTGAAAAGCATCATAAAAATAGCAATTATATAAGTGTTTGAATGCTATCGGCTGCCGTGGCTGTGCACAGTCAAGTTCTTTATGAGCCTTCCATACAAGAACAGCTGGGAACAATAAAAACATTATAGTGAGGTTTCTCTGGTCTAATTTTCAAAGGATGGAGACCACAACACAGGTATATATCTCTTTAAAAGACTCACTGACAAATGATGGCTTTGGGGCAACTGTAACATCACACCCAAAGCGCAAATCTTTTCACTTTGGGTTTGCTTTCCTCTCTGTTTAGGGTGACTTTTATTCATTTAGATGTTGCAGCCAGGATGTATTGAACGTAATGATTTTGGATGTAAGCGTTGACAGGGACTAGGCCAAGCCCCAGCAAATGCAGTGGCAGCTAAGTTTGGCAGAGTGTAGACGGAAATAAACGATTTACAGAGTATGGCACCGTCAGTTAGTGGAGACGGAGAAGAAGTGCGATTCACAGGGGTGAGGGGGAAAGAAGTGGAGGCAAGGCTGAGTATCTGTTGAATAATTCAGCGACCCCTGTCTGTATGAGTTAGCATCAATGAAGTTCAGGGCGTCCACCAAAGACTGCATAAGAGAGATGCTTCTAAAACAATATTCACTGGTGAGTGTAGGGCTCATCTGTGCACAAGCACACACACAGGTACATGTAAGTGTAAAATGCACACTTATGCAATTTCATACTTAATATATGCACATGCGTACCTGTGTAAAGTAATTTACAGACACAGGGGAAGATATACACTCAGTTTCAAGTGAGCACTCAAAAAACAAAAACTCACACAGTCTGCATGTCCCTGTAGTGTTCACTGTTCTTGTGAATAATTCAAGCATTGAGGAGAGCAGTGGGTTGCAATGTGGGCTGCTGCTGAGACAGCAGGTGACCCTGCAGCCAGCAGCAAGGGCATGATGGCTTTTTCTCGTCTTTTCTTGGTAAACAATAAATCCTCTGTCAATACAATTAAAATGACAATAAATGATTAATTATATAGTTACAATGGGTCACTGTCAAAAGTTTAAGGGATGGTACTTGTCGTTTTAAAAGTAGCTATTCATGTCTTTAAGAAAATAACATACAAGAGTTTTTTTTATTTTCTTTTTTATTTGTCCTTTCAACAGCCTGGGCCAGTGATCCAAGAAGCACCAGTAGACGTAATTGCCAGAGCAAATGCTAAAGGTATCCTGGATAGGATTGGATTAAACCACCACACCAGAAAAGAGCCTCATGGACACAACAACAGGATGAAGAAAGCAGCCCGAGCTCACAGCTCACAGCCCCTGCTCTGTGTCAGTATGCAGAGCAAAAACCAGCAAATTAGGGGCAGTGGCAGTGCTACTCTGTGTGGGAATACGGATTTCAAGGACTTTAAGCAGTCATCACAAGGTTTGCAGCTCTATCTTAGATTAATTTGTCATAGTCATGAATACATTTTCAATACAGTTAAAGGATGTTTAAAAAAAAAAAATTCCTGGTCTGTATTATTAATATTGATACTACTATCAATATGACTTATTTTTGTACTTATTTTTAGCAGTTAGTTTGTATCCTTCAACAGACCTCTTTACAAAGTAAATAAAAGCATAAATATCACAAAACAAAAAACCTTACTATCACCCAAGCTCAGGTAAAAAAAAAACTTCTCCCTTGGGAATCCAGACTGGTTGTTTCTCACAGGAAGGAATATCAAGAACTTTAGTTTGCATGTAGGTGATTAATCCTGCTATGCATTCCTATTCTAGTTCAAACAGTATGTTGTCTCTCCAACATAATTGTTTCTATCCTCCAGGGAAACCCAGAGCTTTGCGGTTGCAGGCCTTCAGAAGCCCTGCGTCCAGCTCTCCCTCCTACTCTAAAGAAGAATGCACCACCTCCTCCTCTGCCTTCAGAACAGAAAATAGCACACCCACTACAGGCATCACCCCAGTATTCAATACCACTGCTTCCACCGCCGCTACTCTGCATCCCACCCGCCCTTCTTCTTCCCCTGAGGCTCCAATTGTACGTCCCCGTAGGCCTCAACCGGAGAAGCTGAAGCCAGTGGTGCTTGTCCTGCCTTCTGTCCACTTCCCTGCCTCTTTCCCACCCCAGCGTAGTCGGACAGGTTTTAGTCCCAGTCTCAGCTACAGATGATGGAAGATACCTGCTCAAACAACCCATGTATCGCACGGCCTCTTCAAGGATGCTCTGGACAAATATCGTTCTCTGTTTTGACTTCCAAACTAAGTCTTGCTTTAATAAAGACAGCCATATTTAAATCTAACACAAAAATGTAAACAGTTTTCTTAGCTGCCAAATCACACGGAGAATTTGAGAGTTACACCTGGATGTTATTATTTGTCATTATCAGCATCTTTGTGTGCCATAGATAATAACTCTGCCACAGTAACAATAAAGTCAAACTGCATGTATTCACAACCTTGGCCAATGTCATTTGACTATGACTACATTCCTATAAAATCAAAGGACAGTCAAGACAGTCGAGGCTGCTCCTTCATTTCTTTTGTTAATGCATTTATTGTCACAACAGGTTACATTTACATGGTGTACAGATGGTGAAGAACAGAAATGAAACTATGTTTTTGTGTTTTTTTTTTATTCAGACTGCATTCACAGAGTTCACATTGAGTGCAGGTGGTGGCCCCGAGCCATAGGAGAATTGTAGAAAGTTTGACAGACAACATTCTTTTTTTTCCCCTTTAACTGCTACAGGTGTATATTTATGCGTGTGTATTTCAATTGTGAATGGGAGCACACTGGCTGCTTTTCTTAGGATGGGAGTAATGTGATAAATCTTTCCGTGTAGGCCACACTATCTTTCTCACAACGTCCAAGCTCCGCAAACAATTTTGAGCACTGTTGTGCATATGACCACAAATGCTTCTCTGAAAGTCAGAACCTGGATTTGGAATTTCTTGCATCTGTATAAATCATGGGTATGTGCATAAGAATTCCTGAGGAATTTGTTCTGGTTCAACACAAGCAGTTTAACATTCTTGAGTTTTTAAAATGAGGTTCTCCACATAAAAAAATTACAATCTTAAGCCTGAAAATACATTAAAAACTATTTAACTTTCTTTTGCTGATCCACCCATAGATAAGAGAAGTGGATGTCCAAATTAGGTATGAGTTGAGAACAAGGTCAGAATATTTTGTGCCAGTGTAAATCGAGTCAATGACAAAAGAGGATTAAGTTTCTTCAGAGCATCAATTTCCTTATCTTCTTATCAAGAGCCTTAAGTCATCAAAATTAAACATATCCCCCATCAAGAAAACATGCAAAATGAACCATACGTCTGTCTATTTTTCTGTGACCTCCATCTTGCCTCTAACTCATACCTTATCTACAAGTTTTGCGCCTTCATTTCTATCTACGTACAATCATTTACATACATTTGATTTTTTACAATTATTCATTAATCATGAAGGGAAATTTAATCTTTTGAATCCGCAACACATTGAAACTTTTTTATGCAATTTGGTGGGCAGTTGCAGGCTGATGGCACGTCTTCTCTTTTTGATGTTAGATGATGTTTAATCCTCATGATGACAAGACAACACCTTTTTTTTTTTGTCCTGAAAGGCTACCGTAACTCATCCAGTTCATGAGTTTAAAAAGAAACAGAGATGGAAAAAAAAGGTAAACTGTGAGTTTCTCCATACCCAGTCTGTGAATAGAAAGGTGATATATTTCTTCTGGATGATCCTGTCAGTAGAGTGTGCGACCAAGTAATCCATCTACTACAGAAATCCACAAACAGGTTGTGGGTTTTAGTTGGAGGAAGCAGCGTACAAAGGTCAACGTCTAACCAGTGACACCAGGCCATTCCTTCATATAAAACGGATGAGTTTTCTTCTTTTTCTTAACATCAGGCATATCTACGAACCCCTCTTCCCCGTATTTGCGGTGATGTTTGTTTTGCTGTATGTACATCATCGGTTACCATGGTACTGATTAGGTGTTCTCGTGGTGATTGTGTGGTTGGCTTCCAGGCTGGGGTGGGGTGCACTGTTCGGTGGTGATGGTCATTGCTGGGGCAGTTCTGACGGCTGTTTCTTGGGTTTCAGAGTGTCTATGAGAGACTGGACGCTGCGTTTCACGCTGGTGGTCACCCGCCGGGTCACAGAGTCTGGAGAGGGCGAGGAAGAGGAGCTGGCGCGCTGGGAGGGCGGCCGTGCCACCAGACACTTTTGGTACCGGAGCTGACAAAGACAAAGATGTGAATGAGTATCACAGCGTGATCATAGCTGAATAATTAAGGTAAGCTGAGAACATGCGTCTCACATGTTTCTCTCTGTCTTCCCTTGTGTATTTCTACAAAGTTTACAGTAAAAGTAAAAATGTCAAACAAATTAAACAAAGGAAAGCTACAGCTTGTTAGAGGAGTAGCTTGAACAAATCTATTCAAATCTATGTAGCTTTCATAAAGTAGAAATTTGTTGCTTTCGCACTTCATTCCTGGAGCTTACCACACAAGCTGCCTGCACTGCCTCTGACACACAGCCTGCATTCGGGTCGCACCAGAACACATGGCACTGGAAGTGTTGGCTTCCAGTGTCCATAATGAAGGCAAATGTATGCACATCCCGTCCCACACCCATGAAGGACAAAAATCGGACGCGGCACTCCACCAGCACCTCCTCATCTTCCTCCTGCACATCCATCAAAAAGGAAAATTAGACTTCTGACAGGCTTTTCTCTCCTGTTGATGAGTACATTTAAATCTGTCCATTATTTGTTCGTCTCTAGGATGGAGACAAAGTTTTTTTGTGCCTTTTCTTTGATGACAGCAACGGTGGTGTCAGCAATACTCAGTATGACAGGAGTCCAGTCTTCTTTTCCTGTGGATGACACGAGGTTTTCTATGGCCCCGTTTATGATGTCCATACCTAGGGAAAGAACAGGGGGGGCTGAAACCAGACAAAGGAATCTACAACAAAATGCAGAAGAGGGTCTTGTGTGTGCGCAAAGATCTGAGTGTTCAGTTCAATTTTACCTATTGGGCGAGACACAGACGTCATACCAAGATACAGCACATGAAACTTCTGCACCAATTCTGTCTTTGGCATGGGAAACTCTGCAGTGATTGAAAGGAAATCCAACAAACACACACACATTAACGCGTACATTCAAATTCCGTACAGGAGAGCAAACTATGAAAAGAGTTGACAATTGATAATTGGCTAAGAGCAGAGAAATAAACAAACACTGGTGAATATTCTAATATTTTGTGATGCTGCAGACATGATTAGGGCACAAAACATAAACAAAAGCATACTGATTATCAGAGAGCTGCATGATTTTTATGCAGAAACCCTGCTGTGCCTGTTCACAGGGTGCAGGTGGAGAAGAATGCACTACACAACGAAGTGATCAAACACCTGCATCTCAAATAGCACAGGTGTTAACATCCCGCGCCCCCAGGAACTCACTATTGACACAAAAGACTATTAGCTTTACAAGATTTCGGGAAAGAAATACAATTCAAAACACCCAAAAGTAGTTTAATTCTGACACAAAATGATATGAAAGCAACACATGGCTGAAAAAGACACAAAACCCACTTAAAATGTCGACATCGGTTATAGTCAAGCTGCTCTGGCTCTCATGAGAATAGATTAAAGGAGACAACTGCAGTCTTGGGTTGTGGCATGTTCGCGCAGAATCTTTAAAATAACAAAGCACCAGAGTGAAGAGACATATTTTACTGCCTGTAGGAATGAAAGCTCCATACTTTTGTGTCTCCATACATATGACCACAACGATTCAGTTGTGGCATTGTCAAAGATATTCTCAGGCCAGATGCAATGAAAAAACAGCTAGGCCATTATCCCCATACTGGCACTCTTCCCAAATCATTTCAGGCTAATCTCCTCAATTGTGTTCCAGCATAGGATCAAAATCTATTGTAATTGTTAATAGCTGTTTCCCCCTTCACTGTAAAACCAACATCTGGAGTCAAAGGGCTGGTTTGTCAGCTGCAAAGGTTATCACCTTCTCTTAAATCACAAAAATACACGAGTTCAAGTAAGTTACAGTCTTAAAAGATGTAAGGAATCTGTCAGTAATAGTTATTTGATCCTGGCATTGGTATGGGGGCTGTGGAACACCACCCATTGCCTCAGAGCAACACTAATTTGGTTTTAATGAGGTGACTGTCTCTGTAAGGGAGCAGCTGATATGGTTCTTTTTTATTCTGATGCTGCTTTCCTCCTTTCTTATAAGACACACTCAGCAAAAGAGGATGGAGCTAAGGATGAATTGTGCTGGACCCTTTTTTTCTAATAATTACTTGGCACTGATAAAAACAGGCAGTGAGAATGAGCAAACAATAAAAAAAAATTAGAGCTATGAGAAGGAGGCTGTGTGATTATTGAGCTAGCAGTTGTCTGGGAATCAGCCTTATCCGAATCAAGCTGAGCCCACAACTGCTACCTTATCTATTAACAGCATCTCTAGCTGCTCCAGTGACAGTAAGGAGTTTAAAAAACTAACAGAAAAAAACATAAAAGTGGGTTCAGACGTAAAGAAATTCTGTAATGGGAGACAAAACCACAACAGGGAAGATAACACAAGGCTGACAAATCTAATTCAAACATATAGGGCCCGCAGAAGAACGAGACTCAGGGAAGGCATGTGTAAGCGTGTTAGAGATGTAGGGTAGGGCACAAGTGTAGGGATTCTGCTAAATGTAGTTACAGCATTTTAATGGTTAAATTATGTAAATCTACAGGAACTAGATGTCATTGTAAAGTAACCCGAAGTGATGGATATCCATCTACGCGTGTGTGTGTGTGTGTGTGTGTGTGTGTGTGTGTGTGTGTATACCTTGTAGGGGTACATCAGAGCCGTTCTGAGAGGAGCTGCCAGCTGCAGACTTGGCACTTTTTCTTTCAGCCATAATCTGAAAAAAAAGAAAGAAATTGAGAAGGAAGGTGGGGATGGTGGAGTGAGCAAGATCAGAGGGGGAAAAAAAGAGAGAAGTGACCATAATGTGAAAATGGTACCAGAGAAGAAAACATGTTGCACAAATTCAGCAGGGTTTGAGTGGAGTTAGGCCATCCTATTGATCACTGGTCTGTGTTCAGGTTTGACTAGACTGGAGGCCAACATGTGAGAAAGAAATTAATCAATTGCCATTTCAGTGTTTCCTTTTACAAGACACAAGTTTCCATGAAAGAAATGGTACCCATTCTTTCAAGGATCACCCAATAAATGGCTAAATTGCTTTCTAACTGTTCAGGCTCTCTTTATAAAGCACATTCAGTTAAAGTGAATTAGAAGAATAAAAAAAGCAACTTCATTTCTGATCTAAACTTTTAGATTTTCTGAACAATTCTTTCTACTTTACAACTTTTATCGTTTTGGTGTACACCGGCACAAAACATTATTTTAGGCAGTTATTGCCTACATGAACAAACGACCCATGGACGAATATTTCGGGGGATGACAGTCTTTATCATGTAGACATAAAGTATGGAACATTACCTGTTCTGTCCTAGCACATAATAAATGATTAGACACGTAAAAGACCATGCAATACCATTGTCTCTCTGCTCTCTCTTGCTCAGCTCTGGGCCTGCAGCACTAACCCTCCTTAAAGAGAGGTTGGAATATTCTGCACGGCCCCTGCACTGGGTCCAAGCACTCTGTTCTTGCTGCGGACACTTGATTAATTGTCGGTGTCATTAATCAAAGCGTTTGGTGCGTCTGCAACTCTGCTCACGTGGGAGCATGGAAGACGACACATGCCCTCACACACACTCTCTCACACACAAAGAATGGACGCTTCGGCTTTCTGCGCAGCTGCAAAACTCAGGTCACCAAGTTTACCCCTGCAGCAAAAGAAAAAACCACCACTAAGTTTAAAATAGGCAGCGTCAGGGTGTGAGGAGGAGTCATAAACACACTGCGAAAGATACACCAATCCACGCTTTTCCTTCTGTTCAGAGTTTGGGTTCAAGAGAAATTAACAGGAAAAACTTTCTTCCCTAAATAGGTCGCCATGCCTCTCAGGACTCCATTATTCTTTTTTTTCACAAGGTCACTGCTGACCTGTGGACAGCTAGCACCTTTTAAAGTGCAGAGGGCTCTGCGTATACATCTTTGGCTTATGTGGGTTCTCTAATACCAGTCTTCAACCAGGTTTTATGTATTATCATCTAAAGCATGTTGTCCATGAGGACATATTCTTTATACGACGGGGCTTGATGCCATAAGACAACTTCTGGTTTGTGATGTCTCAAATGAAAGTCCTAAGTCATTTGTGGGAAAGTTAGGAATATCATTCTGTTTATCTCTTTTCATGTTGCTTATTTAATGTGACACTTCTAATTTGTCTTTGTTCTGGATCAACGCGCCATTGGCAAATTATATTTTTGCCAGCTTCCACCGTCCACTAGAGTATCTCATTCAACCACTGCACAATTGAAATTCTACAAGGAATAATTATGATTATGAGACATGTTACAATGAGAACACTAACACATCACTTGATTTCCAGTGACGTTTTGCACAAATAGGTAACATATCCTGTGCACTCTGAACTTTCTGTGACTTTCAGATGTAAAAGAACAACATCAACGGTAAACAACATGTATTGAATAACTGTATGCCATTGCTTTAAGAGACAGATAAAGCCATTGGAATTGCACAGTACACTAGAGTTTGGACTTTGGATGGTAGATGGTAGATAAACTACATGGAGACGGAATTAAAATAGTCACACAGCCCAATCAATGAACATGGAAGGGACAGTTGGCTGGGCAGAACACCGCCGGTACGACTGTCACTCAGCGGATTCTGCAATGCTGGCAGACTACAGTGTTTGAAACTCACCGACCGGGTGGCCGAGCAAGGCTTTCCTTTTGTGACAACATAGCACGGTTATTATTTGGAGAGGGCTTCTTTTTAAAAATTCCCAGGACGATTTTAAAAATATAAAACTGTCACATAATCCACATGGTGGCAGTAAAGGAATTGTGGAAAAAGTGCTGTCCTCCTTTGAGAAAGGTGAGTATATAGAGTACTTTTGTGAAAACAAAAGTACACTCCAATTCACGTCTAATTCTGACGGACCGAATATAACTGCCTACTAATAATCAGGTGTCAGAATTTAGGTAAAAGCAACCTCATAACCTTATACCTTTCAACACATGTAACACATGTCTTATTATACCAAATGATCGCACTTAAAAGGCCTAGTGATGATTGGGACGTACTCCTGATGTGGTTGCCTTTTAGACATATGTACACTGTCACATTGTTAAAATATCACACTGCTTCATGATAATTTTCAAAGTAGATAGTTTTGACATTCTTATTTCCTTTCTGAGTCTAATGTCATTGATCCGGCTCTCTGCTTGAATGATGGACTCATTGTTGATTGTTCCTGCAGGAGTTAAAAACTTGTAACTTCACACAAACACACAGAATAAAAAACTTCTAAGTTACACTGCATCTTTTGATTGCCCAAATTTCCACTCATCTCTGTTTTAGTTTTCAAAATGTCATACTGTCTGTCACATTGGCTTTTTTCTCTCAAGTGAGGCTTAGTGGTGTAGAAGGATCAAATCCATGTAACTGTGTTTTCAGTTTGGCCTAAATGAGTTTTATCATTTGCATTACGGAGCTTTGATAAAGTGAGAGCATTATTTGTCTTGTGGGCAACCTTACTCCAAGAAAAAGCTTTTGTTCTCTTGAGAATAACTGCGCTGATAAAAGCTTGAACACAGTCTGTTTCACTAAGCTGTAGGCTCCAATAGCAGTGACACCCACCTTGGAACAGATTTCGTGGAGACTGGTGGCGATGGCTGCTGCAGGGGTATCACATCTGAACACGTGGCACTTCAACACTCGTGTGTTTTTGTCTCTGGCCACATAGGCAAAATCCCTAAATTGTGAACAGGAGAAAGGAAATATTAACTGTGAATTTATGGTGCACACAAGGCATTAACTCCGTTTCTCAGTGCACATTCACAGCAGGTGAACCAAACACTTTTTGAAATCTAAAAAATCTCTCCAGTTCTGACTTGTTTCTACCCTAGACTGCGAACTGATTACAATGTGA